TATCAATAGATATGCGTAACGCAATTTCCCTAAAAAATTAAAAACCACTGCCTTTATGCTGTCGACATAATTAGTCGTAGAATGTTAACATTATTTTGAAAGTTAAACGCGAAGAGAGTTTAAGACAAAACGTTAATTAATAATCATTTTTAAAATCGTTAACGTCAATCAACAGATAACTACTATCACATAGAATAAATTTAATTATCGAATGATGAAATGTCATTTCTTCTGTGCTACTACAAGAGACAACAGAATTGTTCGATAATCATTTTGGCGTTATTATAAAGAATTGCAAATAATGAAACGCTAAGATTTAAATGTCAAATTTAACAATAATTATTATATTAATGTTTATAATAACAAGCACAAATTAGCCTAGGCCTAAGAACGGCGACGTTAAACTATACTTAAACTCTTGTGGAAAAAAGATATTCAGTAGTGAAATAGATTTCTAATTAAAAAAATAAAACAAAATATGTACCATAAAAATAACAGCTGTTGTATCGAAGCAAAAAAGTGTCAATATTTGATTAATAAGCACTGCGATGTTTGTAAAAATAAAATCACAAACGAACGAACGAGTGTAAACATTTTAAAGAAAAAATCAAAACGTAAAACAGATATCGAGACGAATCTAAAACCTACAATCGTTTTTTCGGGTATTCTAATTTGTCGTTACTTTCTTTTCGTTGTCCGTAGATTTAACATTGTAACGTCTTAAAAAAAATGGCAATTTTTAAGGTAGGCAGATTTTTGCAATTACACAAAAAAAAATAGCATTTGTAAAACGTCGGAATTAAGAAAAACAATTTCTAAGTTTTCGATTCGTTTCGGTTAGGTATATCGACATTTTTATAATTAAACCTTGATAGGATATGTAAAACATGCTATTTCTAAATAGCTTTAAATACAGTTATTGTATTTAAAGGGCCTGGCACTGAGGCCGTTTTCATAGGTTTCATTTTGGTGTCTTAAAGAACAAAATTTTATCTCTGCTGACTTTGAAAAAAAAAAAAAAATTCAGTACTTTATACAAACAAATTAATTTATAATTTCATAAATATTTATTGTCGCGTTATTAATGCAGAATTGAAAATTTTTTAAAATATGTTTTTATTTGGTTTTAAGAGTATCGACAACCTAACTCATAGGCAAAAATAAAAAAATATTCCATAACCACGGAAGGCTAGCCCTCTCGTTGACAATTTTCAAAGGATTAAAAACACACGGAAATACAAAACAATAAACGCTTCGTTGTAAATACCATGTTTTCCGTCTACTTTTTATAAATGCATTAGTATAACAAGCAGAACGTGTTCAAATGGTCACTGCCATAAATTAACTTGCCTTCCTTAAATAGTACAACCTAATTTAATTCAACATTACTGCGTGCAATTTTAAATACGTCAATATGTAGGCAGGCAAAAATAGTATTTAAATTAGTAACATTTTACAATTTATAGAGCTTCGTTAAAACTGCTTAGTCACTAGAAATAGACATAACGTGTTCCGTATTATATATTTTACAAGTTAAGTCGTTTTCTAAATGTATATGTAACAAACGCAGGTATTTTTCGTAAAGAACTGTGCAGAAATAAACGTTAATTTTTTTTGTTTATACTCATTAAATTCTGTTCAGTTTTGGTAATTGGCCGTGGTTTAAATTGTTATTTTAAATAATAAACATAAATGGTGAAGTAGAGCAAGAACAACCCAGTGGGAGTGTTTTATATTCCAAATATCCTTAATTTTCTTCTATTTGGTAAAATGATAAATATTGTAATTATTTGTCTGTCAATTCACTAAAGACTTGAACATCGATGGCTAAATTAAAAAACGTCACAAGCACATTTGGTGATAAAAAAAAAATAGGGCGGTATTTGACTTGCAAAAATAGTAAACCCGATAGATGTAAAAATTGAGTCAGTTTTTGTAAGTAAATGTAAATGACAAACTTTCAAATGCTCTCTTTAAAAAAGTCGTCATTTTGTAAGTACAACTTGTTTGAACTAAATTACCGATATGAACAAATATAAATTCAACTCTATTATTTATTTTAACCCGCGATAATATGTTAAAATGTTTAGTTTTTTTTTAAACATTTTTTTCAAACCTAATTTAAACAAAAATACAAATTAAATTATACACCTACGTAATTTGGCTAAAAAACATATACAAAATTAATTTTAATCCTACTCTGAAAAGCGTAATCCAACAACAGTTCGGAAAACAGATACTAGATTTTTCAATAGTCTTCGATGTATATATATAGAAGTACGTTTTTAAACTTCATTTTATACACTACCTATTGCAAAAAAACGTTAAAAAGCAAATTATTAAAAATGAATTGCAAATATTCACACAGAAATAATAAACTAAAAATAACTTTAAAAAACTGAGCCTTGATCGATATTGCTTTGAAAAAATTGTTATAAAGAAACCAAAAGTGTTTTCAAAACTTAAATAGGAATATTCTTAGAAACAATGTGGAAACATAAGATTTTATAAAAGGGTCTTTATTTATTATGAGTTATAAAAGTTGAAAAAAATTAACAACAATATTGATAAAAATAACTATCAAAATAGATTCACCTTTTCTTTGTTAATATATATGCGTATAAATTTAAGCTTCAAGTTAAGTTTTAATATAAAAAATAATAAAGACGATCGTAGGTAAATTAATGATGAATTAATCATAATTCATACCTCGGTGAAAACATGTACATTTCATTATATATCCCATCATTGGACGTATCGACAGCAATATTGCACCGATTGGACAACCTCATCAATGACAGTGTAGTAGACAAATTCCAATAAAACCAAAAGGCTATCAGTTCGAAGACCACTCGTCAGTTGTATTATATATACAATGTACACACGGTGATAAAGGTGGGCCTTTGTAAATTATTAACTGTATCCCGTGTATGCACTGTCGAATACTTGTCAAAAACGAATTAGAGTACCGTGACGCCGGCGATGGCGACTGCACGGCGGGTCACGTCACGTCAAGTCTGAAAACCTAACTACCGTTGCCGTGGATATGTGATTTGAGGGGGCTAGCACACGGCACCGTATTTGTGAATGCATATACATTATTATAATATAATAATGTTATACCTACTACGCTATACCATTTCTCTTTCCGGTGTGTAATAATTCGTTTCCGCCATACCTAAACGCAGGATGACCAACGCAATAAGCGGCGTCTACCGTGCGGTAATTAAAAAGGTTTAATTCAAAAATGTAAACTGGTCGCCCCGCCGACGAACGGCCAATGCAATCTATTTTTGAAATCAATTCATAATTATTATCGTAAATTAAAAAAAAAAAATGAGTAAGAAAAAGCCGGTACAGTGGCAGGTGAGATCGTCTCACGGGTCTGCAGGAATTTTATACTTGAATGCGATGCAATCCCCTTCAAATAAAAACGTTTGGATGCGAATCCGCAGACGGTTGAAAAATTAAATATCGATAAAAAATCATTGTACAGACATAATAATAATGTGCTTCAAATTGTAATTTTAGTACCTATTAGGGTGGATACGGTTAGAGGGTCGATCGTCTGCCTATAATAATTTATTGGTGTCGCAGCTCAAAATTGATTAATTTTTAGATACAACCGCTTCCGAGTAATTAAAAATTAGCTCTATACATAATGTAAGAACGACATATAAAATATAATTTTATTATTTGGCCACCAAAAATATGTGTCACCGTTGAATGGTATTCGAATTAGTTCCAAATTCATAGTGCAAACCATTTATAATACCTTAGTTTTAAATTACAAATAGATTTTTCTCAAAACTATACATTTTGAGTTATGACGGTTTTGACCTAGGTATAAGAATTTTATCGTTATCAACAACATTACGAACCTACTTTCAGATACCCGTTGACTGTTAGATTTACTCTCACATAGCAACCTAGAAATTGAATACGGCAATTTTTTAATTTATTTTTTCTAGATCTACTCTTTGTCTAATTTTAAGACCTTAAGCCCAAAAAACTACGGTCGAAAAAGCGAAATGAAAAAAAGTTTCCACCCGTTTTAGGCAAAAGGGTTTATGGTAATTTGTTTGGGTGTTTTAATAGATTTCATGAGGAAAGGTGAACTTTTTATATTTTTGAATCACCATAAAGTGTCTTACAGGTACGGTTTTTTGCTTTATGAAGAAATCGGTTTAATACAATTAGAAATTACAAAAATAAAAACACTACATTTATTCTAAAATAATGAAGCGGAAACAATTATTCTACTTTGTAATTATTATTGTTATCATCACGACATCGCGAAAAATTACTCTATAATTACATCAACTAGTAAACATAATATTATTATTTAGTTTAGCTCAGAGGGCTGGGCAAAACTTTCATTTTATTTTCTTCGACTAAAATAAACATAAAAAAGACGTTTTTTCGAAATCGGAAAATCATACTATGGCACATTTATAAGAAAGTTTTAAAACAATTTTTGTACTCAATTATTGTTTTAGGAACTTTATTGTAACAGATGGATGTTGAACATTTTAAAAAAAAAAAACAATTATTTAGTTAGCAAGAGAGTAAAATATAATTTTTCTTTATTCAAGAATTAGTCAACCAGGTGTTAAGTTTCATTTACGGGCTAAACCTTAATACAAAATTGATTTAAATGGTAAGAATACAGTATTTAACCGAGTGCCCATTTCCGTTAATAAATATAATAAAGATATTTTTTTTATTCATTTTAATTTTTAGCGCACCGTGTCAAGACTTCATTTAACTACTGCACCATATATGCGACATGATTATTTAAGTTATTACAATACATTTGGGACAATATGAATTATTGTCAACTTTATTACTTCCTAAAATTCAACATAACGTTTCAAATATATTAATATAAATCATTATTTGCAACATTTTGATAAAACATTAAAATTCACTACTAGTAAATTTCTCTTAAATGCGTACTTCCTTAATTATTAATTTAAAAAAAACATAATTTTACTTACCACTCATTACATGATTAGAGTATCTGTTTTGGTGCTGTTGAAAAAGGAGTGAAGAACCAATAGTGGGAGTGACGGTAACGCAAGTAGTTGTGCCACTTGAAGTTTGATTTTGAGGTGAATTATCTGAAAAAAAAAAAATGTAATTCACTGAATTTTCTAAATTGATTAGTTTTAATGATAATAATAATGAAAATAAAAAACATCATCCAACAGTATTAAAAAAATATTTATACTTTAAGAGTTATCAAACCTTTTTAAAATGATTTGAATTTGAATAATTTTTTTCTAATGTACAATAAAAAGAAATATAAATCTGTTTCCACATTGTTCCAATTACACACAGATACGCAAATAATGAAAACTGAATACAAAGACACAGTGTCCAATCATTTTTTGTTTGTTAGGAAATACAATTTAGTTTTTTTTAGTATGATCAAACAAAAAGAACTTATTTTTAGCATTTTATCAATATTTTTTTCAGAAATCAATGTGTACATTTTAATAAATTAGCAAAATATGAATAACTGGCATTGTGGTTATATTTAATGATGAAACACGTCCTATTGATTAATCAAAAATTGTTACAAATTTAGTAGTAAAACTAAAAAGTAGCTTGATTTTGATAATATTATAATATATCTTCATGAAAAAAGATGATTTTTATTGTTAGGAAGACTTTTGTTCAAGTTCAATTAATTCTATAAATTATAATTTTCTAACATAATTATTTGGTTTTTCATGACTGAAAAGTAGAGCTGAGACCTTGAATCGAATTTTTCTATTATTCAAAATATTCGAATATTCGAATAGTTATCGAATAATTCGAATAGTAAAAATAGATTATTAAAAATAGATCAAGAACACCTTAGTTGTCTCTTAATTATTATTTTTTTTAATCTAATCAATCCTCCAAAGAAAATGATAAAATATTCGAATATTCGAAAAATCAGATCGAATATTCGAATAACCCATCTAATATTCGAATAAAAAATTTGAATATTCGTTATTCAAATAACGAATATTTGTGCGAATAAAGTATTCGAATATTCAAATTTTTTTTATTCGAATAGTCCCACCACTACTGAAAAGTTATTAAAAGTAGATTGCATAAATACCAGTTTCGGAGATCGAATGTGTTTGAGCCAACGGACTATCTAAATACAGAATTCCTTTTTGAATTAATTCATCTCGATTAGCCCTAACCGAGATTTTTCTTTCTAAATCTGTAAAACAAAAATTAAAATAAATAACTCAAGTAATCTAAAATTTAATTATTTAATGAAATACATTACTTCTAGATGCCGCTTCAAACTTTTCCGATTTTTTTTTCCTTTTCCATTTCCACGGTTTGAAAAGTTTACCTAAAGCAGAAAACTTGCTCGGTTGTTTTCGATCCAACTGAAGAGGACTGGTACGCGTGCCCGAACCCAAACTATTCGTTCTAAGAGTTGTACCATTTTGCTTTTTAGCTGAAATAAATCAAACAACCAACGTAATTATTTTATTATGATATTATATTATGAGTATTTGACTACCAATCATTTTTAATAGCTTTACTATAATTATAGGTTATAACTGATAGTAGGGTTCAAAAGTCGATTACATATGTATTTTCTCCCCTAATAAATGAATCGGCTAAATAACATACAAATGTAAATCACAAAATTTATGAAGAGGATCCATAACTATTACTTTGCTTTTCTTTTGTCATTTTTTTCCCGCTATTTTCACGTTTAGGTCATTATAAACACTTACAATATATGATATAATCACTTTTTAAATTTATTAATTTTGTTTTAAAATGCACAAAAAAAAAATTATTACTATTAAATTTGTTTAGTATCTATAAATAAGTATCATCTATTCTTCCCCTATCCCACCATTGATCATGGATTTTAAGAATCTGTAGGTTAATTTTATGAAGAAAAAAAAATGGTCTACTATTATATAATCTAGATTTTAAAAAAAACCAAATTTTTTTTTTAAAAAATCTAAATTTAAAAACCTGTTTGTATTTTGTTTGCATTATTCAAATTTGTTGATAATTTGAATAATTCAAACAAACAATATTTAACCATTATTAGGTAATTTTGATTTGTTATTTTAATTAAAGATTTGTCATTTTTTAAGGTATTCATCATCCTTGTTTAACTAAAAAATTAATATATCTAGACAATTATTTTGCTCGATTTTTAATATATATGTATATTATATATCTACAATAGGCTTAGATAAACTATACTGAAGAGTTGACGAGTGTTATGATAGAAGAGTCAGAGTGATTTTTTTTTTAAAGCAATACCTTGCACGATCACATAATATCTAACAATAGAATGACCAAATAATTTTTTCTTTGGTAATTTACCGTTACAAACAGTGTATATGAAAAGATATATATACATATATATATATATATATATATATCAAAAAGTATTTTGAGAATATGCAAGCATGTAGAACATGTTATAAATATATTATATATACTTACAATAATATATTATACATACTATACACTCATATTAGTAGTATACAGATTTTTTAACATAGGTCATTAACATTGAAGTAACTGAAGAGCTTATATTATATTAAGTTATCCATACAATAATTACCTAATAAATATTATTTTAATTATAGTTGAATGTTCATTATTTTTAATTGTTTACGCCTTCTAAATTCCCAAATGCATTATTCAATACTTAGGTATTTAAATTTCTTAATAAAAAAATAACCTTTAATTTTAAGTATCAAAAATTAAAATAGATTTTTTTAGAATTCTTAAAGTTTAAAAAAGTTTTTTTTTGGCAGTAATACATTGATTATTTTTAATCCAACATAATATTTAACAGAATAAAAAAGCTAAAATATTAAAAGCATAGAATAAAACAATAAAACTTAATGATTCACCAGAATCTTAGACCATCCCAGAGGTATTTTTTTTTAAACTATATGAACTTTGTTGGAAAAAATCATAAAAAAATATTCATAAACATTGGGGGCTGTGCTGTTAATCAATTCATATCAATAAATTACAAATAAATTATTATTTTTTTATTACTTTAGAAAACATCATTTTTTGTAACCTTATAACTTTAATACTTATAAAAAATATGTCTTTCGAAATATTTAATATTACCAATATGTCTATATAAAATTATTACTTATTGCATAAAACTATATTTTCATAGATAATTAGCAAGAAAATTGAGAAGAATATTAATTCACTCGGAATATATTTTAAATTTGCACTTTATTTTACGTTTGTTAGACCTTGATATTATACTACACTTATTTTTTTTTTTAACTATTATGGGTACAAGTAACAACAATCATACAGATACAGCGCATACTGCACAGGCAAGTGTTTGTTAAAAATCATGAAAATGTCAACAATCATAAAGATACAGCGCATACTGCACAGGCAAGTGTTTGTTAAAAATCATGAAAATGTAATTCTAATGATCTATCTTTGTATAACTTGACTGTCTATTGTAAATCATAATTATTCTTACAAATAAAACTAATTAATATATTATTTTTAGTTCATTTGCTGAAACGAAATCATTGGCTAGAGGCCAAAATAATAAATAATTGTTTTTATTAAAAAAATAAAAAACTAACATACTAACATAAATAATATTTTATTTTAGTGAAATGTTACTAACAAATTATTTCTTAATGAATATTATGTGATTTAGCTTAATGAGAAATGTATAATTGTCTTTATTGGTTTGTTTACATAGAAGTTAATAAACAGAACAGAGAATTTTGTTCAATATAATTTTAAAATATCCAACAAAATGGGTTAAATATTATTTTGTAACTCGAACCAACCAAAGCCTGGACCAAAATTAGGCTATTAAAAACCTGACCAATCCGGGTTTTTATTTTAACTATTATTTATTTTAAAAATATTTATAGTAAAATGCACAGATGTTTTAAGTATCCATTTTTTTTTTATAATTTTACAAGAATCCCATTAGAAAATGTGTATATATATATATATATTTACACATTTTTTTCAACGCCTACATAAACAGAATAATCTTTTGCACGCCTAGAGTATTTCTATGTTTATTGAAGTAGATAAAGAATAAAAATAAGTATCAATGGTTTGTCACAAATCAATGTTTCGAGTTCAACTGAAACTAATATTTTACGTAAAAGATTAAAAAGTATAAAATATACTGTTGATAGATAAAAAAAAATAATACCTACCTAGCTCCGTTTAATTTAATTATACCTAAGTGTTTAGTTGAGACATTAACCATAGAAGGTATAATAAAGATAGAAAATAAATAATCGTTATCAGGTAATACTTTTATAGTCTAATTGGATTATCTTATTTACTCACCAATAATAAACTTGCCAGTGGAAGGTGATGTAGGCGTAGTAGCTGTTCCACTAGTGTGCAAAAAATCCGTCAGCGATAGAGACGAGGCTATGATTTGCCTTTTCTCTTCGAAATTTAAATAATCCATACTGTTGCTCCGGGTTTGTTGAGGCTGTTGTTGTTGATTGACCTGTTGGCCACCATTAGCTTCAACCATATCGGACGACTGTGACGGTGGCGGTTTTTCACCGTTTGCGGGCAAACACCCGCTTGACAATCGCACCGACATTACTTTACCGACACATATTTACTATATTATATCACAACCTTGTTATTAAAATATAAAAATCAACTGTGTAAAAAAGAAAACAGAAAAACTAACAAAACTAAAACGACTAACGAGTAAAAAAAAAAAAACACTTGGGAAGCACTGTTATACTTATTACTTATTGTTAGAGGACCATAATCAAAACGAGTCCGCCTAATAGATCAAGAGGGTACCAAGTTCCATTGGCGCTTTCTGATACTGTTGACGATTGATGATGGATGGTGTTGGGCGACGCCGTTTTCGATTGTTGTGAGCATTATTACAATAAACGGTCGTTGGACGACATCAATATCTATACGGATTACCCCTACGCAGCCGACGGCCTACAAGCACCGACGATTTCCCGAATCTCGTCCCCGGAAAACCAATACGCCCGGACACGGCATACACGCACAACTGTGAAGTGTTTTACGATGGTTATTACTGTTGTTACTACAGTTCGCTGCAGGAAAAATCAACGGGTTGTAGACCGTAGTGGATTTCGATCGGAGAGAGGGGAAGTGTGTATTGGAATTTCGGAATTTTCCATAGATAAAGAGATTAAAACCGAACGCGACGGCGGGAGAGGCGGGTCGGGGAGGGTAAAAGGTGGGTATGCAGTGCTGACATTTGCACAAAAATCTCTCACACTGCTATATCGTTTTCCCGCGCGCCGCACAGGCAGCGCAAACAGATTACACACGTCCTACCGTCGTACACCGTGGTACCCGTGCGGCGTGTCCCATAATTGCCGTCCGGCGTCCGCGGTTCAGTGGCCTGCCGCCCGCGGCCTCTGATGAATGGTACCAGGTTGTTCCGTGCCCGTTTACACTGTCGTGGGGTACTGCTGGCATGTGAACTATATTATTATCATCTACGGTCAAATACCATAGAATAACGTATTATTTTTTATTAGAATAACGCTATACATAAAACATAGATGGTCCAAGGGCATACAAAATACGGCAACCAAACAAACTCAACGAATACACGGTTAATATAGGTTTGCGTCCGAAATCAGGTTGCCAAAAAGATATACGGCGTGGTCTACGTCACAGAAAAGAATAACAGCTCTGTCTCCACATTCACAGGCTGCGGCTATACTTTTCATAAAGCTGTGGCGCCAATAGGCTTCACCCGTCTAGACAATATTTGAGTGTATAATATATGATATTTTCTGTATTTATTATTAAACAAATATGAATTTAAGTAGATGGTATAATGTATTTTATTTTCTATGCATATTATTATAATGGAGGATGAATTAACATATTATTGTTTTTGTCGGTTAAGCAGGGTCTGATTTTAGACATTTAAAACCATAAAGCAAAATATCTTTTGGGGTTTCCCTTCCATAAATCAAATAAATACCTCACCAATTTTCCCCCCATATTACTACCATTAAAGGCTACTCGATTTAACAATATTACAAATTTTTTTTTGAAAGGGCAGCCGCCACAAAAATCATGTTTAATCTTTACTATCAAAGCTCTTCCAAAAAAGTATTTACCTCATTTAAAATTTCAACCCCAGTTAAATAACTTTTTCAAATGAAAAAGCATAAAGCTTTCTGTAGTTAGAAAGCGTATTTAAAAACACTTTTGATTTTGTATATTTATTTTCTTTTTTGCCTAATAAATAATGTATAGATGGTCTTTCCTGTAACTACAAATCGACCGACATTTCACCTCACTATACATAAGAATATAGTTATTTTCCCCTCCTTAAACATAACACTTGAAACGTTATTGCTAGTCATCAATATTGGTCTCATTATGTTTTACCACTACAATTGCATATACAATAATAAATATAAAGTTTTTTTTTCTTTTCTAGCTTCGAAGGTTTTTATTTTATGGAACTAAAATATTTTCTAAGCCACTGAACTGACTTCTTGATGTGTCCAAAAATGAAAAATATCACTCCTTCTTTATCAAAATCGAGAAAAACGACTAATTAATGTATAACTTTTTTTAAAAATAGTTCAATTAGTTAGAAATTTGTATGGAATATTCTTTAGACAAAACACAAAACAAAATATGTTAAATTTATATTAATAGTTAGTATTATATAGGTATTCATCTTAATTAAACTTATATATTAATGCTAATATTGTGTTAATCAAATTTGATTCCTTGGGCTAAAGTTAATCCAGATCCGTAATTAATTGTAATTGTAGATCTCCTCATATATTGTTTCCACGAGTCAGAACCAGATTCACGTCCGCCTCCGGTATGCTTTTCTCCACCAAACGCTCCTCCTATTTCGGCCCCATTTGTTGGAATGTTAACATTAACGATACCACAGTCTGATCCTTTGTGACCGATCCACTAAAGTTAAATTAAATAAATAACTATTAGATTAATAACACGCAAATTAAATACTAAACCTAAAAAAAATAATTGTTAGTCTAACATTTATATGAACCAAACCAAAGTTAAAAAATTTCAGCGAGGAAGTTTTTTTATTAATAGATAGGATTTTTATATTATAATTGTACAATATAAAATTTATGAGGACTATTTTTAAAAAATCTGAAACAATCGTAAATTTTTATTTTTAAGTAATACACAGTATTAAACATACTTTGAAAACGGTTTCAATGCTGTTTGTAAAAACACTAGACGACAACCCTTGATCGACAGAATTATTCCACGCAATAGCTTCATCAAGATTTTTGTATTTTAAAACATAAACAATGGGAGCAAAAGTTTCTCGACGTACCACTGGTGAATCATACTCTAATCCAGATATTATTGTCGGTTCTACAAAGTATCCAGGTTTATCTAAAACCTATAACAATAGTTAATAGTATCAAATAAGTCTAAAACACTGAGTTAAATTTAATTAATAAAAGTGTACTCCTTACATTTCCTCCAAATTCAATTTTTCCACCCTCATCTAAAGCGTCTGTAATAGTTTTTTTAAAGTTTTCCACACTTTGTATCGTATGCAATGGTCCATATAAAGTGTTTTCATCTAAGGGATCGCCTAATCTTTGCAGGACACCGGAGTATGATTTTACTAGGTTATTTAAAACCTCGTCGAAAATTGATTCATGTAAAATCAGTCTTCTGGTAGTAGTACATCTCTGACCTGCCGTGCCACAGCACGCAAATACTACAGATTGGGCAACCATGTTTAAATTAGCATCGGGTTCTACAATGATGGCGTTATTACCGCCAAGTTCCAATAATACACGGCCGAAACGTTTTTGAACTTCAACACCAACCTGAGTAAATAAAAAAAATTATAAGTGATACAGGGTGTAGGATTATTTTGAGTGTTTTTGGAGTTTGAGTGATAACAGCAAAAATAGTCATAAGCTTGAGAGCTGAAATTTTTAACACATATAAGAGTTTGGCTAACAATATAAGCTGTGCAAATTTCAGAAGCCACGAATAATAAACATTTGTTAGTCACAAAGTAAATCAAATGTGAATGTTTTTTTGCTTATGAAACATACTTAAAAATCGATAAAATAATACTGTCTGGCATAGATTATTATTTATTATACATTATTATGTAGAATTTATTAACTGTAATAGTATATTTAAAGTATTCATCTAAAAAAAATCCCTGGAAATTAAAACTCAGTAGTAAAGAACTATTTTAATGTAAAATATTTTAAACGTATTTGTAATATGATAAATAAAAGCGATACCAATTTAAACTTTTTTCACTAACATCAAAAAGATTTACACAAGATATTTTAAATATACTGAGCAAAAGACAATTAAACAAATCTTACTTTGGACTCGAGTGAGTTCAATGTAAAACAAGAAATATACCTGTAAAACAACAAACAAAATATAAAAAATATAATTATACTAACTTTTTGACCAACCGAACAACTTCCAGTAAACGAAAGTAAGTTTATACGTTTATCGTTAACCATTAATTCTCCGACATCTGCATCACCTGTGCATAGAGACAAAACTCCTTTAGGTACACCGTTTCGCTCCAAAACAGATGAAATGATTTTTGTCGTCGCAACAGAAGTAAGAGAAGTTGACGGAGCTCCTTTCCAAATCACCGCATTTCCGCAAACCTAAAGTATATGTGTCATATTATTGTTTGTATCATAGTATATGTAATAAGAACAACAGACCACTAAAATGTTTTACCATCGATAAGGCACTGTTCCAACCATAAACGGCAACAGGAAAGTTAAATGCACTAATGATTCCCACCAGACCTAAAGGATTCCATTGTTCGAGCATCATATGGTTCGATCTCTCTGATGGAAATATTGATCCGTTAAACATTCTCGATACTCCAACAGCGTAATCACATATATCTATATATTCTTGTACTTCGCCGATACCTTCTGGTAAAATTTTCCCTAAAATAAAAGTTTTAATTGATTATTTTTTAAAAAATATTATTTTTTTTTATAATATTTACCCATTTCTAACGATACTAATTTTCCAAGCGGTAACAATTTACTTCTTAACGCGTCACCAATTTGTCTGACAATTTCTCCACGTTTAGGAGCGGGTAAATCGGACCACGAGTTCCAGGCACCTGAAGCAATCGACACACATCTTTCATAATCTTCTTTGCTGGCAGTACGAACTTTAGCTATTGGAAGCCCATTCGCCGGACACACAGACGTAATAACCTAAAATATTCTAGTAATAAAATAATTATCAGATTTATTGCTTGTCGTTTTACGTTTCCATTAGCTTTCCAGTCTCCATCGTAAACTCCTGTGTTTTCTTCATTTAAATCCAATTCTTTAAGAAAAGAATATTTACTATTATTTATTAAAAAACTACTATATCGATTACAATTAAAACTAAGCAATTTTGGGAATTTTAAATTCCTTAAGATATTAAAACTACAATAATGCATATCTTTTTTTCTTAATATTATACTTCCATTAAGAACAGCATTAAAACCAATTGTATAATATGTTATGTAGACAATCAATAGTTTTATATTTTACCTGTTTATTAAGTATGTGTTATCTTATCTTTTATGAGCAACACAAAATAAAATCAACCTTTGCTTTATGTTTATCAGAAATTGTTTATTTATTCAAATATATGCTACTAGAGCATAGTAGTATTATAAAGTAAAAAATGTACTTAAAACTCTAGTACAGTTGTTATAATTATTTATGTTTATATATATGTATATATATTTTTTTACAGATTAATGTTTACTGGTTACATTTACAAAACTAGCAGTATTGGAAAAATATCTAGCCGAACTCGTACTAGTATTTTTAGATTCGGCCGCTTGAGGGTTAACGATTTCCAATCCCTAAATAACATACATATAAATTTGTATTAGTTTAAGAGTATAATTTGTGACGTATACATTTTACCACGTCCACACTAGCGAGCCAAACTCTGAACTACAACACAAACGTTGCAGAGTTGTACATTATTATTCAAATAAAAAATTATTTATAAAATCATCTATAGTGTATTCCAAATGAGAATTACGTGGTTGAAAAACTAAAAAGAGTCAGGTGTAACACATTTTAATTTATGCACCGATTTATTCTTATTTGAAACAAAGCATACTTTTTCCAAATAATATAATATAATACATATTATATACCCACAAACACACACACATATATTTTTATGTTGGAATAGTATGATTCTTCATTCAAGTAAATTGTAAAAATTCAAATCATTTTTTATTTAAATAATAAATTGTGGAAAAATCATTCAATTAACGCGTGATTACACCATATTGCACATGTCAAACGAATGTGTTGCAGTTTGCAGTTTGCCGTCGGCTAGTTTGGACAAGGCTTTACAAATACCTAAGATTAAATATGTTTAAACTCTTCAACATTAATTTATGATTTTTGTAAAAAAATTTAATTATTTTACTCTACCTGAAGTGGAGTAAATGCTACACTTGAAGCAGTACCGGAAACTTGTTTTTTCACTGAAGTCGCACCACCCCACGCTTGTTGTTTTTGTAAATTTTTTTGTAGAGTTTTTGAAATTCGAACCTTGGTCTTTTCATCAACTTGGGCGTGTCGAATTCTACCTGTTCCTGACTTTCCAATAGTTCCACGAGTGTAACCCAAATCTTCTTGATAAGCGTCGTCTTCAATCTAATTTATATCAGTCTATTTTAACTATTTTTCTTACAACCTATCTTGTATGTACATGTATGCATAAATATTTTACAATAACTCACGTCAGCGAAATTCATTCTATTAGCTTGTTTTCGTAATTCTGTAACAGCAAAGCGTTCTTTCATTTTACGAACTCTTTTGCCTCCTCTCTTCTTTCGGCCAGGATCAACGGGCTTAGGTAAAGGCTTAACAAATTTGACCGGAGGCGGTTCCTTTAAATCAACAATAGAAATTTAATATTAGTATTATGAAAAAAACCTCAAATTATTTATTTTAATAGTTACCGTCAATTTATCCAATTTTTTTTCAATATCTTCTTTTAACGTCATTCCAATATGACCATCTACACTTTCATGTGCAGCGTCCACTCTAGCAGCTAACGTACTTTTAGTAGCTACTAATCTGGCTGCTTTTCTCCTTAAATCCTAAAAAAAAAGGAAAATATATATAATACAGGTGGCCCGATTCTCTATTAAACAAAAAACATTTTCCTATTTTTTCAGATTTTTGAAAGAATTTGTAGAGGTTGTTTGTAGCGCTTTTTTTTATAAAAATGTAATTCTTTCAATTTTACAGGTATTATTATCAGGTTATTTTCAAAAATTCAAAGCACATTGGGAAATATATTTTTTTCTATTTTGTTTTTTAACTTTTAATTTTATGAGTGAAAAATCTAGATTTATTTTTTTAACTTATCGAAAAAAATGTAAGGGCAACAATAAGGGTTGTTTTATCAGAATTTTCAAAAATGTCATCTTTTAAAAGCTTGTCTCTATCAATATTGTTTTAATTTAACCACAAAGTAAAAATTTGTTCAGCAGATAATTTTCATGTGTGTGTGATTTTTACTTTACATCTAAAAGTATTTTTATCCCTGAAAACTTGAAATAATTAAATGTTTACATAAAAGCGCTTCTAGCATTCTCTACAAATTCTTTTAAATTTAGGAAAAATATAGATATATATATATATATATAACTTAAGTACAAATAGTTATATTTTAATTAAAAAAATTAATACCGGTGGATTATTTTGGACTAACGAACAATGAAAAATAAAACCAGTATGTGGCATTGCGTTGACTTGTGAAAATCCGGATAAAAGTTTTTTTTGAGATCCCAACAATAAAACATTGCATGCTGGCATTTTGGATAAATTTGTCAATCCTCCTGCTACGCCTAGTTTTAATAACAATAAATATTTAAAAAAAATAGTATTAATTAGATACAATTTTGACTCAATATAACATACCCATAATTTTAGCCGCCGTCGAAGCACCAACTATAACGGAAAGATTTGGAGCGATAAAAGTCATTCTACTTTCTACATACTCGTATACTTTTAATTTCAATTTATTTAGATCAATAGCCATGTCACAGCCCTCACGCACTTCTATTAATTCATTGTCTGTTAATAATTGCCTGTAACATTAAAGTTATTTTATTTATTAAAGCTAAAAAAAAAAAAAATTAGTTATAAAAGATGTAATTATAAAAAGGCTAAATGACAAAAAGGTCTCAATGATCAGAAAACCAAAAGAAGAACATTAAAGAGTAGTAATAAATTTAGTTTTCTTTTTAATAGGGTAAATGTTTTTTTCGACTTACCCTTGGGTAGTAGATGCCGTGACAGAAACTACCATAATAGTAGCTTGGGTAAGGAAAGTAGGAAGTACTTCATTGTTTTTTGACTGTTCAAGAGTATTTCCTAGTTCTTTAACTGTCTGCACGTATTCTAATGGTCCAACTACGAGGGACTCTAATTCAGGAAATCTCTTTGAATACTTATCTCGAACAAATTTATGTATCACCACTAAACAAATTTTTTTTAAACTGTTTAGAAACTTTACCGGTTACACATTATGACTCTCTTAAATACATACAAATTTCATCATCAAATTCCACTATTAAATTATTAGCTTCGACAATTAAACGATATTCAGGGTCGGTTTCAACGGGGCCTAAAACTTCATCGGCCCTCCTTTGTCGATTTTGAAATACGTCTATTTGCTGCATAATGTCTTCGAGCCGCTTGGAATCTCTAAGTTTGGCGAGATCACGTATTTTGACATTTTTGAATTCTACAAACAAAAAAACAATAAATGAGTAATTAATAAACATACCACACACACATGCTAGTGCATAAAAGAACAAGCAAATGACTGTTTTTTCGATGGTTGGATATCTTTACACGACAAAACTTCCATGGTATATTAAGAAATTGAAAATGTACATTACATATTTTTTAATTAATTGAACAATGTTTTCATACAAAACAATACTTTGTCAGCGAAGTAGGATAATACAATTATATAAAGGTTACTTATTTAACATAAAACTTACCAGATTGTTTCAAAACTAATGCATTATCTTGTGGTATATCATTGGCTTCCTCTTCAACGACCATCGGCTCAATGTCATCGTAGCCATCCTCTTCCAAATCCGCAAGCAGTTCTTCGGCTAAAGACATTGTCAATCACCGACTGTGGAATTTGTTTTTTTTTTAAATAATTAGCCCGGAAAATAAATAATAGCTTATGTTATTAAAAAAAAAAAAATTGTTAAACTTACTCGTAAAAAAACAAATATTATAATAAACGCAAATGAAGCAAAAGTAATTTTAATGGACTCATGTTATTGAATTAACTTAGACCACTGAAATTGTAGATAATATTAAACTTTGTAATTTGCATTTTGTTTACATATTTTAGAAATCATTATAAATCCGAAATCGTAAAACCGAAAAAGCTTCAAACCGCAAGCGTGTGATGATTATCGTCAATCACCTATTCGGTTACGGCACGATTGATATGTTAAACCACGGTTGCAGTATAGTCATGGAAAACAAAAAAAAATGTCCGAATAGATAAACTGATAAGCCATTGCTGATAACGGTTTTAAAAAAATTTTGACTTTTCAATTTTTGTGAAATATGTCAATTGTCAAGTGTGTCTCTTCACTCTTGCAGTTAGCTTTCCCATTAACAGACGAAAACAGTTAACCAATAGCTAATGTAAGTGTAAGATTTTAATTATTTTATCTAGAAACATAAATTCGAGTATTACACAGGATGGTTCCTTAAGTATAACATGCTCAATTTTTCTTAAAATAATAATTGCGATTTGTAGTTTTTATTTTGGGAGACACTAGTTTATGTTATTTTACAATATTAGGCAATATTCAAATTTGTATTTTTACCCAAAGCTCTATTAACTTTTAAAACTTCAATGGTAACAAATAGTATATATTTAATTAACTTTTTATTAGAAAAATAATTTGCTGAAAATATTTATCGAACTATAACTAATTTTGCATAGGTAAGTATGTTTAAAGTTAATAAAATTTTAAAATTTGATAAGATGAATACTTCGCTCTACCCTTCAGACAATCCTAAGCTCTAAAACTTTAATAGCTTTAAAACTAATAATTTAGTATTGTAAAATGACATACGGGATAAGGGACACTTCATACATTTGTACGGTTTGCGCATAACTACATCACAAATCTCCATCGACAGTAGAAATCGAATAATATTAAGTTCCTTCATTTTTCATAATATTTAATTTTTCTATAAAAAACATTACTTACTTTTATTGTTAAACTATATAATTTTTGGCTTTATAATTAACAACTGTGATGTTTTAAAAATTAACTTAAGATTTTTTTAATAAATAGATATTTTATTAATTAGTTTTAACTATTGACAACAAAGCCATTGTGAAGTAGTTGCCATTGTGCAAATAGTTTTATTGCAGAATTTTAGTTTAATGTTATTTATTTTCAGTTGATGATATATGAAGTACTGTTATGAGTAATTCTTACCAAAATAAATGGAAAGGCAATGGCCGAAAAAATTGGAAGAATTATAAAAGGAAAAATAACCAGTTTACTACAGATAATCATGAATGTCATTCCAGTAATTCAGTTTCTAGCAATGAAAATGTAGAAGATAGCTTATTTCAAGGTTGGAAACTATATTTTCCCTTTGAAAAATATGATAAAGACAGTTTAACAGTAAAATATGCATTAGCCATCAAGTCGTTCCTCAATAAAGATAAACAAAATATTTCCATTGAACAGCTTATTGAAAACAAATCATATCTTTTGAATGTCGAACTTTTATATCAAGATGAAGATTTCTCATCAGTTTGGTTAAATTTTTGGGAGGAGTTGACTAATCGACCAAATTACACACTGCTGTGTTTAGGTCTTGCTATTCATCAGTACGCATTGGATGAATTGAACAAAAGTATTGAAAACGATTCTTCTGTGTTCAGAGACTTGCCAATTATACATCCTAGAGTTATAAATTTTGGTCCCCATTTTCAATTGAAATGTTTAAAAGCAGATACTGATGGAAAATTAGTTTTAATATACGGTACAGTAATAAAAGTGAGCAGTCTAAAATTTCAATGTTCGTGTTTAGGTTTTACGTGTAATTCATGTGGGTCTGTTCAAAGCGTACGGCAGCCCGACGGTGTGTTTACAAAACCCAAAAGTTGTGACAACGTAGCCTGCCGCAATCGTTCATTTGTTGTTAATAAAAGTTCACCTCTCACTCAAACCATAAATTGTCAGACGATTAGAGTTCAAGAACTACAAAGTGACGATCAAAGAGAAAGCGGTAGAGTACCCAGAACTGTCGAATGTGAGCTTACTAACGATTTGGTTTACACGTGTATTCCAGGAGACGTAGTCACAGTAACTGGAGTCGTTAAGAAAAAAACATGTACGCAGAATAAACAAAGTGGTCAAAACAAAGAATCTAATACGTTTATTCAATACATTGAGGTTGTTTCTATACAAAATAGTAAAAATCAATCCAAAGGAAACGTAACCAGCACTAATGTACAATTTACAATGAAAGATTATTATTCAATTCAAAAGCTTCATTCTAAACCTCATCTTTTCGAGCTCATGGTTAACTCGTTGTGTCCTAGCATATACGGCCATGAGATGGTGAAGGCAGGATTACTATTGTCTTTGTTCGGAGGTAGTAGTTCAAATCAAACCCGAGGGGATGTTCATGTTTTAGTCGTTGGGGATCCCGGACTTGGAAAATCTCAAATGCTTCAGTCAGTATGTAATATTTCTCCTCGTGGCGTATTCGTCTGTGGAAGTACTTGTTCTTCAGCTGGGTTAACCGTTAGTCTGACACGAGAAAAAGGTATAGATTTTTCCTTAGAAGCCGGAGCAGTAGTGTTAGCCGATCAAGGTGTTTGTTGTATTGACGAGTTTGATAAAATGACACAAGATCATAACACACTTCTAGAAGCCATGGAACAACAGACGATAAGTATCGCAAAAGGAGGAGTAATATGTTCTCTTCCTTGTCGTACCACTATAATGGCAGCGGCCAATCCAATAGGAGGTCACTACGACCCCGGGAAAAGTGTTTTGGATAATTTGAAAATGAGCCAAGCGATGTTGTCGCGTTTCGATTTAATATTTTTGTTGTTAGATACACCAGACGAGTTTGCTGATAAAAAATTAACAGCTCATGTTCTGAACATGCATTCGACTACAATTAAGCCTAGTGAAAATGCAAGCGGTTCTTTACCAATCAATACTACATCTCTTAAAGACAGATTATCGGTAAATTTTGAAAACGGTGAATTTATTTCTCACGCGGAATTGCGTAAATACATTGCATATGCCAGGAAATACGTCCCGTTTCCGACACTGTCGGATGATGCCAAAAAAATGCTACAGGAATTTTTCATTGAACTTCGCAAAAATAATCTAAGCTACGGTATTCCAATTACTGTAAGACAGCTTGAGTCCTGTATTAGATTGGCACAAGCACGGGCAAAAGTAGATTTACGGGAGGAAGTTACCGCGAAAGATGCTTATGAAGTTATCGAGTTACTTAATTTTAGCCTCGTAAAAACTCAGTGTGATGAATTTAGCGGTTTTGGTTTTAAAAAGAATGCAAAAAAAATGGGTGTCAGAGCACAGTCAAGAAAATTACTAGCTGAACTACAAAGACATGGTAAAACCGAACGTTTATTTAGTATCGATCAGATGAAAATGTATGCGAATCAATTAAATATACCGGTATTGGACTTTTATAACATAGTGGATTTATTGAATAATGAAGCGGTTATTATCAAAAAAGGAAATAATATGTATGAATTAAAAATATAACATGTATTTTAAACATGATGTATACCTACTTTTTTTTATTGGAAATATATGAATCAAGATTTTCACTTTGAGTACGTTTATTCATATATTTTTAACGAATCCTTCCAAAACATCGTCCTGTTTTCATTTCGCAATAGATGTTCAGCGAGCATTCAGTCTACTAATTGTGTGCGGTTATCGATTTGTCTTCTATCTAAGTGTTTATTTATAAAATATCACTCTTACTGGATGTCCTTTGTCATACATTATATAAATTCTTCCATATTAAAATAATATATAATAGAATTATTAATCATAATCTATAACAGTAATAGTTGATTATCTTAGTAGGTTGACTTGCTATGTTAACAACATTAAGTTAACACATTCGTTTTATTATTATAATTCTGTTAAAATTTAATCTTAGGTTTTTAATTTACAGATGGACAGATCTAATTTATGTGGTTGTAAAGGAGTTAGAACTTGTTTCGTGTGTGAAATTCAATTCAATTTAAGTCCTACAGTTGACGCGAATATCCTAAAAGTAAACAATAACAAACACGTTATGCATTTTTGCCTTTAAAAAATGATTTACACTGTGGTTTAATTTTTTCAGAAATTATCTTGCGCCTCTTTTTGTGCCGAATGCAATTCGTTGTGGCAAGGTTGGAATGCCAATGAGTATAAAAACCATCCTGATCATGTCGGCAAGTGTTATGATTTAAATGGAGTGTACATTCAACACGATTTCATCGACAAAGAAGAGGAGCTAAAGTTAATCGAGAGTTTAGATGCTATGCCTTGGGACGTTTCTCAAAGCGGTCGTAGAAAACAAGTAAGTCATATTTAATAAAAACAATATTTTATTTATTTTCTCATATTATTCAATATGATGTTTTAGAACTTTGGACCGAAATGCAATTTTAAAAAAAGACGTTTGTCGATGGGAAATTTCAATGGTTTTCCATTGCCAACTAAGTTTGTACAAGATCGCTTCGAACGGATTCCCCTTATGAAAGATTTTCATACGATTGAACAATGTTCGTTAGAATACAAATCTGAAACCGGCTCTTCGATAGATCCTCATGTCGATGATTGTTGGATTTGGGGCGAAAGAATTGTATCTTTAAACCTTTTAACGGATTCGGTTTTAACGTTAACTCCTCATCGTGCCAAATACCAAAATCAGTATAACATCGACTATATACCAAATGATAAGGATTTGTTTTTACCATTGAACAAAACAGATTACCCCGTAGACGTTATAAGAATACCTATGCCAAGAAGATCACTTTTAGTGTTGTATGGAAATCCTCGATACCTGTGGGAACACTGTATACTCAGAGAAGATATTCAAGAAAGAAGAGTTTGTCTGGCGTATAGAGAATTTACACCGTCGTATTTAAAGAATGGTGAACACTTCCAAGAAAGTTGTGATATTTTAGAAAAAGCAAAAACATTTTGGTGAATAAAATAATATGTGTAGTATTGTGCTATTTTATTACAATACTTACGATTATAATTATATAAATGTATTAATTTAATATTTTTCCTAACGCATGTGATTGTTATAGATTATAATAATTTATATGAGTAGAACATCTGTGGTTTAATAAAATATTATATACCTAACAACTGTTTCAATATAAGTATAAAGTATGAGTACAAAAGAAAAAGAGGAAAAATAGCTGTAAAAAGTAAAAACGTAATTCCCTTTTACATATACATTTTATTAATTTAATACCAAAGAATTTAAGTTATTTAATATCAGGTATATAAAAAATAAAAGTACATAAGTATTAACCTGATTTTTTAAAACGTTAGGTCAAAATATTAAAACGCAATTGTTGTCGTCCTCCAAGTAATTTATACATTTATGTCTGTTCGTTTTTTTTTCGATATTTTAAGTATTAATTTTAAAGAAATGGTCTACAATTCAAATCAAACGAAAATTATCTAGATTTGTTTTATCTTTATCATCTTCACCTTTAAAACTGTATTACTGATATTTTATTATGAAGATATAATTTATTTTGATTTAACTATTAAAATGTATATGCGTACATTGTTGAAAAACCTATTCCGTATTCAAAATATTAAACAGTGAATTCTTTCTTATATTCTGAAGCTTTAATTCTATTTACATATTTTATAGGCATGCTAAATAAATCTGGAATCTAATCATAAAAACCTAAAAAAACGCCCTTAATAATTACACATGAATTATACACCAATTATTGTATTATGGATATCTTATAAATGTGTTTCACATTTAGTTGGTACCCTAGGTAAAGTCTTTCCTGTTTTTATTGTTGGTGTTCACAAGGTACACTTTTTTTAAAATATGATAATAGTTTTGTAAAACTTGTAGAAAATTGACCTAACATTAACTTATTATCCATTTGGAAATAGTTAAGAGTTCATACCTATATAATATAGTGGCTTGTTCAGGATTTAGAGTGCCCTCTTAAACTTTTTTTAAGAGGGCAAGTACCTATTATATATAAAGCACGTACGCGTTATAAACAAATAATACAAGTTATTTAATTATAAATTAAAATACAGTAAACGAATCCGAGGATTAATAACGGTAAGAAGAAGAAGACCTTTTTTTTGACAAATTAAAATCACTCGCCAAAACACACGAAAGCACGATGCCCAACATCTGAAACACACAACACGTTTCGTACCAATAAAAAACAATTATTATTAAACATAATCGCGTTTTCAATTTTATTTCCACCAGACATATACCTGCAAAAAGCTATTCCCATCGCAACACACCCCAGAGTGCTGGCGTTCATAGGACTATAGTCATTTCTCCCCATAAACAGGGCATTAGCTTCGTGTAATAAAATCAATAATAAATATATATTTTTCATACAACTAGTGGGATAGATACTACTAACATTAATATGTATAGTTTTTATCTGTATTTTTATGTTTTAGAAGCTCTGTATTAGTTTTTTTTATGATTTGTAGTCTGTAGTGAGCTATGAGGGAAGGAGATTTTCTAATATTTTCATTGCTTAAGCACCCACCCAAACAGATATAATCTCTAGACTATACTTGTACACATAATAGCTCTGTATTCCCTCTTCCACCTCTTCGACGCCACTTTAATGTACCACAACACATCTTCAACTATTTTTTAACCTCTTCTAAATATATAAACTTATGCTGGGTCACAAAAAACTGGGTATTTTATGAACAACATTTGAGGATGTAGGTACGACTTGTATCGACTTTTTGTCAACGTTTCGGTGTAATGACCTTTTGGGTCTGATGTGAAATCGGCACGTGTGGTACATTCATATTTAACAATGAGAAGTTATATAATATAATATATAGATATATGTACATGTTAGTCCTAATAAGTTGTACAATGTAATAAATATGTATATGTATCTATTAGCCCTGATAAGGGTGGGTCCGTTACATCGGAGAGAAAATTAATTTTTTAAGTATGAATGTACGCATGTTCGTAATGTAAATACTATAAACACACTCCATATTGGTACAAGGCACAGGCTTATTAACCATTTGATAATAGCAATTAAGTATTTATTAATAAATGATAATCAGTATATGCGCAATAATGTACCTATAGGCTATACTTTACATTAGACAACCAGTGGCGAAGCGTCATAGGAGACAAAGAGACAATGTCTACCCACTTATAATACAGACAAAAAATTTGGTTTTATTTTATGTGTACAAAAAAGTTTTAACCAATTTTAATGTAAAAGTATATTTTTTTGTAATAGTATTCTTAGAATAGAGTAGTTGTGGACGCGGATCAGCGGGCGGTCGCGCTGCCGGCCGCCGGGTCTATCCAAATTTAGTATAAAAATAAATGAGACAATTTCAAAATTGTCTCTTTTGCCGGGCGCTGTATGCAGGGGGAAATGGAAAACGGCGGGGATTTATCGTTGCGCTATGAGACATGTCTCACCGACCGCCGTTCATATTATTATTGTTTTAGTAGACGGTATCAGTTATCCGTTATCGATGTACGTCGTATCGGTTGTCGTGTTGTACGTTTTCAAATATGCCTATGCCATTTAGTTTATTAGTTTTTGAACATTTATTTTTTACAGTATAGATAAAATAACATATACAGGGGGCGCAGTCCCCCTGTCAAGTCACGTAACACCATTTTTTTTTCAATGTCTCCCCGATCTAAAGATCCACGCCTCGCCACTGTAGACAACACATAAATATTAATACATATATACTTACAAATATCATCAAGTTGAAATGTAATAGTAAATATTTTATCGCAAAGGAAGCTTTGCTAAACATTTTAAACAGTTATTATGCAGTTTTAATATTTATGTAAATACTATTAGCACACCCCATATAGGTACAAGCCTATTAACCATTTGATAATAGCGATTAATAAAAAAATGATACTTTACATTATACATACATATTAATACATATATACTTACAAATATTATCAAGGTGAAAATGAATAGCAAATATTTTATCGCCAACGAAGCTATGCCCAACATTTTAAAACTGTATTAATAAGCGGATCAATTTTTAATGACTCTAATAACTGATTAATATCGATAACAAATCTTTATAAAAAAAATATTTTATATTTTTCAAGTAGATACAATACAAAAAATTACAATATCTATGCTAAATACTATAGTTGCAGTTATAACAATGTCTGCCACGTATTTTCTACTTAGCCTAATTTGTATAACTGTTCCTTCCTATAACTCTAAAATTCCACTTCTTTATACATAGGACTATAGTACTGTTATTCGCCCCATAAATATGTTATTAGCTTGGTAAAATAATAATAATATTTTTCACACAACTATTGTGGGATAAGATAGTATATTAACTTTAATATTTATAGTTTTTATCCGTATTCGTTATGTTTTAGAAGCTGTGTATTAGTTTTTTTTTAGGTTTGTAGTTTGTACTTTATTTTAATTTTAATGTCTCCATTAGTTTATATATTGGTAGTTTTATTTTATTATTGTTTAAATTTGTTTATAGAAAACTGTACCTTGTGACTACGGGCGTTAATGTACCTACCGTGTAGGAAGAGGAGATACAAAAATAATAGCGATAATATAAACAGCACAAAAAAATATCAATATACAAACTATATTGTTTGCTTGAACTACATTATTTGATTGAAAAATATAACTTTTGGACGATGAATAATGATTTGTAAATTGTAATATGAATATTTTGTACAAACCTGTTAGGTACTCGTTTCTGTCGGTTAAACATCTTAATGAAGTAGATGCATTGCGTTTTAAACAGTGAAATCAAAATATAAAGTTAGAGATCCCACTTAAACTTTATTTAAAGGGCAAGTACTGAAGGTACCTATTAAAAAGCAGGTACGTGCTATGGATAAATAATACAAATTATTTATTTATACATTTTTAAGAATTAAGCTACAGCAAACTAATCCAAGGATTAATAACGGTAAGAAGAAGAAGACATTTGTTTGGCTAGTATTAGAGTCACTTTATAAGTTTATTTAATACAAATACAGGTGCGGTATAATATAATATTAAAATAGATAGATATATAACTTGTAATAAATTGTCACCAAAACATTTTAAACGGGTGAATTTAATTTTCGGTAATGTCTTGTGTATGCTTAAAAAATGAATGTTATCTAGCTGCTTTAATTTCGATAACATTTTATATTATTATGGTTCTTTAAACTGGCTTGTAACTGCTCCTTATGGATTTCGACAAAGAACACGAAAGCACGATGCCCAACATCTGAAATACACGCCACGTTTCGTATCAATATAAAACAATTATTATCAAACATAATCGTTTTCAATTTTATTTCCATCAGACATATACCTGCAAAAAAGCTATACCCATCGCAACACAGCCCAGAGTGCTGGCGTTTTCTCTTACTATCATGGAAAGCGATTCGTAACACGGTTGTTTGAATACATCCGCCGTCGGATCGCTTGTTGAACACGTCTGATGGTCGATCACCCCATATCGTGTGCCACAGCATGACATGGGCAACTTGTTATCCAATATTGGATACCAGTCTTCCAGTTTTTCTGCCCCGCAACAATGTAGCTTTAGTAGACATAATAAAACAAAGTACAATCGCAATTGCGTTAACACATATTTCAAAGATTAATTAAATTCAATGGATAAAAAAAAAAAGTTTTTTTTTTCAATTAGAACTTTTTAAATTTAAATACTGGGTAATTATTTTATCGTGGGTCACTCAATATCTCACTGGATTTAATTAAATAATTGTCTTTTATTTTATTTTTACACATTGTTATGTTCTTATCCCCATTCCTAGTTAGTTTTTTTGTTTTGATAGCAACTTTTGAAACTTAAATAGTAATGCGAACATTTCATTAACTTTTTAAATTTTGAATAATGTACTAATTATTTAAATCGCTGTCAAGGATGTTGTGATAGTACAAAAAATAAATGAACTATCAAAAAAAAAAAAGAGTCCTAATTACTCAACTTATAATAATTACACATCACAATTTAATTTTTTAATTAGGATTTTGTAAAAAAAATTCCTATACCCAACTCCTTAATAATTGTAGGATATGGAAGGATAAGACACTTATTATCTCTTAAAATAATTGTAATTTTATAATGTTTCTTTTTGGAAACATTTTTGTTTAAAATTATTTTACAATATTAAAAAATTACTAAATATTTACCTTTTTTAGTATTTTACAGAACCCTATAAACTTTAAAAACTGAAATATAAATTCAACTAACTTTTTAACAGAAGAATAATACTAATATTAATGACCAGTTTTGAATAATTACTTTTAAATTTATTAAAGTTTGAAATTTAGGGTGGGAAGAAGAGTGGAGTGTAGTATAATTTTTATCAAATTTTAAACTTTAGTAACTTTAAAATTAATTATTCAACACTGCTTATCGAACGACGCCCAGTCAAAATTGTCAGCAAATTATTCTTCTATTAAAAATTTAATTAAGTATAAACGTAACCGCTTCAGTTTTAAAAGTTCACAAGAGCATTTTTTGAAAGAAAATAAAAAGATACAAATTTGAATATTGTTTAATATTGTAAAAACTACAGAATTGCAATTATTTTAAGAGGGAAAAGAGTGTGTTATCCTTAATGAATCATCCTAGGTATAATATTAATTTTACCTTGTATATAATTATAGATTGTAAAAATAGCCAGTGCAGTGGTGTCAAGAGCATAGCGGGGAGTGGGGACGGAGTAAGGTGTACAAATGTGAGTAAACAATTATTTAAAAAAAAAAACTATTAGTCATTATATTATTATATTACAGTGGTTTGTAGTTTGTCCCAAATATGTGTTATTTGCGTTGTTTTATTGTAAAGTTTCATAGTCTCATGTAGATTTAGTGTGACTACAGTGCGAGCTCTTTCCGATAAAATGAATCCTGCTAAACCACCAGTCAATTCCATTATAAAGCACGTTGCTAAAAGAAATCCGAACTGCGAAAAAAGTGACACATAATAAAAATGTACTTATAAATCCAATATATTAGATGGTAGTATCGTTGATACTTGAATACAGTGGCGTGTTCAAGAAGGGGGGATGCGATAGGGGTAATACATTTATTTTTGAATTTAGGGAACTATTAACCTTTATTATTCGTAATTAATTATATTAAATAGCTCAAATTCGCAGATAAATTTTTTTTTATATGGTTAGATAGTTTAAAAACACACATCGAAACACATGTTTTATTAGCCACAGTCTAATGTCTCTATGTATTATAACATATACAACAGCCCTTCCTTCTCTTGAGATGAACTCTCTAATACGCCACTGGTTGATTAATAAATTGAATACAATTTATTTTCGTATATACAGTTAACTTACAGTAAGCATCATGCAGTAGTTTTCTTTTAGTGTACCACAACATCCGAAAAACGATACCGTTAAAACGATAAGTCCCAAGATTATCAGCAGGGACGGTGCGGTAAAGTAATGCTCGTTAAGAAATTGTTCATATTGATTAAAAACATTTCTGATAGACAATCCGACCGATAAAAGTAAAATACCACTCAGCTGAAAAATTAAGTATCTTTTTTTTTAATTTAAACTTTTAGCATATTACATTATTCTAATATCTAAATTCTAATACATATACGCAATTTCTGGGGGGTGGATTCTTAGGGCGTTTAGAACCCTCATACCCCGCAGTAACTACATACAAATAAGCTACCCTAAATTGTTTTCCTCATTTACTATTATATTACTATTACTAGGAACCACCACTTGAATGAGTAATAAATACTGAGTTTTTTCAAAGGTCGGCGACTACATGTTATGATTTGTAGTTAGTACTTTATTTTAATTTTTTAATTTGAATGTCCCCAATTAGTTTATATTATATTGGTAGTTTTATTTTATTATTGTTCAAATTTATCTATAGCAAACTGTACCTTATGCCTTCGGGCGTTTATTAAATAAATAATATATTCATATATTTATAACAATAATTGCCAATTATACTTAATAAACCAGCAAGGTAAGAAATTACCAAAGTAGGGTCTAGTACCTATCCACAAATTCGAATCGAAGCGTTTTCTTGAATGTGATTTTATGAGAACTTTACATAGGTGCAATTTGGGGGGGAGGGGGTAGGTGGTCAGCACCCACAAAATTGATTTCCATAAGTAGTAAAGAGAGGAGATTTTCCAATATTTCCATTACTTAAGCACTCACTCAAGCAGATTATAGTCTCTTGACTATACTTGTTCATACTGAGCTAGTTTATAGACTGTGCTTGGTTAAGACTATACTTGCGGTTTACGCTATTTTCTTACTGTCTACAGATTCGTATCAACGCTTTGGCGTTTGACAGTGTTTAAATTTATTACATTTTTTTAAATTTTATATATCTTGGTAGTTGTCCATCATTACTTAACAATAGCCTCAGCTCTAACCAAGGAAAATTTTAATTATACTCAATTTAAATGACACTTTAATTTCACACAATAGCCTTGTATTTCCTCTTTCCGCCTTAACCGACTACACTGCTGGGTCACAAAGAACTGGGTATTTTAGGAAAAACATTATAGAAAAATACATTTTTAAGTATTAATGTACGTATGTTCGCTTAATTTGTTTTAATATTTATGTAAATACTATTAGCACACCCCATATAGGTACAAGCCTATTAACCATTTGATAATAGCGATTAATAAAAAAATGATACTTTACATTATACATACATATTAATACATATATACTTACAAATATTATCAAGTTGAAAATGAATAGCAAATATTTTATCGCCAACGAAGCTATGCCCAACATTTTAAAACTGTATTAATAAGCGGATCAATTTTTAATGACTCTAATAACTGATTAATATCGATAACAAATCTTTATAAAAAAAATGTAATTTATATTTTTCAAGTAGATACAATACAAAAAATTACAATATCTATGCTAAATACTATAGTTGCAGTTATAACAATGTCTGCCACGTTTTTTCGTATACTACGAATGTTTAAACAAGTGTCGTTTGCCAACAGCTGTGCTTTTGATTCGGTTCTAAACCTACATACCTACCCATATTCGCCTAACAACTTTGAAAAAAAATGTACACAATAACAACATGCACTTAAATATTATGTGTCTTTTATTTTATAAAAAAATATAAATTCATATTATAACAATTGTTGATCCATTGATTTTGGCTCTATAATATACACAAAATTACCTTTTACAATTTTTTTAGCCATATAAAACTTTGCATTTTATAACTGTAATATGAATTACGATTTTTTTATTTAAAAAAATATTGGTTATTTGTTAAACTAACAGAGGGGGATAGGATAGATAGTTTTATTTTGTAACAAGGAAGAAGTTTAAAGAGGCCACCATAGTCGAAAAAAATATACTTTACTTTTAATAGCAGCCTTATCAATTATTTCATCCGAGTCTACACGACCGTTTAACAACCATTTCTCAATAAACATTATCATAAAACTGTCTTATGACAACAAGGTATTCTTTAAGTATCATTTGACATACTATAGTTTCGGGAAACTACGCTCACATCTTAGTTGAGTGACTGAAAGATTAGGCAAAATAAGAAATAACATGTAACATAATATGTAGATAGGCATTGTTTTATAAATAATACTTTACCAAGAAATTAAAAACACTTTCATACTGTTGAAAAATAACAAACGTTCATAATTTTAGTTATACATGTTGAATTAATTTTATTATAAAAATATTAGTGATACCGTGGGGGCCACCGGGATATCTATTTTTTTTTGGATTTTCCAAGAAGTAAAATTTTTTTTTAAACTGTGTATTCAATTGACAATTCCTGTGTCTAATGACAGGAAATCTTAATGAAAAATTACACATTTTTTTTTTAATTCTATAATTTGTTTTAAAGATTTTTTGGAGAATGGCGGTTGGGGCTTGCTATTTAATGTATATACTAAGACCCTCCAGGCAGTTTAAGTTATTAAGTTAATAATTTCGGAGTAAGACATGCCCGTTTTCAAGTCAGTGGCGCAATTAGTCTTACAATTAGTTGTATGTGTGAATTTTCTTCTTGTATACATTTGTATATTACAATACAGCACAAGCTAATGTTTTGCACCCTGGCGATTTTAACTGTAATTATAATTTGTATGCCACTGTACTGTGATTTAAATAAAAAACGGTACACATATAATTCAAATGTGTTGCAGAGAGTGTTTAGATTATTCTTTTTGAAAATTAAAGTCCTAGTGCTTACGAATGACTCACTCAATACTATATTGGCCTAACTGAAGGTAAACAATCGGTGTACCTATATTTTATGGTAATAACCGTTAAATAACGATTGAGCCTATGTACGGTTGTGAAAATGTCAAATGTGAAAGCAATGTTAAAGCTTCGTGAGACACCAATGTGCTTAAAATTTAAGGTTTTTGTATATTTTTTAATAATTAAGTATTATTAATAAATAAATGTATAATATATTATAATACATATCGGGTAAATACCGATATATATATATATATATATATATATATATATATATATATGTTTAATACCTATAAATAATTTATAGGTTTTAAACATTTAGTTTTCTTATTTCATGATATTTTAATATTTATAGACAGGAAAAATACAGTTGGAATACCTAAATGAAAAGTCGGGCCAACTAATTTATTGTTTAATTTAACTATAAATTTAGTTATTCCTTCTAAACATATTTTATTGTGTCCCTTAAGTAACCATACTTTTGGTTTGACCAACTATGTATATTTTTCTGTGTGTGTACCTATTTAATAAAAAAACATGATAATATTTTTAATTATAAGTCAACTTATACCGTTACCAAGTAGATACCTACGTTATAATTTTTCTTATCTCGTAAGTCGTATAATACTAGTTAATAAAAAATATTAATATATTATACATAACATAATGGAATCATAAATACCACACATAGGGTATCAGTTTATGTTCATTTTTTATTCATAATAATAAAAAAGTACATTAGTTAGTATATTAGTTTAACAAGACTCACAATACGATTTATGAATACATACAATTTAAAAAGTGACTGGAAATAATACGTGAGCATTATTTTTGAGACACTACTTTATAAATATGTATACATAATATAATTTGATCAAATCATTTTCAATCGTAATAACGTTTCGACGAAAATTCTACACACACAAATACATTTTTTTTCGACCTACCTCATTAGCGTGGCTGTTTTGTTTTTACAATTGATTAGTATTTTTTTTCTTCGAACATCGTTTGTCACTGACGTTTTTCTTGGCAGTTTCAAACACGGCACAATAACGTCAAATTATTTTTACGCTCTTTGCTCTGTTTGCGCGTGTTATGTGCATAATTATTGTTGTCGTGAGTTGCGGTAAATTTCTTGTAGGTACTAGGTATAACTACTGTAGTACCGGCATGGAAAATAACCTAAGAAAAAATTGTCAGTTTACAGTTCAAATTGATTGAAGATGCGCTACAACGGGGGCATTTTTGATGTTTATTCAGCATCGGCCGTTACCAATGATAGTTGATCCTGAGTTAAGTCAGCTCTAACGAAGTGTTCAAAACTCTACCAGATCAGGTCGACCGCATATGCGAACACGGTAGGGCGATTAGGTAACTTATTGTAGTCGCACTATGTATTTATGAATATTGTGTAAATTGTGTACTAATTAATGAAGGTCATCTATTTCCCATCAATATATTGAATGTAATAATAATAATAACAGTGTAATACAATATTGTTAAAAATATAATGGTAATATTATCTCGGATTGATTTTTCGGAGTTATTCTTTGCAATAGTAAATGTACATAAAAAAAAATGTTTAGTCAATATATAGAAATTGAATTCAAAATATAAATATTATTTTTAATTTTTCGTAGCAGTTCCCGATTGTCGTTTTATATACTTGTGGCGGATGAATGCAATTAAATACTGCTGTCCACTGGACACCGGCCAGGCAACTTTTTGAGTGCTAACTCACGTTTGATCACACAAATCACAATATATCTTGTTATTGTTATCTTAGTATGTCATAATAAATAATGACGACAGAGAGAATTCAAATGATTGCTATCAACTAAACATGCAAATGCTAGATTTGTCCCATAAGAACGCCGGATAATTTTTTTTTAATTAATTAAATAATTAGTTAGTATTATTAGTAATAATTAATTATTAATTATATCTACATTTTAAACAAAATAATTTCGATCAAAGATTAAAAAACATAAATAATTTGCATATTATGTCTTTATATTATGATAAATAAAATATTTAATAAATTTAAATTTAAAATCCTTACCAATAAAATAATAGACTCTCCGTGTATTTCGGTAACAAAATATTATGTTCAGTGCTAGCGACAGACTGAGAGTGTACTATTTCATGGTTAAGGGTTTTAAATTTAAATTTATTATTTATAACCATAAGTTGCTCAAGTTTTTTCTACATAAAGGATTTAATTAAAAATTAGATGAAAAATACTTGAGGTTTTTAAGGAAAACGGAAAATGTAAAACTGTTTACATAAATAAAGATTAAAACGTGAAGTCACTTTCTGAATAGATTCCACCAAACCGATTTCAACAATTTTTTTTATTAAAATCACACCGTTTTTCTATTTTTGTATCGACAAAATCTAAACAATTATATTTTAAGGCACTATTTTTATACAATTTTATGTGTTTTATCGAAAAAAATTAGTTAAACCAGATGACGTTTATAAATAAATAATTTTTTTAATTGAATAGCTAATAGTTAATTTAACAAATTAGATTATATCGGACATAAAAACTAGGCATTGACAGTTTCTTATAATTGAATACGACTAGGATTAACAGATTTAGCGCCTTAGCGTCCACTGGTGTCTGCTCTACTCTTTTTTCACTTCTGACAGAAAAATGTATGAAAAATGAAAATCATAGATGATATTTATTAGTAGGTAGTATAACATGAAAAAATCTTTGTCCAGAGAGAAGTTTCAGTAAAATATCCTTGGCGATTAATCTGTTACGAACTGCCTATGATTTTGTAATAAATTTTGCGAATTTGGGGTATTGAGTTGTGTGGTTTGTTGACCAGGCAAACTTTCAGCATATCATTTATAATTTAATAAGTTAGCTATGGATACCAAAAAAAAAAAAACTAAATGAATGTTTTACGTTAAATTGATCACCCTGTATAGTTTTAGGGATAAAACCAAATCCAAACGTTTTATTGAATTATAATTATTATCGTTTACAATAATTACACTCACCGAATAAACTTTGTCCTATGTTATAAATATATATAGAAGGTTTGAAGTGGTCTGTAAAAATGTAATATACCTTTAGTGATGTGTCAGGGTAATCAATTATATTGGCTAGGTTTTTTTCAACATAGGTTCCGGTCTAATAAAGGAAGTTTACTAGTATTTAAAATTAATTAACGAAGATTTTTCCAGTTATTTAATCGAGATAGTTCAAGAATATTAACAGTTGTTTCAAGAATTATTGTAAAGACAATATTTATGGATAAATAATACTTTTTGCTTTGTTGACTTGTTGTGCAATCTGCATAAAAGATTTGCAAGAAAAATAAATTTTCAGTTACAAAAGCTTTTTATGCTCGTCAAATAATATGTATTTTCGTTTTTATTTATAAAGTACTTACTTCTTTTGTTTCCCATCAAAATATAATATATATATATATATATGTATATAATTTAGATAACCTAATTTATTTACATTTTAATATAAATTAAATATGATTATTGAATTATCGAAGACGTATGTAGCAAAACAAAAATAAATAAAAACTTTTTCTATGTTCTATAAATATATTTTTGTTATATAGGTACAAATATTATAATTTAATTTTAAGAACTAATGATCATATCCTAGATGTTTAAATTGTTTTGTTAAAACATTAATTTGTTGCATTTTATAATAATAACTGTTAAAATCCTGCTTAGAAAAATTGCAAGCATTTACTTTTTTTTTGTATTTTGATAAAATAATTATAATAATGTGATGTTTAAGTTATGCCTGATGTTCCTCTTTATATAACTTGCCTGTGGATATCAAGCTTGGTTTTCAAAATTATATCTATTTATATTGGCTATTTTGACACTGTTAAACTGTGGCAGATAAATTGATTCCACCTTCCAGTCTGTTTACCATTGTTTGTATTAAAGCTAAAATTAGCACACACACAGCATTTTTTTTTATATACCAACCAGATTCATTTGAAAACCGCATAGAATTCTAAACACCATAGTTTCATTAAAAAAAAATCATAAGACTTCCACCGTTTGGCAATAGCTGAAAAAGGACTACTACCAAATTGTACATTATCGTTAAATAAACACAACACAGTAGATAATTTGAAAATATTATAAATTATTTCTTTATTATATTGTCTAGTAGGAGTATAAAAAAGAAGAATATTTACTTGAACTAAAAAAAGGCCAAAAACAAATATCTTCAAATACACAAATATACATTATACATTCACAAGCCTTATCAACTTTTTTCTTTACTATTGAAACTATCACAAGTCTTAATACAATTGAAACAAAATAGTAAAATGTACACAAAATCGTTTGCAATCATAGTATTACATATATGTAGAACTAATTAAAACAAATAGTTATAAAATAATAATTGAAACGCCTAAATAGCTAAAAAATTTAAATCAATTGTTGAAATAATACAAAATATATTTTACGGTCGACGACAATCCAAAATTTAGATGTTATTAGGTTTATTATACGAGAATATGGTATGTAATAATATATAATAAAAATAATAATTTAAAAAAAAAAAAAATTATAATAATTTTATTGTAGGTATAGTATATAAAGTATATAATATAATATATTAAAAATACGGATTATTTAAAGCTATAAAATAAGTAATGTCATTGTAGAGGACAAGCATGAGTTATGTCACTAAAACTATTAAGTAACAACACATCTCCACCGTGTAATTTTCATTAAAAATTGTGCGTAAATAATACTAATTATCATGTCCGATAATTACATAAAGCACAATTTTTAATAACGAAAGCCGTCTAGTGACACAGTAAAAATATCCTTTTTGAAAATATACCGTCATACAAATTAACAAATTAAATATATTGAAAACGATATAAAATTAATATTTCCTTTATATTTACAGGCGATAATCAAAATATAGTTTTGTAAGCGTTGATAAAATGATATTCAGTAAATAGAGTATTAAGAATAATTGATAAGTGTGATGAGTTTTTTAAATATTAAATAATACTTATTTTATAATGATAAAAAATATATAATCATTTTTTAAGACTTTAAACAAATATTCGAGTTTTGTAAAAAATTAAAATGTATTAATCATTATTTTAACAATTATTTTCCATACCACATTGGAAATATTCGCTGCGCTCAATACTTAGCATAAGTTAATTTTATTTTTATACAACACACTAAATAATAGATATCGTTTTTAAATTAAACCAAATTTTATATATATTATGTTGTTTTCAACAATATAGCAATTCACTACGAGTCAGTCGAAATTATTTTAAAAAGAAGAAAAAGTTCAAATTATTCAATTTGCCACGATTACAAATTTAAAAAAAAAAACACATTATACATTATTTTAGTTTAATTTTTACTAAGTACCTCGTATACAAATAGTCACAAACTCTGTATAATATCCTGAACTGAATTTTGTATTATTTTTTTTTAAATCTATATTATAAACAGTCTTCTAACAATATACATTTTAATTTTTTTTTATTAAGATATTACGTAATAGGAAAAACAAAAAAAATTATATAGGTAAATAACATTTTTGATAGAAATATTCCCGATTTCGAGGACATTTCACTACTTTTTAATTATTATATAGTTCATTAAAAATAAAGATAAATAGCTAGGATATGATTAGCTATTCCTCGACCACATAGTTATTTTAAAGTCTTTAAAAACATATTACACTGTACAATTTAAACTTAAAAAGTTAACGTTCTATACAATTAATATACCTGTTTATACAATATTTGGCCTAATGATTTGGTAAAATCATTTTTTTTTTTACCTTTTTAATTACCAACGGTTTAAACTAGTTTATTGATTGTGATTCGACTGACCGTTTACTGTTTTTTGTTTTTCACGGTTGTACTGGTCCAACATGTCTGGTGGAACCAACATCCTCAGGTTGGAGTTTTCAGTTTCCAGCAGGCCGACTTTATCCATCAGCTCGGCTATTTTCTCCTTGAGAACTTCTACTTCCTCGCGAACGGCGTACATCAGATGGCTTTTGACCAAATCCATCGCCTGTTCGATTTTATTATCAATGGCCACCGTGGTCGCAGCGTTGTTTGACACACTGTCGACGTCTTCGTTGTTGCTACTGTCTTCCTGCTGTTGGTTTACGATTTCCACTGCCGCCATTAAAGGCTTATAGGAGGACATCTGTTGCTGTGAAGGAATGTAACAATGTTGAATACTATCGACGTAGTTTTGGTTGATGGGCACGTGCTGCTGTAATGAGTATGTCATTTGTTGTTGAGACATGGGCACAGGCGTTTGCATATTGTTTTGCGACATGACCGACATTTGCGGCTGTTGTAACATGTTGGACTGTACGACCGGCTGTTGTTGCTGTATGTGCATTTGGCTAGAAGAAACAGAGTTAGAAGGAATTTGCATTACGGCTTGTTGAAGTTGCATAGCATTTAAACTCTGCGCTTGCGAGTAAGTCGGTTGGTGCATGATCGATTGATTGGTCTGCAATGGTATTTGTTGTCCTTGCGGCTGCATCATTTGTTGAGGCTGCTGATATTGCTGGCCGGGCTGTTGCAGGTGTTGAGGTTGTATGACTTGTTGGTTTTGAGATTGCGATACCATGGTCGGATTCGATTGTGTCATTCCCAGCTGTTGTGGTTGAGTTAAAACTTGATTTTGTTGGGGAATACTTTGATTCGACTGCAAAATTTGCTGTGTTAACGATTGACCGGATTGGCTGGTCTGTGTTAATTGTTGGATTTGCTGCTGTGGGGGCTGCTGCTGCTGCTGTTGAACTTGTTGATTTTGTTGGTTTAATTGTTGACTCTGAGGCATCATTTGTCCTGGATGTGATATTTGTTGGTTACTTTGATGGATAATTTGATTTTGACTAATTTGCTGTTGTTGAGGAATTTGTTGTTGATTTATTTGTTGAGGTTGCGATTGTAACTGAGTTTGCTGCATTTGCTTTGTATGTTGTAATTGAGTTTGCTGAGTAATTTGTTGAGCCTGTATGGACATTTGTTGAGGCTGCTGTGTGATCTGTTGATTTTGTTGAGGTATTTGTTGCATTTGAGTTGTTTGGGCCATTGATTGCGGTTGGTTAGTCATTTGAGGAATCTGAGTCATATGATGTGCTTGTTGAGGTAATTGCTGTTGAATTTGAGAAGGTTGCGGGCCTTGGATTTGTTGGCCGACTTGTTGAATTTGTTGAGGTCCTTGTTGTTGTTGTTGCTGTTGTTGTGATGAAGGTACCTGTTGAACATGGGTTTGTTGTGTTTGAGGTGATGGTTGTGATTGTTGGATATGCTGCTGTGATACTTGTTGTGGAACAGGCTGAGATTGTTGTGGTTGACTAGGCTGAGCGATAGATGGTTGATGAGGCAGCTGTTGATTTTGTTGAACTATTTGAGGGGGCATTTGATTTTGTTGAACCATCGTTTGTTGCGAACTAGGTTGCTGCTGTTGTATCTGTTGAACAGGGGGAAGCTGTTGTTGGTTTTGTTGTAACTGAACATGGTTTTGTAACGATTGGTTTTGAATAGGTATTGATTGAAACTGCTGCTGTGGAATATGTTGATTGGACATAGAAACGGACGAAGGTTCGGATGTCACATTTTGCGACTGAACTGCTGCAGGATTATAATATTGAGAAACTTGTTGGTTAATAATTTGATTTACCGACTGTTGCAGTTGTGCACAGTTTGGCAGGACTGATTGATTTTGCGGTACATATGTTTTTTGGAATTGCGCAGACATAGTATGTTGCATCATTTGTTGTTGAATATTTGCCTGCGACATTGACTGTTGATATTGTTGTGGAATTGTTTGCGAGACGTTATGTTGGTCAACAGAATTCATGTGTTGAAGAGTTTGTGAATGCAATGGTTGATTTTGACTATGCAAAACACTCATTGCGGGTTGAGCTTGTTGCAACTGCGGCTGCATAACTCCAGCATTGGCTATTGCTTGCTGTAGTTGATGCGATTGTAGGCTGGAATGTTGCATACAACTTTGATTAGTGTTGTGTTGTGTAGGCAATTGTACCTGTGTCAGACTCTGTGGTTGAGTTACTTGCACAGAAGATACGACGGATTGGCTCGTTAAAACTTGTATATTATTTTGCAAACTTTGACCTGGCGACACGCAAGCACTATGAATAGGAGTGGTCACACCAGACGATACTATGTTGTAAGTAGACGTTTGACTCTTGTAATTGTCGGTATTATTACAATTGGTGGTATACGTACTGACATTATTATTGCCGACTCTATACTCGGGACACTCGTGATGTCCGTTGTCCATATTTTGTTCAGGCGTTTCTAAATCATTCAATTGAGAATACGTCTTACCGTCGCCGTTGACCATTAAGGGTTTACCATTTCCCGATTGTTGATTCATTGAATGGTCTAAAAAATCCATACAGACCCAACGACCGCGCTTAAACGGTTCCGTACTTTCGATCTTCACGACTTTGAACCGCTCGTTTCTATTTTTATTTTGCAATCCGTTGATATCACAGTCGCTCTTTTGCGAACCCGAGTCTATACCGTGTAATTCGTCGCTTTTGACAGAGCCAAGCGAATGCACGCTATCCGAATTATCGACAATAGCTAGGCCATATTGAGAGCTGGTTGGAATAACCGGCGCTGAACTGCCCATATCGTTGCCAGTATTGTACACGACCATGTTGTCGGTGTAGTTTTGCAATTCTACATCATGCCTGATATCCGTCCTGTTGTCGTGAATTTGAGGTTCGGTATCTGGCGAATCGTCGTCATTATCGTCAATGTTATTTGGTTCAGTGATGCTAGTTATTTCGAACGATGTCTTCTTGGTAGGAACGCAGTTGTCGCCGGACGGTGGCAGGGAGTTGGCGTTTTCCGCACACTTTTGCTTGATGTCGGACTGTGTGTCGTTGAGCTTTTGATCGGCGTTACCGTCATCCATAACGGTACGTACTAAATACCGAATCTACGATACACGATCCTGGCGAACGCGAAAAAGGCTATGTGCGCGTAGCCTACACACACAGACGCGATTTACAAACAACAGTATTATTATTATTATTATTAATGAGTGAAAAAAAAAACAAAACAACAAATATCGTTTTGATAAACAACAAAAAAGGAAAGTTCGCGTTACATACTTTTTGCAATTGTTGTCATGTACATATTATTATAATATAGTCGAGAAGACGTCGTCAACAGATTTGATATGAATTATACAAAAAAAAAAAAAAAAGAGAAAATTTTTTAGAATAAAATAATATATTATACGCGCACTTATCCGACCCGACCGATTGCGACATCAATCGAAACACTTCGGTGCAGGGATCGCACAAACGTCACTTTTATAATCGGACCAATCGGAAAAACTCGACGACATTGACAGACGAAACGGTCCGTGCGAGTTTTCCACATTTCACAGACGGACGGCGAACTGCATTTTTCCACGAAAACACGCCTCGTCAAGAAGGAATGCGCGAAAAAAAAAACAACCTCGACCTTGCCAACATATGTCCGGGGCGCTTATCAGATACGGTCCGTTAGCATGGAACAAATTTGTTCTTGTCGCCATGAGAATTACAGTTATACTGCCAGCCGGCCGTTCCGGGTCTTCGTATTGGCTTGCGCATACACACAAACTTTGGGGCGCACTGCGCGGGGCTCGTTGCAACTTGCACAGTGCGTATAAGTGCATGGCCGTTTTGTGAAACTCCCATTTCATGAATGACGTATGCGCAAGGCGCATTGTTTATTTGTCTTCGGTGCGCCGCCAAGGCGGGTAGGTTAAATTTTTGTCACGGGGAAAATGTATAAATGTTTACAATTATTAATATTTAAAACGTACAACGTAAATAATATAATAATTAATATAAACCAACATAATACTGTTATTACACGGTATAAATATTTGACTAAACTTTAAAAATTAACATGGGTAAATTATCAAAGAATAAATCGCAATTTACATAATATTATGTCATAGATTACTGTAGCCAATGTTATTTATAGTTTTCCTACCAATTACCTAAAAAAGGCCTACCAGGTTTTTTCTGGTATCCCGGTGGGTCTATGCCCTATTCGCCTATGTGACAAGGTATTGTTTTGTGTCTAGACATATGGAAATATGTTTTAAAATTATCAAAAACTTGTAAGCAAAACAACAATTTGTCTTTCAAGTGCAATAGTTAAATAACAAAACTAATAAATTAATCTAATTTTTGTGTTTACTGTTATAGATTTTAAATGCTATTTTGGCATTTACTATGGTCCAAACTAAGTGCTACACAATAATCAGATTCATTATAGTTATAACAAATTTAACAAATTAATAAGGGTATAAAATTAAAATCTACTTAACATACACATTTTATACTTATTAAAAACAAAGAACAGATTACAAATTTTTATTTTTTTTTATTTTAACATTCCCACCAAGAAGTACGATGGTTTGAAAATGATTTACAAACTGATCAATGTCATAATTTTGGTCATTTTCAATTTCAATTAGAACTTAAATTAAGTCTTTAATATTTTATTAAATGTTCCTACCTAGTTATTAGGTAAAAGAATTTCCTGTTGTTTGTTTAGTTATACTTAGAGTACATTTGTACTGAAGTAAGTGTTTAATTTAAATTTTGAACGTTTTATTAAGATTTATTAAAAAAAAAGTTAATATTTATTGTAGTTAAACAAAAAAAAAACAACTTGGGAATATACATTTATATGGAGGCACAATAAAAATACTTTAAAAAAAATCTTAATATCTAAAATTCAGCTTATATCTTCGTCTTGTACTATTTTCAGACATCGTTTGGCGAATTCTTCAAATACCGGTTCGGTCATAGCTTTTTCCAGCTCATCATTAGGACAAGAACTGTTATCGATCTTTGCCAAAATGTCTTGCAAATATGAATCGGATAATAATTTTCTTAGCCGACTGTCATAACCTAAAAAGCAAATGAAAACGTTATTGAGTGTATTCATTGGATTATGAATTAGTCATAAAAAAACTGAGTGGGCTAAAAGTCATATTGTGAAACTTTCAGACATTCAACTTTCAACTCTTAGCTCTTAGTATACAAATGAAATTAGTTGAATATAAATATTGGCCTAAAAATTAATAAAATATTAAAAAATATTTACGTTCTTGAATTTTATAAATTTTATCATGTGGCTTTAGATATATATCCACACACACAAATAATTATATTATCTTAAATTTATCTATCAAATACCATTTATAATCCGAGTCATGACTATCTTTAGGCATAATTTGATGATCACTTTAGATTAGACCATGTTTTAAAGACTTTTTATAAGGGGCCAGAATGATCTCTGATTTTCTATGTAATTAGTAATCACCAATATGACCAAAGAACAGTTGATAATCAAAACAAAAAATTTAGAAAATTCAAACACTTGGAAATTAAATATTGGAAAATTGGAGGTGAATGCACTCTGTAGTGGGGCTTTTTTAAATCTGATGACTCCACGAGTCGCCATTCCTATTTCTGTAACGGTTGTTTTTGTTTACGTGAAACTGTGTCGCTTTTAAAAGGCCTTAAGTAAATAATTTACCCATTCCAGTTCTCTGTTTTCTATACCTGCCTTGGAACATAGTTTGTTTACAATACAATTAATACCTATTTTTAAGAACATTGATACATACAAAGTAGATTCAATTTCTCTGGCGGTATTGTGTCTTCGGTAGGATGCAGAGATTGATTGTTTGACATTTCAGCTGTTGCATTATTTTGAATATTCGCCGTACAGTCTTCCGAAGAATGATTTTGGTAACACGCAACCGAACAACTAAAAATTGTAATTTTACATAAATTACTTAAACAAATTATTTACCTATTTCGGTAATCTCAATATTGTAGGTCTTACTATTTGACAATTTTACACTTTGGACATTTGTATTTCGACGGATTTTTCGTACAAATACTGCACTTCATATTCTAAGTTAATGAAATCAAGACAAAATATAATATGATAACATTAGCAATTAACAGGTACTACGTGAACTGTTGGCTAAATTTCATTTCAGTAAAAGCACATACTATACTGTGAAATATTATTATTATACTCTGCGACAATAACTAAAAAATTATTTCAAATTAAAACCCAGCTCAAATTATTTATATACCTTATGGCTTATTGTATGTAAAGTGTAAACCACGAGATACTTAAATTCGAAATTCTTATCTCTCTCATATCACTAATTTGTATTTGTCACAATATTATGGATATCAGATATCAGATAGTATTTGAAACGAAAGATTAATTATAGATAATAATATTAAGGGGAAGGGAAGCAGGCGGTTTTTAAGAAGTTTTATACGGGCAATATTTAAAAAAAAAGTGGTTTTTAAAAAATTTCGACCATGTCAATTAATTTTCCGGTTAACTTGTATAAGCTTCAAGGTATTTTTAATTTATATTTTCCCATCATTTTTTGTTTGAGTAAAATCCATTTTGGTTTATTTTAAACCTTATAAAGCCTGACAAAATTACACCTACTTTGAATAATCAAGTTTCAATTTTTTAGGAAATTCAAATTCTAAGACTTTTTTTATTTTTACTAGGTTATGTTAGAAAACGGTTTTCATTTAAATCATTCAGTTTCTTCTAATTCAATATATTAAATTTGAAAATTGTTCAATATTAAAAAACTGATTTCTTACATAAAAAACGAAAACAGTCCATTTCTGACATAACTTGTAAAGTATTAAAGTTGAACCGTCTTAAAATTAGGGTGGGGGATTGTATTTTATGGTATTGTAATATAGTGCATTATTATACTCGTTTCCAAACCACCCATGAGGTAGAGTATTTGGCTCGTTTTTTTTTAACATGGTATCTCCATCTACGATGATGTTTCAAATTGTATTTACTGTAAAATCACTATGAATGTGTGATAAAGGCGTCTCAGTGAAAAGCTAAAAAGTACTTAATTGGTATTGGGCTATAGACAAAGACATCCGTGTATCGGCAGTTTGAGCGGCCACGCAATAAACTATGGTGGTCTTATACACTGAAGTCGATCCGGGCACAACTTAAGATTAACTTAATACTACAGACAAAGACATCCGGGTGTCGACATCTTTGGCGGCCACGCATCAGACTATAGAGGACCTATGCATAAAATATAGTACCAAGGAGGTTATCCAGCAGGATAACGGGATGATATTGGAAATTTGATTTACAAAAAAATCTTGTTGGTATAATTATGTACAATGTGTTATTACTTTAAAGGACATAGCTGAATGATACTAAAAAATGCAGTATTTTTAATGTGCATTGTAACTACAAATGTGACCTACAGCCTACTATTGTGTAAGTAGTTCAGTTTAGTGATGTGAAATGATGATACGTAGTGTTTAAATAAGTAAATTTACTCAAAATAATAAATGGTTGTTTCGCGGTTGCCCACAATAGTTTATAAAGAGAGAATTGGAACAAAATAGCATCATCGTACATAGACCTAATCCACGCAGTACTTGACTTGATATATTTTGTTCAGGTATTTTAGCGTATTTATTATTATTTTTTATTTCAAGTGGAACCAGAGTAAATTACTCAGAAATGTATCGATTGACTAATTAAAAAAATATATTTCTAAAACAACACTCTTTTTAAAAATTTGTTTGAGGAATACATTATACCAAATAAAGCACTATAGAGGGTTTAGAATTAACAACCCAGTCAAATAAAAAAAGGCTTTTTCAATTTTATTTTGCATCCAATTTGCGAGAAGGAGATTTTACTGAATAGAGAAACGCAAATACAATTATTTCGACTATATAGTTAATTCCGGACCCTTATAACTGTAAATAATTAAATTATTATTAACATTTAAAAGAAATTACTACATGTATTGCTTACCAGTTACTTCGAATTATTTATACTTATTTGGAAATTCACGATCAACCATCAGGTTTAAATAATTGCACTTCTTTGTATGCGTAAATCTAAAAAAAATTATAACAATGTTAGTAACTAGTATTTAGTAATAATTTTACTTTATGTGTTCGAAACACCTACCATCAAGCCTCCAAATGAAGCCCCTTCGAGTTTTTGGTCGCCTTCGATGAATCTTTTTTGGAATCGCTTGAAGGTATGTCCAAACTTATGGTATACTATGGTCTATGACAGTATAATGTTCAAGTCGTTAAAAAAAGTAACGAGTTCCAACGTAAATTATAAATGTAGGCCACTTCGAAGTACTGCATATTGTTAAAATATTATAATATAGGTAGTTATGGACTTTTAATATACTATAAATGTGCATTTGTTACTCACAGCTTGTTATTAAACAAACAATCAAAAGTTAACATATGAACGATTTTATTTCAGTCGTTAAAAACGCACATTGAATTTTGGCCAGCAAAAGTTTGCAAATTTTGTGTTCAAGGAGATCCTATATTATATATTTAACATTGAGTGAATTACATCTACACACCATGGGGGTCACAGAATCACCAGTGTGTAGGAAATGTGGAGAAGAGGAGGAGACGTCATACCACATCATGTGTGAATGTAACTCCCTTGCTACCCTAAGGCAAAGTATCTTTGGTAGACATTTTCCTGGACAGGATGAAATCAAGGATACTAGGATTAAAGAGTTACTGAGATTTATAAAGGAATCAGGACTATTCAACTTAGAAGGTTATTAACTAAGCAGGACATGGGCATGACAAACTATGTGAAACAGGACTTCGGTGAGAGGGTGTGCACAATGGACCTGTAGGTCTAAGTGCATGGGCCCATTCTGGGCCCACCCGTTAACTAACTAAAACTAAAACTTGAGTGAATTAATGTAGTAGCTCGGCCAGCATACACATATAGTTATTGTTGTAGATAAAACGAGAAAAACAGAGAAAATGTCTCTTTTGTAATTATAAACACGTGTAGAAGTTCGTGTAGTTCGTGATGTTCGTGTAGTTATAAGTACACGTGTACCTGTAACTACACGTATTCTTACAACTGTAAGTTTAATAAGACCTCTAATTTTACGTGATACTATTCTTTAATTAATGGTTGTCACTAAGATAAAGTATTATAGCCATTGGGTCAAGTTAGTGGAATATCGGGTCCTACATGTGTATTAATTACACGAACTTCTACACGTGAATCCGAACTACACGAACTTGTCCTACACGTGTATTTATAATTACACAAACTTCTACACGTCAATTCGAACTATACGAACCTTGTTCTACACTTGTATTTAAAATACACGTATAGAATCGTCGGCTCTAGTTGAAACTGATGGATTTCTACAACACGTAAACTAAGTACAATTTATTTTGTAACCATATTCAGTAAGTATAATACAAATACAGTTTTGATAAATGATAAGAAGTGTCGAACACTATTTTTAAATGCATTGTTCTTACTACTTATTACTTTATTTAAATGCATCCTAACCGAAATATGACTAAGAAATGAGTGAAAAACCACTGTATAAAGGATAAACCACTAAGTACAAACACCACTGCTTATACAAATATATTTATATTTTTAAAACCTACATGAATATTCAATAAAAAAAAGCCAATACAGAGGGGTCGGGGCATAGTGGGGACGGAGAGGTCACAGGTCTACAGATTTTATTATAACTGAAAGTGATAAAATCACTTTTAAATAAACGTTTCGATGCGAATCTGTGTATAATATGTTCGAAACAGTTAATAGTTATACGATAAGGGTTGATCGTCTGTCTAAAAAAATGTACTGTCATAGTTACCCATATATCGTAATTAACAATATAATGAAAATATTTTCATTACCTGTTGACTGTTGATTCACTCACACTGACTACGGCCAAAGTGTAAATTTACCCTATTTTTGGTTTTTTTCCTTAATAAAAAAAAAATTTTAATACAGATTTTTGAGAAAATTGTATATGTTATAGTTGCATTTTAGATCTACCTTTGATCTAATTTTCAGATCTAAATCTCTAAAACTTTGCTTGAAAAAGTGAAATAAAGAAAAAAATTCTATCCCTTCTAGAGGAAAGGGTTTATGATATAAAATTGAAAACTTTGAAATTATCCCCTTTTGAAAAGGCCAACTATTAAGGGCTCAATTTTTTACAGTATCCTAAGATACTCGAGCTTAATTTATGCTTCAAATTTCAAAAGCTTATCCTAAGAGGAAATAGAGATATATGGGTTAGAAAAACTGGGTGAATTAGTTCGTAAGAGATACACTGGCATTGCTGGAACTTAGCCTGGCGCACTGCCGCACAGTGATCTGAAATAAAAATTAGCTTGTCTAAACTATGATTTTTAAATAATTGATTTTGATTATTATTTTTAGCAATTCTCTTAAGGCTTAAAGTATATCCTACCGAAGCTAAATATAAAATGTTAAGACCCTAAGTTGATTATATTGTAGTACAGAGAGTTTTGAATAAGAAAGTTTTGAATTTTTATGAAGTTTTTTTGAGTTATTTTTATGTATTTGTTTAAACATTTTTAAACTTGACCAAAGCACACAAATACTTTTTTTTTAATGTTTAAAAATATATCTTTAAACAAATATTAATGAAAAATAGATTTTTTTTTTTTAATTAATCTTTGATATTCATAAAAAAAATATTCATTTTTATAGTTAACGACTATGCTAAAGTTGTATTATATATATATATGTAAGTTTAATGTCCAAAACTATTTGCTTGCCTTTACTTGCCCATGAATCATATAAACTAATTTTATTACAGAGAGGCTAGCTCCGGCTCACAGCTGCCACAAATCCTAAAAATACGATCAAAATTAAAATCTTCTGAATTTAAAATTAAAAAAATCTCAAAGTAAAAGTTTTTGAGGACGCTGAATTCAAATTTTATATAAATTTTAAAACCTGTTCCTTTTTTGAAGTTTGAGGGAGGATTTTTTTTTATTTTAAAAAATGTTCATGATATGATAATCCTCATTTTAAGATCGGTGAAAATTTTATCTCATTGTTGAAGTCAGTAAAGTTAAAATATATTTTTTATTGGGTATAATAATTGGTCTTTTACAATTCTTTTAAAGAAGTACCTCCCTACCGGTAAATTAGGGTGGATATTAAAATTTACTTAACAATCTCAAAACATATATTTTGATATGCCACATGCCAAATTGTAATGTTTTTAAAAAAAACCTTCCCCTACCCCTAAATTAGGGTGGATTTTAAAATCGATATTAAAATTGAAAAAGGGAAAAAGGTAAAAGGGGAACACGTAAATTCGAAACAATACAAACTGTTCGTTAGCTAAGATCAAATTAAAAAAAAAATAAACATATTGCATAGCCAGGCAACACAGCTAGTTATTATATACTATACATATGTTTTATTCAAACAATTATTTATAATAGCAATAAGCTTATATATCTTAGCTTAGTCGTAAAATAATTCATGAAAGATGTTAACCTTAATAATTAATGTAAAACTACTATACTATGTAGAATATCTGGGTTAATAATATTAATATAAATTCAAATATAATCATGATCACAAACCTATATCTAACCTGTCGAGGTACATATATCTTATACTATAATACATTTTAGACTCGTAGCAGAGTCCATCTTCAGAGCGACATAGTGAGCAAGAAACTGAAGACAATGGTACATTTGAAAATGATCTACATAATCATACAAATTGTATGATGAATACTTAATACATTTTAATTTTTAATTATATTATTTTTTTTTTTTTTAATGAAAACATTAATAAAAATAAAAATATTCAGATTAATTTTAAGTAACAGGTTGTATTTATAAAAATTTCAAAAATCAAATATATCGAGATCTATTGCTATCCTACAGATAATACATTATTTGTTTTACTCATCTACTGTGTTAATATGTAATAACACAACGGATTACTTAGTAAGAACGATAACACACATAACACTTAATAGAGCCTAGAATATAAATTTACAGTATGGAAAATACTTTTAAATTCTAACTTAAGTATAGTTGAGACTTGAAGTATAAATTATTAGCATACAAAGGTTAAATTATTAGTATCACAATATATTTAATTCTTAACAAGAAATATTATTTGAAAAGCATTATAATATTTATTTATTTAAGCTATGAGTATAATATTTAAAAAAACTTACACTAATATTAGTATCCTTAGGTATATGGGAAGTATTCTGAAATAAGAATAAAAACCATAATACTATTTTTTTAGTTTATTCCTAATTAGCAGTGTAATTATATAAATGTTTTTTTTTATTTAACTATTAAGTAATATCAGTATGCTTATTCGATTAACATGCTAATAATATGATTCTAAACTTACTTAATTACATATTTAAGTATACTTAGTAATTTTCTTTTAATATTTATTTATATATAACTAAAAATTATAATATAAGTATAATTGTTAAAATAAGTATCTGCAAATTGCAAAACAGAACACATTAAGAATTTCTAATTTCTAATAGTGATTACTTTAACTTTTGTCGATCGATATGTCTAAAAATACATAATAATTTATATTGCTTTTTGACCGCTGTAGGTACATGGTAAAACATTGCATTATACCGAAATATATGAAAATTTGCCGTAAATATCCATACAAATAGATGAAATTGTCTACATAAGTATATATAGAAAATAATTATACAATAATTGGAAATCACAATATAGAATGGAGAGTTAATAATTTTATATTTTCACAAATATGTAATGAATAATTCCAGATTATTTTATTACAGTATGTAATCTAGATTTAAAACATACAAAATGCTTAGGATGTACCTACACGTTAATAATACTAACTATACTTAAAAATATTAATGTAAATACAATACATTTAAAATAGAGATATTAATTACAAAATTGTAATTTATTGCTTCACATAGTTAAAATCGAAGAAGTAATATAATTTTATTCTATGACTTCAACAAAATAAGTTAAAAAATAAGTTCCTAATAATGGCTCTTATGTAGTTTCGTATCACAATTTGTTTTAATAATCTATCCCAGTATACATAGAGTTGACAAAAAAAGTCATTATCGGCATTTGTAAAAAAAAAAAAATAGTACAACCAAAAAAGTTTTTTTTATAGTTTTCAGCGGGCGTACAAAATTTGGGGTTATATATTATAAGTAATAAGTAAAAGAAAAATACAATACTGCTAGAAGCAAACGGACGGAAGATTTCAATATGGAAGAGGGAATGTTTTTTTTAGAAAAGATGTACATATCAAACAATTTTTGACACACTTTTTTCATAACAAAAACATTGCTTACGAGAAATAATATTACAGTGTATGAAAAACATACTAATAGGACAGAAAAGTTCCCCAACTGTGAGCCTCTCCATTTATTGATAAATTGAATTTCCGATAATAGAGAATAATATAGGTATTATCTAATTAATATATGTGACTGACCTTATTTATAATAACTACATAATATAATTTGCATGTTTTTAAAAAAAAAACTACGTACACTTTTAAGTACATCAAATAAGTAAAACTACAAAGCAAAAAAAAAGGTGGGAATACAATGGTAAAATAGTTATAAGGATAATATTGCGTAGGAATAACTAAGTGAATAAATGTTAAAGGTAAGAAGTTAGTATCACAAAGGCGTATGTTACGTAAAAGCTAAACTCTTAAACTTACACTTAAAATAAACAACTTTTTGTTTATAACAAAAATTATAGTTGGTTTAAGAACAGTATTTGTCGTGTAGACAAAATATAAAATACTATGTACGATATCTTTACTACGGTTAAAAAGTTAAAAGATTTACTGGTAAAAAACACAAGACACAAATGTTACACCATAGTCTCGGGATCAGTCCATTCGTACGAATGACCTACACTGCTATCATTACTGTCGACTGATACTCGTCTGGACACCGATTGAAGAACATTGGCGTTACGTGGATAATCTACGTTCTCGTCGAAAGAACATCCACCTCCTTCAGATCTTAACTGTAAAGACTCTGTACTTTTTGACGACAACTGAGACGTCAATGAATGTTGCGAGTTTTCCTTGTAAAACATGCCATTGAATGTATACACTTTATCGGATCTAAAATACAAATTTCTATTGTTTAAAAAATATTGTACAATATTATACTGTAGTAATTACATAGTAAACATAACTGACAAATTTATAAATATTTAATTAATGTAAAGAAATGGTAAAATATAAATGTGAAAATCATTTGATGAGTAGAAGAGGAATTTTATAATTAAAACTATAACTCTTTAGTACGGTTGAGGACATTCAAGTTGCTCAGTGCGCAGCGTGAGACTATTTCTGGGCGACTTTAACACAAAAAATTCATATCAAAACGTGCAACTATTCTCAAAAAGATATAAATAAAATAAAATATTAACATAGACAATTTGGATTATAAATAGGTTTATACTAAATCATTGTTCCAACATTTTATTTTTTTATGAATAATAAATCTTAATATCTTTTAATCTTTGAAATTGTTTGTATTAAATAGTAATAAAAAAAAATAAAAACACAGGGACTCAATGTTGAGTTATCTGGATTCGATTTCAACCCAGCTTTATCTCCAACTGTGTATAAATTATTTTGTAAGATCGATAGAAATTTAAAAATATTTCTATTTATGACATACCTATCTGTGTTTGATTGTACATGATCAGACTGCGGGGAAGACATATCCGACACTAAAGGAGTGCTTTCGTCATCGCTACTTCCAGCTGCACACACTGCAGAAGTGTTAATTTCTTGTGAAGAACTTGTTGGCAGTTTTTCATGGCTACAAACCGGGGAAATTGTCACAGCCGGAGGTTGTATCCAACTAGTGCTGGCCACTAAACAACTCAACATACCGACTGATCCCGCAATACCTTGCTTTATTACACTGCTAGTCTAAACATTAAAATGCATTTAGTTGTAAAAAATACATTGTTTACATAAATAACCCTTTACTTTATGTTGTTTATCTTCGGCAGGACTAAAACGCACTTGGGTTGGGTTTTTTATTTCCAGTACACCCTCCGTATCGTCTAACCTATTCATAACTAGCGATGCTGGTCTTTTGATGGATTTTAGTGAAAACGGTTTCCCATTTTTTTCATTTGCCGTAGTTATGACACAAGCCTAAAATACAAAATAGCATGTTTAGTTTTTACTTATTTCTACAATCTCAATGGTATATAAATATTTGTGGACTTGCTTTGTATTCGGCAAGACTTTTTCTTGATAGGATTGGCGTATTATTCAATGAATTAGTTGGAGCTGAACAAATTCCATCGTATTGCAGTCCCGGATACTGAATGACGCCATGATGGGGCGAACTCTGTAAAATGTATTCATTTTTGAGTTAATTATTGAATTTATTTAGTAATATTACATGTGCTATAAAAAATGCTAAGTCAAAATATTTAATAAAAGCGATTAAAACAAATTTTCTTACTTGAAGTAAAAATGCATCAATGTCCCCTCCATTATCTGTGCTTGAAGTCGTACTGCATACTGACCCATCACCTATACATAAATCAAATGGTTTATAACACAACACGTATGTATTTTATTATACACTTCATGCAATGTTAAATAAACTATTCGGGGTTTGTAAACGAACATAAATTGTTAGACTATTTTCACGAATTCGATCTAGACGTATAGGAAGTCCTTAAATGCTACAGAAGTTGAAAACCAGCGATCACCATATTGGAGATCGTATGCATTAAATATCATTAAAAAATGTTGTTAATAAAGTGTAAAGCCTTAAGACAGTTGAAAATGTTAAATACCAATAAGAAAAAGTAAATGAATTTAATGGTTTTTAACAAACTCATAATGTAATAAATTGGTAGTAGGCACTACCGTGATATTTTTAAGTTTTTAATAAAATTCATACAATTATGAAACTTATATACAATTATACGAATTATAAAGAACAGAATAAAAGCCTGAAGCAAACAAATAATTCTACATTCAACATTATACAATATTGTTCTAGGAGTCTACCAATTTCTTTTTCCTTAAATAAACAAAACTTTAATAAACTACAGACTGCACACATTACAATTTAATATATACAAGTCTTTCAACATGTCATGTAAATGTTCTGTGTTCTGGTTAATTTCAAATCATTATTATAATAAATAATTCTCAAACTTCAATTTGTACTAGATAGGAACACATGTTAACTTTAATAATACCGATAACTAATTCAAAAAGTATCTAATATAATATCAATTGGTTATCAACCAGTCATTATGTCGTTTAAATATCTCAATTAAATATATGGGTTACTATTTTAGACTTTTGGAAGTTATACTCTACAAAACTGACATTAAAAAAAAATAGTATTTAATTGTGATTGATCTTTAAATGATTTTATTGGTGACAAAAAGAGCTATGAAATTTTGAAAGCCTTGTTAATATATGTCATGTTCAATCTAAAAAAAAAGCAAACATGCAATGCTAGAAATTGCATACCATATTATGGAATCATTATTAGTATAAAATATTATAGAATTTTCTCAATATATTTTATTGAATATACTTACTATGTAGTTTTAAAGTATCAAATAATTATTTAGAATAACAACGTGCATACATGAAGTGACATAATTTCTATATATACACAATAATTAGAAATTATTTAATTTCGGGTCTCTCGGACTTTATACATTATCATATTATATTTACTAACAATAAGTATCGTTTAAAAGACTATTATTGTTATATGCAACACAGAAATACTTAAGTACCTAAGTGGGTCAAATATATTATTCATTATTATAATTATATTTAGTTGTTGTGGGATATTAAAACATTTGAGATTAAGTTACCCCGGATTTGTTACATATACTTGTTCTTTTTGACCTCAGAATATATGCTAAATGAATCCTATAATTGGATTTGTATGTAATATTTAACAACAATAAACGCATATTTAAATTTTAAACAAATCATTTTTTATCACCGGATACATTAAAAATGTATTAGGTGTACAAGTCATTTTAGTTTGGCTGTTTATCTATATTTTTTGTTTTAGAACAAAATTAAAAACTTAAAAGGTTAATATTTTAATGGTCGTTCCATTTATTCCATAATTAATTAACCTATAAACTTTATTTATTTGTTTGTATGTACCTATACTTTGTAACAGAGTATTTACAAATTTATTTTTATGATAGATATATATTTATTTTTTTATTAAAACATAGTTACAACAATAAGCAGGATAAGATAAAAAGAGACTTATTTGTATCCAGCTAATAAAAAATTTAATTAGAAACAGCCTTGAATTAGTATGTCTACGGGCACTACCCGAGTACGGTTACATAAAATGACTTTTGTCTGAAACTTTCAACATCAGAATAATTTCAATACTAGTCATTAGGTAAATTGTTTGAAAAATAAATAGGTACATCTCGAGTACTAAATAATAATAATTGTTCCATATAGGTACATACGTACAGGTAGTAACAGTGCTTAACCTGTTTAATATTCTTTACGTTATAAATTACAATGTTTTTAAAACATTAACATGTCTCTATTATTTATTTTTTGTAATCTGCTTAGACGTCAAAATATTTGTAAACCATTGTATTCTGCGGTGCTCATGTATTTAAGAGCAACTATTTTTCACGGCCAATTGAGTATGCCGTATCTGGAAAGTACCTGTTAGTTTATCTGACTGTAAATTTACAATTGAAAGATAAAACACAAGAGTGTTACTGTATGACATTTAATTAACTGTACTGTTTTACAATACATAATTAATATCTATGTACAGACACTCGAATTTTTTTTTTTTTTTTGAAACTGTAAAATACTTGACTTAGTAAATGATAAATTTTAACTTTAAGTCAAGTTCTTGCTGAAAATTGTGTTATTTACATGTTATGTATTTTATAAGTATATTATAATAGATATCACGATATTCATGAATTGGTAATTATTAATGATGAATGTGTCTATTTTTATTTAACATTTGTAAAGAGTTGGACGTTATGGTTAAATATGGATATCGTAGACCTATGTATTCATACTTTTGGTTACAAAGTAGATATTGCAATGAACTACACAACAATCATAACTAATTGCTACGCGATTGAAACTATTAAAATAAAAGTGTATAGGTATATAATTTAGACTTCTATTACAATATTGTATTCGGGATAGCAGGTATCCGGTATTATAGGTATACTATACTTGTATAATGGTAATACATTTTTAACTGACCAATGTAAATTTACTGTACCTGAAAACTAGATTAGAAAACAGAATTGAGTTGAAAATAATATTTAAACTCAATTTATGTAAAAACAATACATAATTAGTTTTTATAATGTAATATCGTACAGTAGGTGCAGGTAATATAACTAAATTGTTATATAGTACAATAAAAAATTCATAAAGATACCTACCTACTTATTGTGTGGTTAAATTAGTCATTAAATGTCACAAAGACGAGTAATAATTGTGAAATTGTTATTGACATTCTGCTCCAATATAAACTAATAAACCCAAATGAAAGGAATAATGGCATTTTTTAACAACGGATATATATATATATATATATAATATGTTAAACTGAAATTACATTAGACACAACTATACTCAATTATTACCTATTTTATTTGATTAGTTATTACCTTTAATAGCCTGGTAGTAGTGTTTATGGACTGTTCCAATTAAAAGGTTTTTTGGTAATCGGTGATAGATACTTGTACCACCGATTTACCACATATAATGTTAGTACATTATTTTCCCCTAATTTTTAGTCGATAACAATTTGAACGTAAAAATATGTCAGCTTTGTTGTTGTAAATGTTTGCATTATAATAGCTTAACAATTACCGCAGATAAAACTAATGATTTTACAATATGTCAATTATTTAGAACAAAAACAACTTAAGCAACTAAAAAAAAAATACATATATTCAAACACAATAAAATGTAAAAAACCTTTTTCTACGTTAAGCTGCAAGAGAAAAAAAATGTTTTATTCGAGATTTGGGACATTAATACTACTTTTAAATTAAAGTATAAGACCTTAAAGCTATTTCATATTATTTTAAATATGAGATGACATTGATTAGGAACGATGATGTATACATGCGCTTGATACTTTGCCCAAAAATACCATTACTATCAAAATATGTAGATAAATATGAAATATAACGCAGTATCTTCAGTCTTGGCCAATAAACAAACATAAGAAATATTTCATATTTACTACTGCATGTAATTTAATAATTAAAAATAAATATTAAATGTAGTAATGTAGTTAAGTTAAATCTTAGACCAATGTAAATCTGGTCTAAGATTTACCTTAACTACTTTACAATGTGCACAGTTTTATTAAAAGGAAATGGAAAGAGCGATCATATAAAAAAATTAAGAAAATCTAAATATTAAAGTCAAACAAATAACAATTATTCATTTTTTCCCCTTAAACTTAACGCCTCCTCTAAAATGTTGAAAAAGGCAATTTCTTATTTTAATTTTTAAAATCGAGTTATATTTTCCTATTTTTTTTTATAATGTAATATGCAAATATTAATAATTGTCATTTATCTTTAAATAAATTGTCATACTTAATTATGGTTTTTCTTCAAATATTTTGCCCTTAAATAAATAACATGTTTACGTTTCCCTCCTATGAATTACTTAACCCAAAGTTTACAAATGTTAAATGTTAGTTGATTGTAAAAAATAATACATACCATGAAGAATACCGTGCATGATTATTTTAGATTTTTGTACATCTTACAGAACTGATTGGCCAAATGTGTTACAAATGTTTAATTATTGATTTAATTACATTTTTTTTTAAAATTTACTCCCTTGTAAAAAAAGAAAACTATATTAAAAGTTATTGTAAGGTGCAAATTGCCTATTTAAATTTGAGCTTGCCCGTTTTGTGGACCAAATACAGATCGTGCTACTATAAAAATTATAACTTAACACATAAAAGTTTACTGCTTTATTATCCTGAACTGTTGTATTTTAAAACAAACAGTTTAATAATTATAATAAAACTCATTTTTTTTATTTTACACAAATGAAAACTTAGTTATAAATTATTTATAGTAAATAAATATTTTTATGCAAACTATACATAAAACTATAATAAAAAAAATGACGTAAACATACTCCTGTAACTACCGATTGCAAACATTTCCTATAAATAGGTCGATAAATATTTAAAAAAGTATAATAAATAGCAATATTATGATGATTGATGAAAATAACAAATTAATAATATCATGCATTCATGCTCAAGAATGTTCACCGTGCACCTTGTCATTACTATACAATGCATCGGAAGTTTCTTCCATATCTACAACTACAAATGGTTTGACCTCTCCTGCTTTATAACTATTATTATGCATGAGTCCATTTTGACTTAGCAGTTCCGTCTGCTCACCTGTAATTATGTCGATTGGCTGATGAGGTACTTGCAAATAAGTAGCCGTTGCAATCGTACCCTGTTCTTCGGATTCTTCCAAAACGTCTTCACACGCTTCTTCATTAAGAGTTTGTAATGCACCACAAATCATTTGCTCTTCCAGAGTCACCTATTTTTTTTTATCGTATTTTTTCTTATTATTTAAGTAGTTTCCATAAGTGTACACCAAGATCTAAGCAAAGTCTATTTAAGTTTTAACCGATTGGTCGATACTGTGTTAGATTAAATTGTCGCCACCGAGATCTTGGTGTACGTTTCGTCTGAATAGAGTATATAGTGTAGAATAAAAGTTTAGTAAAGGATTAAAATAAATAAATAATAACAACAGCAACAAGACAAAAAGTGTATCGCTGTTGTACTTGAGTGTATGTCTAGGTCGAAAAAAAACACAAATTAAATTTAGAAATAATGTTTTTAAATAATGACCATGTATTTTGTTTATAGTGAAGTGATAAGGATTTTCGCCATTCACTATAAACAATTATACAATGCAATTTTAACTTACTTGCTTTTCGACCGATGAAACCTTAGCGGTTTTACTATCTTTTTCATTCATGGCTGTAGCTTGAGTACAACTATTGTTATGGGCAGAACCTAAATAAGAAAAGAAAATAATTTTATTAAAAAAATTTTTAAAAATGTTTATTGGTTAACTTTTGTTATCTAGACTGTTAAGAAATAAACAATTATAAAGAATACCTCTTCTATCGAGTATTTGAGATTTTGAACTGTTCGATCTTGCATGTTTGAAACTAGTATTGTAAGTAATATCATTGTTAATAAAATATTCTTTTTCGCGTAAGGCCATTAGAACAATACGAAACAATTCCCAATCGCCAAAATTCATTTTCAACACCTGGAAAGTATATTAAATATATCAAATTATCTGTGTTAATTTGTGAGACAATTATTCACACATTTATCTTAATAAAAATACATTTTAGATCTTTAATTTAGTATTAAAACACGAATACAAATAAATGCATGGGTCATTTTCAAGAGTTTTAGACTCTCTCAAATATCCTTTCCTAATTATAATTTTTTTTTTTATGGACATGTGAGGAGGTCTCAAACTCTTAAAAAACAACAGAACATATTGAAATTTTGTTGATGTTTTATACATTAAATGTAAACTGCTTAATTTTTTTTTTTTTAAACTATTGTACTAGCTTTCTGTTACCGCTCGAACACCATATTATTATGTAAAATTAATAAATCTACTGAAATTAACTCAGAAATGTGAGATTTTTTCAAACAAACAAAATTCATATAAATTGATTATTTTGATTAATTTCATGGTTTAAAAAAAAGTAGATTTTCTAAACTTTATTTCATAAAAAACTAATCGATTAATCGTAGTATAACCGATTACTGATTACACTACAACTGTTGATTACCTAGATTTTACACCTAATACCAATACTTTTTAAACAATCAAAAAATAAATTATTTTACTATTGATAAATCTACTGTTTGAAGAGTTATGGTTTGATAACCGATTAATCATTTTCCAATCTGGTAAAACAGTCACAGTCCTTATTGGGTGCCTTGAAGTATTATTATAGGAGAATTTTATATCCCGTCAATGGATAAAATCAGACTAATGTTCGTATCTATAGTTTCTAGAGGTTAATTTTTAATGAAAATATAAACATGCTGGATTTTTTGACACTTAAAAATGTTTATTGTTGCCCATAGGTTGCACTACCTGCGGTAAGGCCATAATATTGGTCCCCCATCCAGATTCAAGCAGCAAGATAATTTTCCTAATCAGTTATTTTATTAATTTTTAAATATATAATAAAACAATATAGTTACATTTTTTAAATCGTCCAACTTGCAATGTAAAAGTACACAACCCGTAAGATTATTGTCTTTTATTATTTGCATATACTTTGGAATGTTTGATTCTTGCAAGTCTTTAATCCTAGTTAACAACTTACACATATCGTCCACACTAGACGACGATAGTTTAACGTTAGTTAACTCATCCTAGAAAAAAAAAGAAATTAAAATAATTATTTTTACAAAAAAAAAAAATTAATTAAATTTTTGTTTTACAGATAAAGAAGAAGGTGGTAAATTTTGATGACTCGGTAATTCTTCAAAAGTCGAAGGCCATCGATTGGGCATTGATTGGTTCCAAAATGATGAATATTGTTCGTTTAACATCATACTAGTTTGTTGTGAAGTATTATCCGGTTGACTGGCAGACCTAGCTCCAGATTTCTAAAATCAAATATTTTGTTATTAGCTCTTATGTTTATCTAAATGATGATTTAAACACATAATAAATATAAGATGCTAACTTGTTTCCTAATCAGTTGATTATTTATTCTACGGGATTGGAAATCATTTTGTGTTATATTAGGTCTACAAATCCCACTAAGGAGTGAAGACTCATCAAAATTTTGCATTTCGTCTTTAATTATTTTTCTTAAATATGGATCCAAGTTAATGGTGAATGGCAAAAATATCCGTAAGTCACTAACTAACAACGTGTTTCGGTGAAATGTTAAGAATATTTCAAATTTTTTTTCGTCTTTATCCATTTCAATTAAAGTGTCCACGTCTTTTGAAAATTGTATTTGACGTCTTACTCTGTCAACATTTGTCAACACAAAGTTGTAAATTATTATAATTATAAAGAAAAAAAAAATCTTAATACTTCTCATATAATGTTTTTAATGACATGGAATCGTCGATAGTGTCTTCGTTGGTGTCATGAAATATTATCATCCAAGAAATTCTATAAGGCCACTGTTCAGTTATATTTATCCAGCTGGCTAAATGGTACCAATTAAATTCTAAATGAAACGCTTTCAATAGACGTCCTAAAAACCAAAACCAAAAACTAGAATTTTTATTCATTGGTTTCAGACAATATTTTTGTTTTAAATACCTGTTATATAAACTATATTCATTAATCGTCTCATACTTCTGGGATTCACATCGCTAAAATAATCATCGGTCAATAGTATTTTTGAAAGATCCTGTGGTCCACCCAATCTATGTATGTTGCTCGCTATACTGCTGGCAATGCTTTCGCTAGATTTTAATTTGCTTCTTGTAGAATTTATGTTACCTTTGCTTCTACTGAGTCCGGTAGACGACCCCATAGAGGGCTTTAGTGCTGTAGACTCGCTAGATAATCTTCGTGTTGAAGCCTTAAAAAAAAAAAAATAGAACAAAATAAAGTAAATTCAATAAAATCAAAATATTACTTGTTCAACCACCACAAAACATATGGTTTTAATAAATATATTATTTAATATTATAGCTTTACCGAATGCACTAATCCACAGTCATCCATTTGGTTCGTAACGCTCTTTCGGTGTGACTGAGACGATTTTTGAGCCAATTTCACTTTTCGTAAACCAGAGTTTTGAAGAAAGAATGGCAAATGTACCATATTTCGTAGATAATCGTGTCCAGAGAAATTCACATCGCTCAATAGCCGTCGACTGTTAAGTTCAATTACCTGAAACAAATTTTCATTATAAATATGTTGTATTTTATAACTAGCTTTTCAAACTCATCAAACCTGAGAAATAGCATGAGGATCGATTGCTAGGACTACGATAAAAGGTGTATTTTGTTCAGAAAATAACATTCGTACAGCATCTAATAAAAGCAATATCTTATCTTGTTCGCATGAATCAAGACCGTCGATGATTATTACCAATCTAGTCTGTTGTTGAGTAAAGGCATCCAAACATCTCACCTTAAAAACCAAATAAAAAAATTATACTTTAACGAGGGTTTTTATCTTTGAATACAATTTTAACTCTAAAACGTACCATTTCAGTCATCAAATTTACTTCGGTCCTTAGAGCTTGAATAAATCCTTCAGATTTTAAAGTGTCTAATTTTGAAGTAGTTCTTCTTAGTTGTTTGCGTTGTGAAAATACTAACGACTGTAATAACTGACTGAACGTATACAAATTGCCTATGAAGAGAAATAAAATAAATATTCCACAACCAAACAGTATAACATTACCAATTGCCTGGTCAAACGAATTATTTCCACTAGAAACAAATAACAGAATAATTATTATGATTCATTTTAAATCTAACTTTAATAAATAAAACATACTCATCAAAAGAAAGTTGTCCATAATGAATGGCAACAACAAGTACTGCTAATAATGCACACATAAAACACATCTCAAATAATATTATATTCGGCATACAACATAATTTGCGCCATTTCCAAGGTGAAGTCGGTTTAACTGTCAAATGAAATTTATTATTAGAAAAATATGTTGATCGATGGAAACCCAAGTAATGTTACCAGGTTTGGGACGAAACGCTCGATATAAACGAGTAGATATTGATCCAAAATCTTTTTCAATTGAATCATACAGTGATCCAATCATTTGAACGATTGTACTTTCCCCAGGTGTTGTGCTACTTACTCTAGTTTGGTCAGTGAAATAAAATCTGGAAAATAAATACAAGAAAAGGTTAACTAAATAACAATAATAATAATAAAAAGTAACCATAAACTGTGAAATTTATAGTTGTTGTAATACCTTATTGGCTGTGCTGTAACCGATGTACCCCAGCTTGAGCCAGGTGGATGACAAAATATTATCTGTAGTATAATTCGAGTAGTGTTTACTTGTTGTGTTAGATAATTAATTGAATTATACGCCCAGTCTAACCTAAAATGTAAAGTATTCATTTGTAATATAAATATATTAGCCAACATTAGACAATATGACTCTACCTGTGACTGCAGTAGTAGATTATAACCAGAAAAACAAAAACAGCACCTAATAAAGTTAACGTTGCGACAATTGCCAATAGTGTAGACGATGTTAAAACCACAACTGCAGTACCAGTAATAAAGCTAAAATGAAGAACAACGCCTAATATTAACCACGGAAACTGAAAAAATGGATCCGTCCATTGATGAGCAAAGTTTTTCATTTCCTCTGAAAATTAAATCATACTTAAATAAGCAATTAATCCATCCCTCCAAAATACAAAACAAATTATCAATCATTAAAATAACCATAAAAAAAATGCTATTGCTAGGCTAAAAATTTTACAAAATTAGTATACTCTTCATATAATTACCTCTTAATTTGTTTAGTAAAAATGATTTGCCACTACCCCATTTAGCATACAGTCCAACAGTAATTGGCATTGATAAAGTAGGTTCGCTTAGCATATCTGCCAATGCACTGCTGTAGAGATCATAGCCTAATAAATTCTCATTGTCTTCGTTAGTGTTTAGTCTTCGTGAGCCAAAAATCTGACTAAGTATAGGCTTTTGGGCATTTACATCCATATTATAAGGTGTTTCGCCAGCTCTGTTCGGCCTGTACAGTAGTTGACTATTTTTTGGATTGCGGAGTAAAATTTCTACAATTCCTCTGGCTCTTGCTCTCATTGCAATATGTAGTGCAGTATCACCACGTTTGTCAGTTGCCGATACTCGAGCACGTTTCTCAATTAAAAGTTGAACAGCTTCAGCATTGCGGTTCCTGACGGCTCGCATCAGTGGTGTATCACCATCCTTATGACAAAAAAAAAAAAAAAAATGTTGTGAGTTAGAAATGGTAATATAAAATTCATATTGGTAGAGGTCTGGATAAATTTCTCAGAAAAATACACATTTTACGCTACACTCTAATTACAAAAAAAATTAAAACAACATCAGAACAAATAGATTTAATTAATTACATTTATTGTCCCTTGCATAAAACCTTTAGAGTTTTGAAGATAATGATTTACATTGTACAGTTAATTAAATTAGTTAAACATTTTAGTTTAATTTATTTATTACAATTTAAATTAGTATAAAAAAAAAAAAAAAAATAGTCAGACATAAAAGTTTGGAATTTGACCTTAATTAAAAATTGTGGTTGAAATTAATATTCAAGAGTTTAATAAATAGCTCTAATGCTTATTTAACTCTAAGTATTTTTTAATTAATACTTTGTTACCTTTAAAGATTTATATCTAATTTTTTGTTCTAAGATACAAAGTACTTGTTAAAACTTTAATAAGTTGAAACAATTAAAAAAAAAGTTAATATATATATATAAATGTATAAATTGATAGGTTTTTATTTAAAATGTTTAATATATTTTTATCATCTGATTATTTAGAAGATTTACTTACTTTTGTAGAAATTTCTAAATCTGGATTGGCACCAAGTAATAACTTTATTATTGCTGTATTTCCCTTTTCAACAGCTATATACAAAGCTGTTTTGCGTTCCTTAAATTTCAGATAAAGTATTTATAAATAAAACATACAAATAATGAATGTCATAAAATTGTATTACTTTTCCCATAACATCGACATCCGCATACTTTTTTAAAAGAGCTTCAACAATATTTCGATGACCTCCTTTGACTGCGTGTATTAAATTAGTGTCCGAACTACGATCCTAAATATTATTTCATTGTTAGCATATAGAAATTTAAATTTATATTATTATAGACCTGTATATTAATATAAGCTCCAGAGTTTAAAAGGGAATTGGCAATGTCGTAATAACCTTCTTTACAAGCAATTGTCAAAGCTGTGCAACCGTCTTGATCTAAGGCATTAACATTAGGTTTTCGCTCAAGGAGAAGATTCACGACTTCAGTATGGTTGCCCATAGCTGATACTAATAATGCAGTCCATGAATACTAATAGAATAACACGCAAGACACATTAAAGTTAATTTAATTTTTATCAAGTATAACTATCTAATTTACCATTCCAGCAGTATCAACGTTGGCTCCAGCTCTCAATAAGGCGTCAACAAGTTCGATATCACCTTTTCGACTTGCCCAGACCAATGCAGTTGTTCCATACTAGTTTATGACAAAAAAAAAAAAGGGCATTTATTCAACTTTTGTTGTTTATTTTTTAAATACTGGATTAAAACATTTTCTAAAAAACGGCATGGTCAATACATCGGACAAATATTTATATTTGTCAACATGTCTTCAAATAAAAACTACAAATTTTCATTAGAATTTTTTAAAAAGATTAAATTTAATACTAGAATTCAGGACTTTAAACACTTACAAAAGCTCAAAATATTAACTTTCCCCCTTAACTCCAGAAACGAAAAAATAATAGATTATCCCCTTGAAACTTCCATTTTTTCCTTTTTTGTATTATTACATACTAGATACCTTTGGCAAAAATAGATATCTATTTATCTAAGACTACAAAAACCATTTACAAAGAATATTGTACTATTAAACGAAAAATGTTTAAACATTTATAAAGTTCATTTTTGAAATTGTTGTAACATGATATACATTTTCATAGCATTGCTAGATTTTATTCCAAGCCAAAAAAAATAAGCAAATGCTTTAGTCCCGAACCCTATTTGTTATTATTATTATTTGTAAACTAGGGAATACTTCTACTGCCAACTTTACTTAAAAAATTAACTATGTTATTTCCTTTTTTTAAAAATTGATTACATTGTTGGCCTAGTTAGTAAATGGCATAATGGCTCATAGAACAATGACAAATTAGACAAACCTTATCGCCTACGTTGACCTTAGCTCCGCGTGCTATTAAATTGCAAGCTAATTCGGTATGTCCTCTACCAGCAGCCCACACAAGGGCTGTAATGTGAAAATTTCCATGAGCATTTATGTCAGCTCCTCTGTCCAGTAAAACATTGGCCAAATTTGTGTGTCCACAATAACTACACCATATAAGTGAAGTCCATCCACCCTAATGAAAAATACGAAATTACAAACATATACACATACAAACGATTTACAGGTAAAATGTGTAATATTTATCTGCAACATGACTTGTTGGCTGGCTTCTAGGTATAAACAAATACTAACTATTATACAACTCAAAGAGAAAAATCAATAATTTGATTTACAATAAAAATAATGATTTATAAATATTAAATATAATAGAGACACGGTATTGATTTTAAAATGTTTTTAACTTTGTGTTTAGACCCACGACATCTTTTAAGCTGCTGAACTTCTTTGTGTAAAAAGTTTAAAGATCATAAATTGTACCTAAAAGGTACTTCATTGGGTTAAAAATTACAAAAGTTTATCCTTTCCCATTCAAAATTGATGAATACATCCAACCAAAAATGTACATATTTTTCAATTTAACATTACACTATACATTTTTTAATAATAGTCAAATTAGTTCCAAATTTTTATGGGATATTTTTTAGACATAGTACTACCGATAAACATTGAAAAACCAAAAAAAGATCAAAAACTCATTTCTCTAAGGGGTGGAAACTTTTTCTTTATTACTCTTATTATAAGGAGTAGTTTTAGTGGCAAAGGGTCTTACAAGTTTTAAAACATTTGTTTTTGTTCTAAACTTTACTAATAAGTGAAGGTAAATAATATTCTTAATATTACCATATCTCTGTGCTCGATATCGGCTCCATGACTTAATAGTTCTGTACATATATCGGTATGTCCTTCTTTAGCTGCACATATTAATGCAGTCCAATTATCCTAATAAAAAAAGTATTGCATAAAATTAATTTGTATAAGGATATTATATTTTTAAGTATTAACCTTTTCACTGCTACACCTGAAATATGCGGGTCACAAAATATAAACAAATTGTTAGCAAGTGTAATATTCAAAATATGTCGTAGCAGTGAATGGGTTAAACAGATTAAAACATTTATGTTAAAAAATGCTCACGTTATCCTCAATATTAACGTCTGATCCATGATTAATTAACTCTCGTACAAATTGTAATTTCCCTTTACTCGCAGCATAATGAAGAGCAGTAGCACCATTCTAGTAAAGAAATAATAAAAAAAAAATATTAATGAACACACTAAGTTTTAGTTACTTAGTTTACTAGAAATGTAAAAATGGGTACATCTTTTTTACCTACATTTCTAGTTTTTGTTATTAAACTATTGTGAATTAAAAAAAAAATCAATAGTTAAATATATATACCGGCGTTGCCTATCTATACTGCATGTTTACGCTGATACTTAAAAAATTTGTAAATATCAATTTTATTAAAAAGTTGCAAAAAAAAAATAAAATAATTACATCATCGCGATCATCAACAAGAACACGGCGGTTTTCGAGAAATCCTTGAAGACCTTCTAGATTGTTTTCCGAGATATAATTGTGCAAAGCTCTGTAGCATAACGACACCATTGAATCGCTAGGATGCAAGTTCTGTAAAATAAAGCATGGTCAATAACGACACAATAATGAACAAACAATTATGTACTCTTTTAATAAAAAAAAAACAACTCAAGTTAATCAAATTATTAATTAACATACAAAACAACCTCTACTAGATTAAAACAGAAATATAACATAAAAAGCATTTCCTTTTTGCATAGAATTTGATTTTCTATAGACAATAACAAAGACAACAAACAGTGGCATAATTAGCTTCACAATTGTTTTTTTTTTAAAAGGAGAATATTAAGCCCAACGTAATTCGAACCATAGAAGTTATCCAAAAAAATTTTAGTAGGGAGAGCTAAATGCTCTTAATTGTACCACTAGTTATAAATTTATCTAAATTAATACACTAAAAGTGCATAAACTTAGCTTATACATATATATATATATAAAAACAGACAAAATTAATTGGCATTTTAGTATCTTTTACTTTTACTGTATCATAACAATTTCTAAATATGAATTGTGATACCTTATATTGAACTATACTTTAATTCCTATAATTTCTTAATATTTACACAATAATATTTTGTTGTTATTATTATGTCATATTATTACGTTAATGAGAATTTAAAAAAAATTCGGAGCAATGTATTAATAGCCGATTTAATTGCAGACTACAGTGCGCTAATCTAAACAGCATCATTAAAAAAAAAAATTGTATGTTATACTGTTTGGTAGTGTATAACAGTTATTTGCTGAATATCACTCAATATTAGTGGCAAAATTCAAGTGTTTTAGTGTGGTTGGTAATAAAATAACACAATGATAAGTGCTACTGACCGCCGATGAAAATTTTCTGAAATTTGCAAAGCTGAATCGTTTGCTTGTATTACTAGATGGTAATTGACTATCATCGTATAATGGACCAGTTATAGAAAACGACGGTAAACGATTGGACAAACCAGTGAGAAAGCCTTGACTATGGGATCTTTGTGGCCGTCTTAAATCACTAAACTCATTGGATGTTGGCAGTTGTAAACGTAAAAATGAGAAACCCCTAGAGTAGCGTATGTTGGCAGGTACACTCTGACGATCCTCGTGTTCTGACATAGTTATTTTAATGGATCTGTATAAAAATTGTTGTGAATAATTTAAAAAAAAAAAAAGTTTGTCTGTAGTCTATAATTGTGAGTGAATTTTACTTATTATATTATGCTAATAGATAATAATAGGAAAAACAATTAAAAATCAACAATAATGTTAGGTTAGGTATGTTAAAATAACATTAGTGATTAGAAAAGTATGCGTAAGATTATTCACATTAGGTACCTTAATACCTAAAAAAATAAAGTAAATAACACAAATAAACTTTCTGTAGATTAGTAGGTACCTACTTATCAAGTAACAAAATTATGTTTTAATAAACCTACTTTAAAAAAACCAATTTTGTGTTTCGATGTTATATAAATTATAATAACAAAATAAATAAATAATTTAATAAAACTCAAAAACATTTTGTTTACCTGATAATAGAAATTTTAATGTGGAGTAAAGCACATGTAAATATTTTAAATTTACACTTCAACAGTTTAATACTAATATACTATTTAAATCGGCTAAGTATTATTATGTAATACAATTACTTGTATTAAGAAGTAGATATTATGTACTGTGAATAATATTAATAATTGTTTTTTGACAATTGTAAAATCTACAATTGTAGTTTCATTTAGAAAAGGTTAATATTTTCAGTAATATTGACACATAACAATTTTTCATACTTCGTCTTACGCACGTATACAAGTACTTATAACAAATTTATTTATTTAAATTGTCAAGGTGAATACTCATTAGTAAAAAATTATATTTCAGTTGTTACATTATTCTAATGCACAAGTAATAGATATATATTATGTTCTAACAAATTAATCAACATACATACCCTGGTATTTTATTTTTTTGTAAAACTATTAACCAATGTATATTAAAAGATGTATAATTTAATCAGCATACCTATTATCAATAAGATAATAAGCCAAAACACTTTTAATTGTTCAGTCTTATTGACACTAATCATTTTAAAAACATTACACTTAAGTAGTGAACCTATATCTAAACGCTTGCACTGCAGGTAAGTGTAAGATAGTGTTACAAAACCATAACACCCATCATAAATGTTTCTTAAAAATAAAGTAGTTTCATGTATAATTTTCAATTTTAGCAGCAATTAGAGTTCTTTAATTTAATTACATAATGTGTCAAATTACCTGGTCATCGCCATTGATTCTTTTTAAAAAATGAAAATAACTTAAAATACTGCCATAACTTCTGCTTACGTTATAGCTCTGTGACAATGGTATAAGCTCTATGGAACTATGGTTAGACCTAAATTTCCACTGAAGATTAGGCATAATAATTATTTCACATGTTTTTTTTTTAATAGAATATCAAAGTTAGGTTGTTCAGAAAATATTGCGTCTCAAAATTTTTTTTTACTCTGGAAATTAATCACATTCAATTGTAGTACGAGTTTATCACTACAGGTGTATTAACCTGTTGTTGACCAAAAACATATCAAATGATCATTGGAATACCCCTCCTGAATGACGTTAGAGTTTAAACAGTATTAAATAGGATTTCCTTATCAAGAGTGTGTAAAGAGGTGTGTCTCATTTGTAATAGATTTAAATGTATCAACATTACTATAAGATTATACAAATTAATGTTATTAACACATGGAATGTGTTTTAATGTCTCAATAATCTTATTCTTCTATACTAGAAAAACATTACATAATAACTATACTCACCAGTTAGAATGGATAACATAATATACATGTATACTAATTATTTCTATAATAATGTATTATAAATAATTACAATCACAATTAAAAATGTGTACGCACTTGGTTGTGAAATAATGAATAGCCACCAATTTGTTCATAGAAATAATTACGACAAATTTCATAAACTTTAATAGATGAAGAAAACATTTTTATTTTTAAAAATTAACTGATAAATTATATGGAAAGCCATCAATATGAGCTATATCATATTATCAGTTATTAGATAAATATGTCTCAAAAATTATCTAATTTTACTTATTATTATTATTGATACTAAAATATTTAATGATGAGTTACTTGTCACTGGTGTCAATAAAACCAAACACAATAGTCAACAGTCAGCGTCTCTTTATATTTATAATTAGATTGGAGTTTGATTTCTATCAAATTAAATGTTATGTACACAAAAAAAGATAATAATTAAGACTTTTATTATTTATGAAGGATAATGAGTACTAATATAATATACATTACAGTAGAATAATTGTATTTGGGAAATAATGATAAATATAAATAAATACAAATATTAATAACATGTGAATACTTACAGACAACTTTATAATATTTGAACATACACAATTACTATTACAAAACATTATAGCTACCGAATTAAAACAATATTCAATGAAATATTTTTGAATTCTTCATGTAACTTTAGGATAATTGTTTTATTAGTTGGACTCTTAAAATACTATTTTTTCCTCTATTAACAAGTTTTAAAAAGTAGAACATAAAACCGAACATATTTTGTAGTGTCTATACTATATCCTACAGACCTTTATAATAAAAAATATAGGTCAAGTATAATCTATAAACGCTCTTCAACAAGGGGATGATAAATATAGGCCATGAAGAGTGGTTTTATTTACATATTCAACCCTTCTGAATAAATTACTGTTTGAAAAACATTAGTGCTTAAGACAAAATGTATTTACAGAAATTAAAAAGATAATCAATCAATAAATAGAAGTAGAAATTTTAAGTAATGTATTAAACTATAGTGACTTCTAGGTTGGCGTGGAAGTGTGATAATAATACACATATTCATGTCAAATATCTAGGGTTAGATTTTAAAACTTATTAGTCCTGGCCGTAATCAAGAGGTTTTAAGGTTCAACCACCCTTTGAAATTTCTTTGAAAATTTGAAAAAAAAAATGCCTTTAACAAGATAATAATGTATCATAATTCATGTACAGCCATTGCTGCCTCCTCCAATGAGTTCAGAGTTTTTTAAACTAATTCCTTTACTGTTCTGGGTGGTTAGTCCACTGCTAAAGAGGATTGGCGGAAAAATTATTTGCCCATTAAATTGCCGCCTACAGCCAGCCTGAACATATCTGACAGACACGCAAACGCTAAAGCTGCATTTATAAAACCAAGACATTTTAGACTCTAGCGGTAAAAAGTTATTTTCTATCAAATACAAACTACCTACACACTATTTTACTTAAATCATTGGGCAACTTATAAAATATGTAAAAATAAATACTTCAATCTCAATTAGACCCAACATTCCTTTTGTTTGTTGTTGTGTTATTGATATCAATGGTAAACAATGTAGTTTTGTAGGCTAGATATAAAACTATATCTATTTTATAAACTATAAAACTATACTAAAAAACTCACTAGCACAAAAACACATTTAATTTCAAAAGTAATAGAAAATTTATAACTAATTTGAATATTTATGCGATAAAACCACAAATTTTAAATATGAAATTGGGGGAGTTGCAATGTTGTTAAACACATATTAAACCTACCATATTGTTTTTTTTCTATATAAAAAAGTAATAAAAGAAGACATAAAATAGCATTAACAGTGATATTTTTTATACATCCTAGTTTGAAGCCAATTACGAGTTTTATTTTTAAATAACATAATTACAAATGAAGATTAATCTACAATTTCACTGTAAACTAGGAGATAATTTGACTAAACAACTATCACACATTAGTATTATAATTAATATAACAAGTAGTCAATTGACAATCGACTCTTTTCTTTAGTTATTTTATAATTATTGTGTTTGATAGTTTACTTCTATATTGATAAATACACATTTAATTTTGTAATTTAAAAATCATTACAATAATATGTACATACATTTCATTAATATTACTAATAATCAAAAGTACTTACTCTCTTTCTTTATAAATCTAACGAGTAGATTTAAGCATTGTGTACTGGATAACAGTTATCCGATTGCTACTCTGTACTCTAACGAACTTATGTACAATGAAAAATGTACACCCGATTCACATGACACAAGTCATTAAAATGGTCACCGATTTATGTATTTTAACTAGGTGAAAAATAATGGGCGACAAAACTCAGAACTAGGAAATACGAATGAATAATAATTGTTTCTCTTATCATCGTCACCTATCTTCAATCTACTCGAGAATTTCTTCAAAGGAAACAATAATCATTTGTCAAATGGCCTCGGCGGACGAAACAGCTGTATTTAATAATGATAATTTTTAATTTAACAGTATTTTGCAATTTGTCAAATTGAATAGGTATGATAGGACAAAATGATAAAATCTGTGATAAAATTATGTCAACAGCAATCAACGCTATGTTATTGTGTAAACTCACTAAACTGTTAAGTATAAACCGTAATGTATTTTGCTTAAACATTTGACGAAATAAAATTATTATTACATAAAAAAATACAAGCAAATAGCAATGTAATAAATATATATATATTTATATATGTAGACAGAGTAAATTAAAATGTATAAACATTTGTATTATTTACAATTCACATTAGATTTAACTGGTTTACATAATAACTGAATAAATAATTGTTAAAAATGGAACAATGTCAAGTTGATCATGCGGATGAACATAAATTACCAGATGTACACTCGGAAATACATACAAAGTAAAATGTTTGAAATTGATAACTTAAAGTAAAACAACTTAATTGTATTACAACTATGAAAAGCTGTAAAACTAATACCTTTTAACTTAGATTTAAGAATAGACTTCATGATGTCTGTGTCAAAATAATTAATAACATTACTTCCCAAATCTTTACTTATAATAATGGCACAATTTTACGGGCTTATAATTTTGAATAGATATAATGTAATCAACTTATACCTACTTCACTTCAAGTTTTAATTATGCATGTTGTTTATGATAGATTGTACAAATAGTTTATCCAAGAAACAGCATACGGTTTAACTTCATTGTTAACTTTTCTAACAGGTAATTGAACTAACCTGTAATAATTGCAACTTGAATAATCTAAATCAAATCTAACACAAAGATTATTTTGGGTTTTAATTTTTTTCTTATGAAACTAACTGTGCGATTCCTAAATTATCTACAAATATGATAATTATATTATATCTTACTAGACATGAGTAAAACATAAAATATACCTGAAAATTAAATCAAGTCTTTTCAAAGTGTGTACAATTGTTGGCCTGATAAAAGGTATAACTAAAATTGTAAATGAGAAGTTATACATGTTAAATGTATTTTATTATATTTCAGGTCAATAAAACAAATAAATATAAAAAAGGTAAAATATAATGTTAAATATGATATTACTATTGTTGTAGGCAAATCATGATATAAATATCTATAATTTTACAGAATAATTCTGATTCCGATCAGCGGTCGTCAAAACGCAAAAATGACATGATTAGTTCAAGCAATATGAAGAAGAAGAAAAAATATGAAACTGCATTAGCTGCTATCTTTCCTGAAAATGATCAATCTTATTCTCAATACTCGCAAGGTGACGTATTAGTAATGTTTATGTATAATTATACTATATTATTATAAAATTAACTGTAGTGATGCTATATAAAATAAAATGAAAACTTAAAGAAAGCTTAACGATTATTATTGTTGTTATTAATACGTTACCAATACAATAAATAATAATATTTTTTACTTATCAAGTATACTTTTAAAAATATAAAATGTAAAAACAAAATATATTATGACACAATACAGTGTGTAAACTTGCAAAAGTTTACCTTTTAAATTAATAATATTGTTTTTTTTCTTTATTATCATTATTATAGATTATGCTGATGGATTTATGAAAAAAATGCGAGAACGTCTAGATGAAGAATCGTTTAATCAAGCTGTTAAACTGTTGGCGGCTTTTAATGATGCTGATAGTAGCAATATAAATTTGTTGTATCAACAATTAATAAAAATATTCACTTCTAAAAACGAAGACTTGTCCTATGAGTTTTTGGGGTTTCTTCTCCCAGGCCAAGCTTTAGCGGTTGGAAAAATTTCAGAATATTTAGAATTGACAAGAATTAAAGAGTTTATTAGGAAATTACAGGTGAAATATCTCCAATATTTACATATAAACTTGATATAAAAATATTTTACAATTAATCCTTCATTGGTCTTTGGTTCGTTAATAATTCAAAATGGTTAAGAGAATTCCGCGATAATTGGTTATTAAGGAATAAATTATAAATACATTTCACAAAATATTATTAGCATTTTTTTTATATATATATCTGGTTTATAAATCGTAATTATGAATGATTGTAATTACATTATTTACTTTAAATGTTATATATAATATATTAATTGATATTTCAATTTATTGTCTTTTTAGGTTTGTATGAAAAAACAGCCCACACAAGTTCGTAAAATAATGGACAATTTGTATCATTTGTCACAAACCAAAAACGTAACACCTTCAGAAGTGCATCTAATTATGCTTCCTTTGCTAAAAAGCAATCCAATTTTGGTAGATTGTTTTTTCCAACTTTTTCCATCGGAACATCCTCCTGAAAGGTATAGTAAATAAAACCTTAAATTAATGTGTAATATTGTCCGATTACATAAATACCAATCGGTTAGGTTAGGTTTAGTTAGTAATAACTGTTATTGCAATAAGCCTATGCCACTAAATGGGCTTACAAAAACAAGTTTTCTTTTTTTTCAATTATTTAAAAAAAAACTACATTTTATCATAAAATTATTCACAAGTAAATCTTATTTAACAAAACTGTATTTACTATCCAGAAATAATATAACATGTTAATATATTTATTTATGTGTTTGATACTTCGCTGATGTTTCCAAATTGTTGCAGAGTCCATCGTCGGAGCGATAGTCACTGTTTCCTTATGCTATATATACTATAAGTAAAGTCTATAGGAAAACAGTGACTATCGCTCCAAAGAAGGACATGCAATGATTGCGAAACATCAACAAAAAAACTGAAAAATAATAATAATATGTATCATTAATGTAAGTTACAAAAAGCTGTTGAAATTAATTGTACACAATTTATAGCTTTTTTTCTGACGACAACTGGGAAGATTTGGATATTGACAAGAGTATCAATAGCGGTATAGACTGTGAAGATATAAATCCATTGGATTCAGAAGATACTACATGTTTCAATGTTTGCCACTGTGGATGTCATAAGAATGGTGTTAACTCTCATTGCAAATCATGTGGTCTTAAGGTAATAACTTGCATAAATTACTAATTATTTGAATTATTTCTTAGTATTCTAATTTTAATTGTACCGTACTCGATTTGTTTGCAGTTTTTTAAAGGACGCATATACTTTGACACACCTGAAGGATTAAAACTCGCCAAAATAAAGTTTGAAGGGGCTGATCAAAATGTTGTACAATCTAAATTTGACAAGACCGAAGAAAGTGTTACCGTAAAACAAAAAAGTAGAAAAGCTCTGACAAAAAACCATTCTCCGGGCTCCGCAGAGGATATCAAGGGCAGCACAGGAACAGGTTATAACATCATCTTTTCATCAAATAATAATTATGTATTTTGATAATTAAATGAAATGTTACAGAGTCTGAAGAAGATCTTATCGATGTGAAACCAAAAAAACGTCAAAAATCTAAAGTTGTTCAATCTCTAAAACTAAAATTTAAAAAAGAAGAAAGTCCCAAGTGTAAAGATGAACAAGAAATGTGTGTCGAAAGTGGAAAATCTATTGTGCATGTAAATAACGAACAGTTGAATAGCAGCGAAATGGTATTTTTTTGTATACCAAATTTTGATTCTAAAGTAGCAATCACACCAATGACAATAATAAAACCCGATATAAAAGAAAACGGACTAATGGATGAAAGCGAAGTTAATAAAATTACTAGAATTAACTTTGACATACCTGTGGTAAACTCAAATTTTTTTGAAAAGGAAGTTAAAACTGAAACTACTACTAACATAAATAATTTCTTAGAGATTAACAGAAATTTAAGTAGTGATGAAATCAAACAAGAAGATTGTGATAATAACAAGCACTGTCAAGAAGACAAAAAAAATTTATTTTCTGATGACAAAGAAGCGTTGAAACAATCGACAGACACTACAAACAACAATGCTGAAAAATGTGATGTTCCTTCCAAATTGGAAACGCCAGGTAACGAAAAAATTACTTATGAATCAATCAAGTGTAAGAGTGAATATGAACCAAAAAATTTGGTTTTAAATGTTGTCGATTTAAGTAAAAGAGATGATAAACCTACTATAATTCAACCAAAGATTGAATATAGTACAACAGAGATTAAAAGTTCCAACAACAATACCACAATGAGGAGCCAGGATAATAATATACAGGAATTACCAAATATTAATTTGGATATTGTAAAACATAAAAAAGATTTACTTGAAGAGCAAGCAAAAAACAAATGGACAATAGATGAAGACAAAATTATTTTACAAACATGCAAGCGTGTTGAAGATATTGAAGTATTATTAGAAACAATTAAAAGGCGAATACCGCAAAGATCAGTTTCTGAGGTGAGAATTTCATTGATCTTTTCCATAACTATTATTATACTATACCTAGTATTTTTAATAATTTTTTTTTTACTTAACAGATTCAAGCAAGGTATACTACGTTAATGACTTTACTAAAACTTACTAGAACAATTGATGTTAAACAAACATAATTAAAAAATAAATTGTTTATTGACTGTTAAACTAAAAAAAACAACTACTACATTTTGTAAATATATGAAATCTAAAGTGTTACAGATATATTTGTTTTAATCTTCGTATCCCGGTGGCCTCGGTATTCTCTTATTTTCATATTCATCCAAGTTCACTTGTTCCAATAACTTTTGATATTCAGTCTCTATTGTGACGCTTCCTCGAGGTTTCATTTCAATACCTTGTTTCCTCAATTCTTCTGGACTTAAAAATTTTACTTTTCGATAGTCGTATCGAACCTGTGAAAATTCTTTAAGACCGAAGGAACCTCCGACGATCAATATAATGAATGGTGCACCATAACGTAAAAATTTATTTTTTAAAATCACATTAACCGATTTATATATATGATTCATATTCATCTAACCATCGGTTTTGTCGGATTTTATATAATTATGCTTCTTGATTAGTAGTACATTTATACATATTTTCACTATATTATAAACTATTAAGGTTTGACCTGTTTTTCTGATTCTTTTTACCACGAATTATAAAAAAAACGGCTAACAGGTAACAATTATAAAATTCGCCACTTGAGTTGCTTTCCTCTTATTTTTTTTTTTTGAGATAAACAGTAATTGTGATAATATAAATGTGGCTTTTCTTATCAGTGTGATAAGACAGTTCATGATAATGTTATCATTGATTTAATTAAGTTATCATTATTCAATATTTTTTTATTTCTACCACATGAGATCGTCCATTTAACATTCGTAATTCGTATTATATACCTACAGTTAGTAAACATACAAATTTTTTAAAAACATCCATTCAGATTGTTGTTAAAAAGATGTTATTTGAAATTATGCTATGTTATATTTGAAATAGTACTATATATAATTAATTACGCTTAGTTTGAACAACTAATTTTTGTAAGTGTTCGTTTCAACCTAATAATAATTGTAACATTTTTATCCATATCTTTGTTTAGTTGTGACTTTGTTTGGCTTTTATTGCATAATATTTTTGTTTTTAGCAAAAAAAACCAAAATGGGCGATCTTCCTGAAGAGTTCTTTAAGTCGTTTCGGACACATGCTATCCATCCAACCATGAATGACATTGATTTTGTAAAATCACTTCCGTTTAACCTTGACAGAGGCCCATATATATCTGAAGAACACTATTTAGACACACAGTTTCAATTGTTGCGCGAAGACTTGATTTATCCATTAAGAAAAGCAATACATAACTACCGTAAGAATAAAAACATGGAAAGTTCACATTTAGTTATAAATAGTGTTTACTTCGATGGATCTAGAGAATTTATTGGAAACAAATTAGGCTTTGTTTTTAAATTCGATCCAAGCCATTATAATATGAATTTATTTGTTAATGGCTTTTTGTTATTATTCTCTAAAGATAATTTCAAGACATTTTTTACTGGTCTTGTATTAAAAGATGATAAAGAATACCTCAAACTTGGTATTTTACACGTTGAAATGTTATGTGAAGTAGAAATTAGACCGAACACTACATTATCGATGGGTCAGTTTGAACAATTTTATGTACCTTATAACTGGACGTTAAAAGGAATCCAGCAGATGGATGCAGAACGATTTCCGTTGAAGAAATATATTATATACGCATCAAAGGCACCTTCTGTTCCTGATTATTTAAACGATCCTACTTTTCAAATTTATGACATTGATGATTATAGATTTAATATACTTAATAATGAAGAATGGCCAACGGAAGTATATTTACAACAAGAAAGTAATCAATTTGGGGCTTTTAAGGCAGCTCTAACAGAAAAACTAGCTTTAATTAGAGGTGTGTCGGGTACAGGTAAAACCTTTATTGGTCAAAGAATTGTTAAGACTTTACTCGAAAACTTGTACGTCACTGGTCGTTTAAAAAATCCTATAGCAATTATTTGTAATAATAATCATACGCTGGATCATTTTTTAGAAGGAATATTGAAATTAACAGACAAACTCATTAGAATTGGAAGTCAATCTAAATGTGATAATTTGAAAAAATATAGCCTAAAAGAAATCGTTAAACTTCATAAACTTAATATCGATGAAGATTTAGAAATCGCTATTAAAATAAAAGAACAAGCAATTTTAGACTATTATAAAAAATGTGATCAACTGTACACCGGCATCTTGGATTGGAATGTTTTAAAATTAGTCGTACCTGAAGTATCGAATTCTATATTTGGAGATTCTTGGGATTTTCTTAACTGGTTGTTTCATCCGTTTTCAGTTGACACAATGTTAAAAAATAGTAAACTCCAAGAAGGACACAACGATCAACATTGTCTCAAATCTAGCGATATAAAAATATATTTGTCAGAACTAACCGATCAAGTAACCGAAGGTAGCGAATATCATTCTTTCAAAATACAACAGCATTTGTCAATATTAAAAAAATTTCTAGAGCATTTTGAATCCATGTTAGCGTATGATCACTCTCAGGTGAAAAATGATTCGATAACTGTCGACGATTTGCATTTAGTACCAGCCAACCAGAGATGGGATCTGTACTACAAATGGGTACACAGGATTGTGAAAAATTACAAAGAAATTATAAATCCAATCTGGTGTGAATATGTTGAACTGTACAAACAACTTGATGAGAATAGGCTTAAACAAACTTTAGATTTATTCAATGGAACTCATGTCATTGGATTAACTACGACCGGAGCAGTAAAAAATAAAGATCTATTAGAAAGATTAAAACCACCAATTGGTAAGTATGTATTGACATACAATTACACCATACTTCTATAATTTTAGGTGTAAAAACTAGATTATTCTTAATTACATTATTAATAAATATTCATTTTTTAAATTACACATTTCATATCATAATAATATAATATATACATTTATTATTTAATTTTCATATTTTAAATAGTGGGTGCACCCATTGCAAAAGCACGAGCTGCCACTGTTTTTAGTGATGTAATGAAATAATTGATATGTTAGATGAAGATGATAATTTACAAAAATGTATATAATATAATACCATACTTTTTTTTAGTTATTATAGAAGAAGGAGCTGAAACTCTTGAACCGTATGTAGTTTCTTCTTTAACTGAACATGTACAACATTTAATTTTAATTGGTAAATTATAATGACAATAATAATAAAATTAAAAAAACAAATATATTTATGGTTTGCTGTATTGATTTTAGGTGATCTGAAACCAGAACGTCCCAAAATATCGTCTTACAATCTGGCGAAAGTACACAATTTCAATCAAACCTTAATGGAAAGATTAATAAATAACGGATTACCGTTAAATAAGTTAACTAAACAATTCAGATTGCGGCCTGAAATAATGTCATTAATATTACCATGTATTACTTATAGTTTAGAATGCAGTGAAATAACTAAAAATTTACCAAATATAATTGGTATTACCAAAAATGTTTATTTCATCGAGCACAAAGTTGTCGAGGTAAGAATTTTTGATAGTATAAATGTAACAAACATAAAAATTAAGAAACAAATTTTTTTTTTATAATTTGACATCATGTTTAGTTGTATTTATCTGTTTAGGAATCAGATGTTGGTAATCATACAAACATGCATGAGGCTAAATTTTTAATCGGTGTTGCCCGATATCTTACCCTACAAAATTATAAATCTGAAGATATACTGATTTTGACCACTCATAAAAATCAAATACATCAAATCGTTAAGGTATATAATATTGTAATTTATAATAATAAGACATTTAAAATTTAATTTTATTACAGCAAAAGGAAGAATCTTTGCTTTTAAAATATGTAAATGTCTCGGCAGTAGACAGTTGTCCAGTAAACGAATGTGAAATTGTATTGTTGTCGACGGTATATAGTCAAGAAGATTGTTTTTGGAAAAATGAAAATAGAATCTGTACGGCGTTGTCTAAAGCCAAAAGCGGATTATACATCATAGGAAATATAGAAAATCTTATTAGCCAAAGCGATCTTTGGAATAAAATTTATACTTCACTACTCAACCAAAAATGTTATGGTAAAATAAATATGAATTTTAATGTCTTTATTTTGTGTCTGTATATTATTATTGAATAATTAATTTTGAAATTAAACCAATATTGTCTGTAGGAAGTGATTTGACTTTGGAATGTTCGGTTCATAAAGGAACATTTTCAAAAGTTTTTAAATCTGAAGACTTTGTGACAAGGAAGTGTCCACGTCCGTGTTTACAGCAGTTGAAATGCGGTCATTATTGTCAAAGTGTTTGTCACACTCGCGATCGAGATCATACTTATGTGTTCAAATGCAAACATATAAACTGCAGGTTTGTTCAAATTGACGTGTGTTTTTTTGTAATAATTTTTTCATCAGATTTACTTGATTGACTAACTAAATATGTATAATAATATGTAAAACAATATTATGCGTATTCTAATAATATATGATGTTTGATTTTTTTTTCAGATCTTCAAAATCTTTAATTAGATACCCTTTGAGGGATATATTTCTTTTGCTTTGGGAGTATACTAAAAATATTTTATACGAAGTCATCAATCAACCTATTTAAAATGTATGCATTTTTTTTCACTTGGCTTAGGTGTAAAATTTAATTAACGGATATAAATATTGTAGTCTGGTTAAAGCGATATAATTATTGTACATCGGTAATGTTAATCGGACACATGTAAAAAACTAGTCATTTTGTGCATTAGACTCGATTTTAAATAAATGTTCCTGCATTCAATTAGTTTTATATACGTCCAAATGTGTATTTTTTTTTTATAACTTATTTAATATTTCTTCCTATGTATATTTTGTTTTGCACAAGACAAATCTACACCAGGATAGTTTTTGTGCATAATATGTACTTACAATATGATTTGATCCGTTAAATAGAAAATAATCGGCCTTTTCTGAAAATTTTTCTTCCTAAGATATTATTAGCCAAATTTATTATTAAAAACATTATTGAAACAAGCTAGAAAAAGTACTATTTTTTAAATAATGGTAAAAGTACAAATATTGTTAAATTCTTTTGTTTTTTTTTTTTAAAAAAAAAAAGTTTGACTACAGAGAGACTTGAGAAAATGTTGTACGTATAGCCCTATTCTAATAAACACATTCTAAGTATATTTTCAGTCTCCTTTTTAGACCTTAAGCCATACAATGACAACTAAAAATGTGGAATAAAGTAAAAGTTCCTACCCTTTCTGGGGTAAAAGGCTTTTGATATTTATTTGGTTTGGTAATGTAAATTCATAATACATGTCAAAAGAATTTTCAATTTGGAACTATTCAAGGCTATTTTTAAAAAGTTATAGCGAGCTGTAATTAGATGAACAAAATACCTTCTCAGCTACGCATCGAAGATATCAAGTGCAAAGTAAATTCGCCAAGGTTGTTTTTCTATAAAATATATTTTCAATGCTAATTTAAATATTATTAGTGACTAACTTTCTTTTTTACATTTATTTGATACAGTATAAAAATCGATCGCAATGTTCAACAATAGAAAAATAACGTTTTAATAAAACTACAAATTGGGTTACTTAATTAAGTTGACTCCCATATACGTTGATATTCCTTTACTATGTGATCATGGGGTCTATCTTCAACTAACATAAAATAACCTTGAATTTGAGCGGCACTTGCAGGCTTTCCTGCTTTTACAACAGTCTCTGCAAATTCTTCTGCCATTAGATCGTTATTGTTATTTTCTAAGAAAAAACGTTTGTACATTCGTTCAATTTGTGATTTTGAACAATGACCAATATATTCTTTGACATCGACTCTTCCAGGGCGAATTAAAGCAGGATCCAGTCTATAAATTAAAAAAATAATGTTATTGCATCAGAACTATACGGGCTGGATAAGTTGATTAATAATCCATCATAGACTGAATTAGAATCAAGTTAAAAAGAGTTGAGTAAAAGTATGTAAGTATAAATCTATTTTAACTTATACAACAATTTCTATGAGTAAAAGCCATTTTGTTTCTAAAATAAACAAATTTAGACCTAAAAGCCTAACAAAATTACACTTACCTAACCTTCTTAACTGTACTTTTAAACTTTTAAATTTAACTGTACCAAGCTTATGATGTATTAAGTTAAAATAAATAAAACCATTTTAAAAGTTAAGTTTACCTCTCAATGAAATTGGTAGTCATAAATAATATTCTTGCTTCAGATGAAGCTGCCCCATCAAGAGCATTTAACAAGCCACTTAAAGTGACACGACTTAGACCGTCATAAGCGGCAGTTACTGTAAATATAAAAATGTTACTGATTAATGTATTGGATTTTTTACTTTAATATTTGGTATACTCACTTTGTTTAGACTCATGTCGTCCTCCAAAGGCTGCATCAACATCTTCTAATAATATAATCGTACTTTGAGGTGCAGCCGACATTAAATAGTTAAGTCGATCATCAGTAAGCCCACGTTCGCTCAAATTCAATAAACATACTCCATACTGTAGTTCACCAGCTAATGCTTTGATAAATGATGTTTTTCCACAACCCGGTGGACCATGCAATAAATAACCCCTCCTATAAGGTATACCACGTTCAATATACCAATATGGTTTATCAATAAATTTCTGTACGTCTTTTAAAATACGTTCTGCAACACCATCTTCCAATACTACTGACGACAAAGGCCTAGGTTTTTGTGGATGACCAAATGGGCGCCATTCTGAACCCAATGCGGTATAAACTATTGTGCGGCCTTCCAAAGATTTTAAAGCCATATGACGAGCTACCTGGCGAATTAACAAACTGGTCAATATATTTTACTGCATTATCCATTATTTTTTAGTCAATAGATTCACCTTCTTCGAGAATATTTGTAAACAGAGACTTATTTCTACCAAATGCAGTGAGTACGACATTTTCCCACGGAACACCTGCATGTAAATCCAGTGATTGCTGTTCTCTAGTACGCGTCACTTGAATAAATTTACCTTGGTATCTGCAATAGATTTGTTTTAACTTATTAGCAAATATAACACATGATTATACAGAATATTAAACATTTTTTTTTTAGTTTAATGGTCCATCACTGCCTCTTTTGAGGAGCGGGTTTCGTATTGTTTTTGTTACTAGAGTCGGGTGGTTAATCTGTCACAGGTGAGGGACATGGCGATGCCTTTCACTGGACAATTACTCGTCCAGCAAATGGAGCCACTTGTGGCTGACATGTCAAACCGACAGCAGTGTGCACTTGACACTGTCGTCTTAACCAATCACTCGTCCTCCTGGAGAATATAATATAACTGTATACATGCATACGAAAAATCAATTATTACTCAATTAAATGTACTCCGATGCTAGGCAAAAAATGGTAGGTCGTGTTCACACGGCCCGTGTCCATTTGCTCGAAAGTAGTCTCGACGCTTAAATGTTGAGTACGCCGAGCAGCCTTCTGGGTGATCCACAGCAAAACCCATTGGTAGCTCTTGTCGCGGCATGGCACTTCCAGCGTCATCATGAAATTCCGTCGAAACAATATAAGACCGGTGGTGGCACCTTTTCGGAGGACGGCGGCTCCCAGGCCGAGTCCGAACAATCCGAAACCTGCCCCGAAATAAGGGTTGTCTCCCAACGTAGACAATATATCCATCAGCGGCATTATTTTGAAAAAAAATACACCAGCAGACACTTTAATCAATACTGTCGACCGTTTGTACGTTCAGGACGGTCGTAACGCGCCCAACTTCAATTGCTGCGGACATAATAATATTATTTTGTACTATTCTTTCGGCGATTGTGCAACTTAAATTATTACGCGGACAATCTTGATCTGTGTTTTGACTTGAGAAAAAAAAGCTATCCTTTAACTTTGGCCCGCGGTCGCCGTTTAGGCGGACTGGCCGGAAACGGGTCGCGTTTGGGAACACCTGACCGACATACGTTTCCGCCCGACGGGAAACCCGCGCGCCCCGCCCCGCCCGCATTTGTCAAACCGTCTCCGTCGCACCCTTGCCCTATCTCCGTCTTTCACGCGCGCGCTCACCCGTCCCGTCTCCCGAGCATTTCGCATGAATGGGAACGCTTTTCGGAAGGAAGGACACACACAAACCATGAATCAATTACTTTTTTGAATGAAACGTCGTTGATGAATTGGCGACGGACGTGCACCGGGTTTGCGCGAAATGACGATGGCCGAGGGTAAGCCGAACTTTAGGGTCGTCGAGAGGCTCAAGATTAAAATCGGTAAGCGCTTATTCTGTCTGGACATTTGGGGCCATTTTTTGGCCTCTGTGGATTCTAACCCGTGCGGACGGGGGCGTCCAGGCCCCCTACATACGGGGGACCTGTTAACCCAATTCCTGCGAGTTGTGTACTGATGTACTGATTATTCATCTTGTTCCTACTTCAGGTGATGCCAAAAATTTAGGCAAAGGGCACTCATCGCTTAGGGACGGACATTGTACAATCACTCTCGATCAGGAAGAAATATTCCGTACAGCGACCATCGAGAAAGCAATAAGGTGAGTAAACTTTGACTTTTATTCAAGTGCGATATGTACACGGTGATATTATTAAGTATTTAATTAGAGGAATTTATCAAATTTGTATAATTCTACTTGTAGTAATAATTTTACTCGTAAGTGATCTTTAAAAAAAAATCATTTTTTAATCAAACATATAATCATAAAGAATTTAATTTAATAATATTATAATAATAACTGTTTATAAAGCAGTATTATAATACAATAATCGTATAGTATAATCATAATATTATAATAATCATACAGTATTAGGTATAATATAATAATATACTTATATGTACTTTTTAGACAATTTTTAGTAAAAAAATACGATTGAAATCAAATGTTTGTTTAAGTTATGAAAAGTATTTTTCAAAATTTCCTGAAAAATAAATGAAATGTAATATTTTAAATATAATCATTGTTTTATTAATAATTAGGACCATCTAAAATAGTACTAAATAATTATTATGTATGATATTTAAAGTCTATAAATTAAAATTGAATGATAACATTGTACGTTAACTATAAGTCGTATTTGTTAAACGATTTTTTAATAATAATTATATGATTTGCTACATTTTCTTCAGTACATTTTACTCTTAACATCATACCTTACATTTAAATATTATAATTTGATAATCAGATAATAGCCAACCTACGATTTCTAGGCAACTCGTATTATACCATTTTTTTAATAATCATACCATTGGCCCTTATGTGTAAAAATACAAATTCATTTTATAAATGTATAACTATTTGTGTAATTTTGCTAGTTATAAAATGTCTTAATAAAATTGTGTTTAATTAGAGAAACTAAAACTTTTTATGCTTATCAAAAATTAATAAATTTCTTTATTTATATCATAAATAATAACTTTTCTTATAAAAAAGAAATAATTGTATTTTTCCCTATAATTATACGTTACATTAATATACTTTCTTGTTTCAGTTTGAAAAGTTATTCCCATAGTATTGTTAATTGTAGAGCTAAGAATTCTCACGCTAATTAAAATTATGATTAGTAAAAGTTTTTCTCATATAGGATTATATTATTGTTATATAAACTAAATATAGTTATGTTACTTTGTTAACAGTCCGTTTTGGGGTGAAGAGTTTGAATTTGAAATACCTCGTCGTTTCCGTTACCTGGGTGTATGTGTTTATGAGCGGGATAGACCTTTAGGAAGAGTGACTGTTCGGCGTGACCAATTGACATCATTCAATGACAAGGATCACTGGTTTCCTTTACGACCGCTCAACGTTGAATCTGAAGTTCAGGTAAACAAACGCTCATTCATGGATTGTTAAAGTAACCAAATTTATTAACCTCTGAATTTAATTATTCATAGCATGCGAATAAACTTAATGTTGTATTTGGCCCTAAGTAGTTTTAAAAAATTGCATACACTCGTCACATATTTTCAATGTTTACATGTCTACTTTTCACATTGTTTAATTAACACTTCATTTTTAGTAAATACTTTTCAATATAAATAGGTAATTAAGTATTTACGGGTAATTGAGTAATTATTCGAAATTGAAACATCGTCTAAAATACAATAGAATTTATTGATTTATTTTATGTTACTATAAACTGCATATTATTTAACAATAACCGTACACTATTTATAATGGAAAATTGATAATCAAAATTCCAGTTTTGGCGTAATAATCTTCATAATACTGTTAATGTCATATAACAGTATATTTTTGGATGTATAGCAAAGCTATAGGATTCCTTATCTCATTTTTCATTCGGTAAATCTTCGTTTGCATTAGAATACACATTATTTTTATGACAAATAATTTATGTCAATTTTCACTTTTGTACAATATTAATAGTGTTCGGGTCAAATTTCAACAATGCTGCTAGCAAAGTTTTGTTACCCAATAGAAAAATAAACTAATTTATTCATATTATATAATATACACAAGATACTATAGATATGCCCTGACTCGTTTAATGTTAAATTTTTGTTCTATTAACAAATAAAACATTCTGTTTACTCTATCACATTATATTAAATAATATCTATTTATATATCTATTTTTACTAACATTACACCTATTGGTCACTTATTAAATTATGTATGAAACTTTTACTAAAATAAAAATGTATACATATAAATATTGTCTGACTTTGTTTTTGTTTAGGGAAAAATTCATATTGAAATTGAATTTAGTGAAAGCCGGGGCAGTCTTAGAGTACGTTTAAACGAAGCGTGTGAATTAGCTATTACGAATGGAAATTGTGATCCATTCGCTGATGTAACAGTTAGATACACAAATGATAAAACAGAAAACCAAAGGACCAAAGTCAAGAAAAAGACTAACTCTCCTGTTTTTGATGAGGCTTTTGCGTTTACTGTAAGTTACCTATCATTTATTTCTAAAATATAAATGGAAGAATATTAAAATAATTTTAATTTAGCTTCCTGGAATGAGTGGAATGCACAAACAACACAATATGTCAAAACAAACCCCTACTGCTGATTGGGCTGAACTTATTGTCACGCTCTACCATGAAGTATCTAGCAGCAATACTGTATTTTTGGGTCAGGTAATCATACCGTTGCAAGGAAGAACTGTTAGTGCGTGGTAAGTTATTGTATAAAAAACAAACCAAAAAAAAAGCATTTGACATAATAAAAGCATTATAATTTTAGGTACTTTTTGCAACCACGTAATCGAAAAACCAGTCTCAGAGAAGACCCGGGTTTTAATTATCCTACTGTTGGTTCTTTGCGTTTGAAAATTCATTATACGGCCGATTATGTACTTCCATCTCACAATTACGAATGTCTAAAACTCATGATATTGAACAGTCATTCTGTACAAGTATGGTTTTCTATTAACTGCATGTCAACATTAATAATTTTTAATTTGATATGTATATTTTTTTTTTCTCTAATATTAGCCAACCACTGCTAGTTTAGTTTATCTACTGGGTGAAATCATCCCGAATAAATTAGATGCAGCTCAACCTCTTGTACGTGTTTTACTCCATCATGGGCAAATAGTTCAGACAATCAGATCCCTTGCTATTTGGGAAATATCAAAAGTTACGTAAGTATCTAGATAAATGTTGACTTAAAAAATTGGAATAATTACATTTTAAACGTTAACAACTATTGTTTTAGTGATGCCAATACTATTTTCCGTGGTAATTCGTTGGTATCAAAAATGATGGACGAATCCATGCACATAGCTGGGATGAGGTATTTGCATGAAACTCTCAGACCTCCGTTGGAGAGATTATTGTCCGAAAGAAGGCCATGTGAAATTGATCCTGCACGAGTTAAAGACACAGCAGTTATTAGTCATAATTTGGCCAACTTGAAGGTATTTAAATTTAATAAATGAAACCTTACTGCCAATTTTTTTTATTCATTACTTATGCAATTTTTATTACGACACTAGATTTATGTGGAAGATGTTTTCAAAGCTATTACTACGTCGGCTCTTAAATGTCCTACGGTAATGTGCCAACTCTTCCATACGCTGAAAGAAGTGGCCAATAAATTTTTCCCAGGTATTTAATTTGTTTAAATATTTTGTTTTGTGTTTAATTTTGTTTTGGTATTTTTTTTTTTCAGAGAATAAAGAAATTAAATATTCTGTTGTATCTGGTTTTATATTTTTAAGATTTTTCGCACCTGCTATTTTAGGCCCCAGACTCTTTGATCTCACTAAAGAACAAATAGTAAGTTTTTCTTGTCAAGATTTACTTTACGGATGTTAACCATGTACCTCTCGATTTCAGGATAGTCAAACGAATAGGACCCTTACGTTAGTATCCAAAACAATACAAAGTTTAGGTAACCTTGTTTGTTCACGATCAAATTTTAAAGAAGAATACATGTCATCAATGTACCAATCTGTATACACTGAACAGCATGTTACAGCAGTCAGACAGGTTAGATTCAATTAAAAATAATAACTATAAAATTAGTATAAAATATTATATTTCTGTTTGTTTTAGTTTTTAGAAATAATTTCTGCCTCGGCTGGTCCCGCACAGTATACTCAGGATACTCCTGTTACACTTAAAGAAGGGTAATTATTATTTAACCAACTTTTTTTGTTTATTTTTGCACTTCAATAGTAACACTCAAATGGTATGGTGTACCTCTTTTAAATTCATATTCTGTATTTTAGCTTTCTAAGGAAAATTACACAGTGGTGAGTTTTATTGTGGAATAAATTTAAATTGAGTGTTGTAAAATAATATATGTTAGGTACTTAATAAATGTATATATTTATTAATTATTTAATTTGTTCTGTTATAGGATGTTAACCAAAAGAGCTCAAGGCCGTAAAAGATTTGGTAGGAAAAATTTTAAACAGCGATATTTTAAATTAACTACTCGAGATTTATCATATGCCAAACAGAAAGGTAGTATAAAAATAAAAAACTTGTCGTTATGGTTGGTTTCAACTGACTTTGTGATCATAGGTAAAGAACCTCTGTGCACAATTACGCTGTCAGATATTTTAGCTGTAGAACGCCTGCAACAAGAGTCATTTAACAAAAACAATATGTTTCAAATAATACAACCTGAGAGAGTGTTATACGTGCAAGCCAATAATTGTGTTGAAGAAAAAGAGTGGGTGGATTTGCTAACGAAAATGTGTTTTTCAAATAGCAAACGTCTCACCCTTTATCACCCAGCTGCATTTATAAATGGCACTTGGCTTTGGTATGTACACTTTGCATTTCATTGTTCCATTTATTTTAATAAAAATATTATGCTGCTTTTAAATATAGTTGTAAATCCAACAATGAAAGGACCAAAGGGTGTCAAGAAGTTTCAATGTCTGCTGATTATATCCAAACGAGTAGTGTCGATGTTGATAGAGAGCTATCTAGATTGCACGCACTTTGTGTAACGCACATTGATCGTTTTGATAATGTTTTAAGTAAGTTTGTTTCATATAGGTATTTTTAAATATATTTAAACACAAACAAAATTGGTAAAATTTACATTCTTCATCATTATCTATCATTTGCTCATTCTTTCTAATCGAGACCTTCTAATAACTTGAATCTTTCAAATCTAATCGTTTCTATTATAACGAGATTCTGAAGTAACAACTATATTTTTTTATTTATTTACAACTCATTGGCCAGGTTTTTGCTTCATAAAGTATTATTATTGGACATGTAAAGCTAATGAATAGCATCTTTTTTTATTTTTTTGACAGTAAAGTCACTTCCTTCAACATTGAAAGCTTATAGAAATTCTTGTTGCCTGTTTGTATTTCCAGCTGTAACTTACTCAAAATCTCATTGCTCTACGTCACCACTTTTCTATGATATTGAAATTGTTCCATTCTATTGAGATTAATCGAAAATACATTTAATAATGTACCTATAGATACGACTCTCTTTTTCCTACAATTATCTAAGCTGTTTTACCTTTGATGCCGAACTGAGAAGGTACCACTACAGATTCTCATAGAAGCGTTTATCTGAAATATATTTTATCAGTGATTTTACCACTACTAGGTTTGAAGTTACATCAACAATTGTAACTTTCACCTGGGTCACTTTTGATAACATTTTCTAAAAATAAACATTTAATCTATTGTCGATACTCCTGTTCTGAACCTTTCCTGGTAGTCACCAATAGTTTGCCGAGCCTTTTCTTTTATTCTAGACAGAACGATTTTTGAGATTGTCTTATAAGCCACATTTAATAAAGAAATACCTCAAGTTGTTGTGTTTTTCTGAAGTCCAAACGTTACAAATCAAATGCCAAAATTTTCCCCTTTTTTCTACAAGCTCAACAAACAAAAATTCTTCTCCTGGGTTTTTTTTTGTTTGTTTGTTTTTTAACCTCAGTATTTGTGTTTTAATTACCTTAAGGGTCATTTCTGCATATTCCGCATCATATAAATTTTCCCGAATAAATATGAAGGTCTCATCTCATTCATCACAGTTAAAAAAAAATAAACCTAACAATAGGTTAATTTTTGTTTTCTTTTAGAAGCCTGTGAATGCAAATCTGTATATCCTGGAGATAATAGATTATGTCATCCATTGTTAATCGAAGACCCAAAAACTACATTTAAGACTTTATCTACTCTACGAGAAATTATTTATAAACTAGAACAAGAGCACAGAACAGTTATAAGAACAATTAATAGAGAAACAAAATTAGGCAGCAAGTAAGTAAATCTTAGGGTGAAATCGGAAATTAGATAAAAATATTTTTTGTTCTCTAGGCAAGCCCCAATTGGAGATGACAATTACCTCCTTCTTGCTGGCCGCAACGACCTAAGTGCACATCATCATCAAAAAGTTTGGTAGCACAGGCTTAATAGATCCCGCTCCATATGAGTGGGTTACAATAACAAATTACATTTTATATATATATTATATACATATATAAACCTAGGTTGTACTAAAAAAAAATCTACATAACTTTTATACAAATTTAATTCGGAACATAATAATTATTAATATTTTATTGTTTAGTCTAATCCTTAAAAACTTATAAAATGACAATTTTAAAATTTTACAAAAAAAAATTAACCAGTAGGTATAGTGTTGTTAATGACATAGTTTTAAACATGCTTCTCTTTAACATAAAAACCTTGTGCCAACAGTAATTAACACCCTTGTGTTCATATAATAGTATTCATATTAATTAAGTATATGTATATAAATTGTCTTTATAATAATTATTATTTTATATATATTTTTTTTATTATTTATTTGTTTTTTCTCTTCTTTTTTTTTTTTTTTTGGCAGCTTATATTTTTTTACGAGAATTCTATTTATCAAAAATCCTTGAAACTTACCAAATTATTTGTTTAAGTGTTTTATATAGTTTAAAAATAGATTAATTAAAAGAACCTTAAAAATTATAATATCTGTTATAAAATATTGTACATACGAGTGAATCGACTCCACATTCCCTTTGTTTTCTTTCTTCTTTGTATAAAAAAAAATTAAAATTATATTATGAATGTACAGTATTTATTATTAGCGAACAAGTTTCCACCATCTTTTTATCTATAGAGTCGATTGTATGTTTTTCTAACACCAACAATGTTGTGATTGTTTATTTTTAATAACTGAAACACCAAAATATTGAATTAATGTTTAAGATTAAAGTGTCGTTAATGTTCTTTAAACAAAAACATAAAATTACTAATATAATATAACGTTAGATGTGTTAATGTTTGATCTATTCTTCTTTGTTTTAATGTCTTCCTTTTTTTCCGTTAAAAAAATGTAACAGTTTTTAGTTACCTAACAAGAATTCAAATTTTTTCATATAATTATGTAGAAATAACTGTATGAAAATTATTTTGATTTATATGATATACTTTCGGTATTATATAAACTAAAACTTGAAACTTACCTGTAACAGTTTGTTATTTCTTTGGCTGTTTAAAAAGTTGATTTGAATTTTTAATTAAATATTATCATTTTAATAGTACAAAATACGGTTATACAGATTATATGCCCGAACAATGAACACCATTCATATTGTATGTTATCTGATAATATGTTGAATTAAATAATATAGTTATCACATTCATGCGGTTTTACGCTATGGTGTGTTCTTGCTTATAGTTTCCATGTAAAAAAATAATAAAAATAGTATTTATTACATGACTTGTATTATTTTTTTTATTTACCTCCGAACAAACATAGTTACGAATAACTCCAACCTTTGTAACTATTATAATCGGGTATATACTTATTAATTATTATATATATATCATACTTTAGACACTGCACGTTTTGTAAAAAATATCATAATTAGGTACGATTAAAAAAAAGAAATCTTATTGAAATTTCTCCGGTTGGCAAACCCACTACATATGCATTATAAAGTATTAATAGGTATTTTTTTGTTACTATTAAAATTAGTAATTACACAATGGATATTTTATTTGCCTTAGTTAACATATAATAATATAATATTATAATTTATAAATAGGTATTATTACGAATTTTTTTTCCGACTACGTAAATCCGACATATTTTATTACTTTCTGCTGCTAATTGTAAAAATCTACTTAAAAAAGTCAAAGATTAAAAATTTAAAACAATAAACTGAATATTTTTACAACTGCATAATAACCTCTTAAGGAGCACATTATAATAATAAATATGTGTTGGCCATTAACAAAAATGTCACCTGTTAAGAAGCATATAATAATTATTATTTGTTAATTATTCCCAAAAAAAAAAATATCAGACACTCGATAATGCTTGTATTTTACTTTATTACCATATTTTATATTAATAGTTATTAAGTCGAAGAATTATAGGTTCGTTTTTATTGTAAAATGGTATTGTAGACATAGATGCAAAATATACTCCTGCGGATCTGTAAGCATAATAATAATTATCAACAAACTTCAAAGAAATGTGTTCGCCAAACACAATCGTATAGTTGGCCGGCTTATTCGAGCACGTTGTACTTATAGCGTTGTTGTTATTATTAATGTCAATGGCCAGCACATTTATTTTATTTTTAATAAGTTCTTCTATTTCGCTGCAAGGTATCGCCTTTATTCTCATGTTGTTTATCGATTCGGCATAGAACAAAACGGCGCTTATGTGTGAACATAAGAAATCTTTTGAATTTTGATCCCTGCCTTTAGTAAAACCATTGTTATAAAATATACACACTGCCTAACGGCTAGCGGCACGACTCGCCCCGTCGTTACCGCCCCACCACTATAATTAGATAAGATAACTGAAAATGAATATAACAATTATTACTGTATTATACGCACAGATATTATATATAAATTGTATATTAAATAGTTCTAATAAACAAATAAATAAATAATATATTACAGATTTATATCTGTGATTACACTACCACGACCTTTAAACGTGGTACTTACCATGGTTAAATATTCAACGATTGTCATGTATCCTCTATGGTATAATTTTCTTCTTCTTAACCGTTATTTAATATAATAATCAAACGGTTTTACAATTCGGTCGTTTGATCAGCACAAATTATTTATTTCTTATATACTTATAATTTATTAATTTAAGTAAATTAAGACGACAATATTTTTTCCAAGATTATATTTATTTCAACAAGACGTAACTGACTGTATGCAATGAGGTATGGATATGTATAAGTATCATAATCATAATAGTATTGTAGTACCTACTGAGTAGTAAATTTTAACTACGGTTCTCTGGACATTAGGTTTTATGATATGTATCAAAACAGAACGAATTGGCATTTTGTTAGTATGTGTGTTTGTTCATATGTGCAATTAGAGGGCTTGGGGCAGTAACCATTTTTATTAAAAACTATTATTTATTCGTGGAAAATGTTTATAGAAAAATTATCTACATTTTAGTTTAGTGCAACAAAACCGTGTACATGGTTCACTACTTACAAAAATATTACTAAATTTCCCCCTATTATAGTAAATAGGATAAGGCATTTTCTTTTGAGCGCCTTGAAGAATTTATAAAAGTGAATTTATCTGACTGTTGCTCCAAGCCCTTCAATTACCATGTTCGTCGATAGCGCCTATACAGATTAGAATTTTCACTGAAATGTTACCAGTGTGTTTGTACAATTGTCTAGGAAAACTGATTAAATTCGAAGGTGATGGGGTAATTTTCATTTTAACGGGAAAGTTTTTTCAGATTATACTGGACTATTAAACATTAATTGATAAAAATAGTGACAAGGACGCTACACCGCCCATTTCTAAGGAGTAAAGAACGGTCATTTTTATAAGATGATATGCAAATTTTTCCCAATCAAAACTGTTTTGCGCGAGATAAGTATGTATGGTTAGTATTAACAGAAGACTAATCAAAATTTTCACAATATATAGAGAAGAACTTTATCTACGCCGTACCTAACGTTTTTATTTTGTTGATATCTATGGTAAATGGCAATTATATTATAATTGCCATAGATATCATATATTTATCAACATATTATATTATAATTATAAACTAATGAAAAAAGGGGAAAAAATGAATTTTTATGAATAAATAATTTTGATTGTGTTTAAGTTATCAAAAATTTAAAAACACTAAGGCATAGAGAAAGTTATTCTCCTTCCATTGTAAACATTTTATACAGTTACTATAAATATCGCCCTTACATACTTGTCCTCAGCAAAACTATTTTTTCGCAGACAAATTAAGGGTGTCTAGTGTCCTCTTAAATGTGATCAATTCGGTATTGAGGAAGTCAATGATTTGTGTTTTAATAAAATATTATAAATTCCTATTTAATTAGAATGTTTATTTTATTTACCACAAAAATTTGAAAAATTAGATACAACTTTTTTCGTGGGGAAAATGTATAATATATATATATATATATATATATTAAATTAAATATCATTTATGCAACCATCCCCTGTCTTAAGAGATGTTTTATTTAATATGTTATAGCTTCTGAACTCAATGGATTCATTAGAAGAAAATGATCGTCTAGCTATTGTAAATGAAAATAACTTTGTACATATGGAAAATAACATCTTAAATCACACTTTAGATAAAAATGTGTCCACTCTGCGCATTAAAGGTGTAACCATTTGTGATCAAATTCTTAAAGATGTTGATAAACTCAAAGAAAATGTATTAATTCAAAATTTAAAAATCGCTGATCAAGAAAAGGAAAACATTATTATTAAATCAGAAAACGAAGAAAACAATTTGATTATTCAGTTATTACAACACCATTTTTTACAAGACCCGAGTAAATTTAATTGGTTAAGTGACCAAGTGTCCACCTTACAAGAAAAAAGCTACATCGAAAAGGAACTATTTGACGGAAAGTTACTAATTGTAGAGGAAATAAATCAAATTGAAGGCATCAATGCTGTAAGTGCCGAAGGCTTTAATGGTATAAGTGCCGAAAACTCTAATTTATCTGATCTTATTCATATTTTATTAAGAACGATATTTGAAAAGAAAGAATATTTACACAATGAGAGTAGACAACAATTACAATATAAAGAAGATCAAAATCAGCAGCTAACTAAAGAACTCGAAGATCTTAAAGAGTGGCAAAATCATATTGAAAATGAGAATGAAAAACTGTTAAATGAAATTGAAGAATATAAACAGAATAAAATAGCTTTTATGAATAATAAAAATGAGTTGTACGAGCTAAAAGAATGCCTTCATAAAACGCAAGCTACGATTGACCAATATCATAAAGAAGCCAAGACTCTAAAACGGTTGCTTAATGAACGACAAAATGAGTTGAACGAAAAGGACATCAGATATAATGATGCAACAGAGTTAATAAATTTGCTTCGGTCTAATCTGGCAGAACAGACCAAAAACAATGAAGAAATGTGTTTGTCATATCACGAAGAAAGAGAGAAACGGAACAGCGCCTACAATGAAATCGAAAGTGCCTCAAAAGAATTAACCATTAGAGTTCATGAAAAAAATGACATGGTCACAATGTTACAAGAGGAAAATTGTAACTTACAACATGAAATGTTATTGTCAAGAACACATATAGAAAATTTCAATATTAAAATTGAATTACTCGAAAACAACGTACGTGAAAAAACTCAAACTATCCAAAAACTACAAGAATCTAAGTCGAGCTTGAAGCAAAATGAAAATAGTTCGTATTTTATGCAAGAATTAAACCACTTGGTATACCAGATGGATACTATGTTAAATGAATTGTCCATATTTGGAAAAGAAATGTTAAAGTGTGAAAAATTGTTGTTCGGCATACAAGAGGCAATTGAACGGAGTTTTAAAACCAAAGATAATTGGGTTGCAAATCAAAACAAAAACGGTTTCCATCCATACGCTAAAAAAAGAGCATCACACTACGATAAAGGAGTAAACAGTTCAAGTTTAAATAGTAAGTATAATATTAATTTACAACAAAATAAATTTAGTCAAGTTAAACGCAATTTTAAAATTACTAGGAAATTCGCAATTCCCCCAAAAATATATATTTAATAAAGTAAATCTAAACATTTAGTATGAACGATGACCCCATTCGTCCAGCGTACACCTGCTATGGCCACTTTTGGCTGATAGAATAGGACAGAATATTTTATTTTATAGTTCTATCATTCCTACATCAACACATTTCAGTTTCACAATATTTTTTTATTTAAAACAAATCTGTAAAACCCCTTTTTATTTTCAAATGGGATAAGGCGAACGTTGTCTGTCGTGACAAACATATCTATTTTATTTTATCGATAATATTCAGTCTGCCTTATTAGGAAGTACAAAAAAAAACATATATATATGTTTTATTATATATTTTCTAGATAGTTACAAAGACGAAGATATAAAAAACCTGAAGAAAAGTTTGATGTCAAAAAATCGTCAAATTCTTGCAGCCGAAACTATTGCACGATGCCATATAAAAACAGCAAACGATACTATTATTGACTTAACTAATACTATAACTGAAAAAGTATGTACAATATTAGCCTAATTTCAGTATATTATGTTAAAACAACAATATATATGACAAAAATGATTAATATTAATTAGATGTATTCTGACAAATCGACTGATTTTGAATTAGTAAAAATAAAAAGTAATTCAAAAACATAAAGTTAAGTTATGGTAAAAGTTAAAAATAAGTATTGTTTCTGTAATGTGAACGTTAGTTTAATTATGTTACTTCTTAATGCTTTACATATTTATATAGGTAACCTGGACCGAATTTCCTAAAGCTTTCTTAGGCTTTATTGTTTTTATTGATTTTCGCACTTCATCTTTCTTAATTTTATTTACTATCATTCCATTCGTTTCTTCTTATAATATGTATTTTAAAATCTCTTCATTTAACTTATAAATATATTCTTTCATATCTTCTTCAATCTTGTCTTACAACATAATATGCAGTATGCTGGTTTTCGACTTTAACACACCTCACATTTGTATTAAAGTAATGTTTTTATTTTTGTTAATGATACATTTTTTAAAAAATATTTACTGTTATACTATACTTACTATATTTATGGACTACATCATTGTCTCTAATTTATTAATTTTAACCATCTAAAATAGGAACTGCAGTTGGATTATGTTAAAGACAACATGAAAAATCTCGAAATCCAGGCAATAAAATATGCAAACAATGCTGACAGAAACCGAATTCAAGTAAGTAACTTATTTTTAATGTTGTAGACAGTTATTGTTAAATATACCTTGTACTCCCAGATCGAATTTTTAACTGACTTGGTTAAAAAAAAAAGAATTCAAAATGAATTGTTGAAGAGGATTTGTACCGAACGAGGAGACAAAATAAAAAAACTGGAAAAGAGCATAATAAATATGCGAAAATTCCATTAGCTTTAATTGAAAAAAACGAACAGCGACGTTTCTTTGTTTAATTAATTATTAATACATTAAATTTTTAATTAAATTGAATGAAATTTATTTATAATCATTTTATATATTTCATATTTTATGTATAGGTATAAACTATTTAATTGTTCATTTGTTAAATTTTAAATTTATAATCAAAATGGAGTTTTTTAAGTATTTCTTTAATTTTATACTTAGTAATTTAGTATTAAGATATAACTTCACGCATGTGCAAGCAATTTAATTTTGTTACAATCAAGTAATTCATTTCTAATTTATATGTAATGTTTGTAAATAAATTCTTGTTTTCACATTAGACGAATACATTTGTACGACTTATTAATAGATGTATGAGTACTTAGCTAACTTATGAACTTACACAGTACTGCCCTATTTTGTCTGTAGTAGTTGCTTACATTATAATAAATAGAATAAAATAATCAAGATACTGAAGCTGGGCATTCAAGAGTTAGTCAGTTTAGGTACGTCTAATAAGGCCAATTTTTCTAAAATGTATTATAGTATACAGAAAATTTCGGATTATTTAGAAAGTTTGTATACCTTTTCACTCAATAGGGTGATTTTGATTGGTGATTATTATTATAATTATTAGTAGTTTTTGATAACTTTTAAAATATAAAAATGTGGTAAAATTTTATCGCAAATTAAAATATTTTATAAAACCCATAAATTAGATTTTTATCTCACATCTTTTGGCCTCAAGGCACAAGGAACCAAAACCAACAAATGAGTAGAAACCACTCTTCAATACTTATAGTTAACTAAAATTGGTCAAATATTGTAATTTTGTTAGTGTTAATGATGTATATAGTAATTGAACTCTTACCAAAATAATATTATGATGGTTTCCGTCTTACTCATATTCGTATTACAAAAATGTTTTTATTTTTGCTAAAGATACTAAAAATTCTATACGAATATGATTATATTATTTACTGTTTATAACGTTAATTTTAATTTCTTAATTTTGAATATCTAAAATAAGAAATAGAGAGTTGTGCCATAAAAACAGCATGAAAATTGTTGATAGACAGACAATAAATTATGCAGACAATGTTGCCAGAAACCGAATTCATGGAAGCAGCCATTTTTTTATTTTGTATAACTAAAGATATCCTTTACTCTCAGAATAAATGTAAAGCCAACTCAGTTAGGTTGAAAATAACCCCCAAACAAAGAGTAGAATGCGGTAGCACAGAGGAACGATTTTTTTTGTTAAGATGATAATTTAGGAAACACAAAATATAGAAAATATATAAGGGGACTTTTAGATCTAAAAGCCAGATAAAATTACACCTACTTAGGATGATCCAATTTCAATTCTGAAAAAAAAATTGAGCTAACATCCTCTTTCGTAGGTATAGTGGAAATAAATGATTGATATTGCAATTGAAATTCTAAGTTTTAATTCTATTTTAATTTTTTTATGATTCACTTCCTCGTCTTTATAAGTAAATTAAATAGTTTTCCAAAAATCTACTACCACAATAACCTGGAACAAAACTAAAAAGGCCAATGATCTTAAATACTTGTACAGTTAGTTAAAATTCCATCATTCGTAAACATATTTTTTCAGGCTTTTAGATCTCAATAGGTTACATCCGTCTTGGTGTCTCAATTAGTTTTGTAAAAAATTTAATGATAAGGTACGATTAAAAAAAAATATCTTGCGGACATTTCTTTTATTGAAATTTCTCCGGTCAGCACTAAAATGCACTAAAAAGTATAAACGCTCGGTTTTTTTTTGTTTTTATTAAAATTAGTAATTACACAATGAATATTTGCCTTAGTTACCATAGAAATATAATAATAAAAATAATTATTGTTTGCAATTTTTTTTTTCCGGCTTTCTGCGTAAATCCGACTTATATTTTATTACTTTCTGCCGCTAACTGTAAAATCGATTAAAAAAGTCAATAAATAAAAATGTAAAACAATAAACTCAATATTTTTAAAACTGCATAATAACCTCTTAAGGAGCACATTATAATAATAAATATGTGTTGGCCATTAACAAAAATGTCACTCGATAATGCTTGTCTTTTTATTTTATTACCATTTATATTAATTGTAAGATACTTATATTATTAATTATTGACTCGTAGAGTTATAGGTTCGTTTTTGTTGTAAAATGGTATTGTTGGCATGGATACATAATAAACTCCTGCGGATCTGAAAGCATAAAAATATGTACAAGAATTAATAGCGTCCATTAGAGGTAGGTATGTTTGCATTAAATATAAATAATTTTCAACAAACTTCAAAGAAACATGTTCTCCAAACACGACCGAATTGTTGTCCGGCTTATTCGAGCACGTTGTACTTATAGCGTTGTTATTATTATTGTCAATGGCCAGCACATTAATTTTATTTTTAACGAGTTCTTCTATTTCACTGCAAGGTATAGCCTTTATTCCCATGTTGTTTACCGATTCGGCGTAGAACAAAACGGCGCTTATGTGCGAACATAAGAAATCCAGCTTTTGATCCTTGCCTTTAGTAAATCATAATTGTAAGTAATTATCGATATTGAAAAATTTGGAAAACGCAAATAAATTCATTTTCAACTTAGTAGTTTTATTTTTTTTTAAATACACACTGAAATCTGAATAAGATTTATAACATTAGGTATATCACCATTATGAAAAAAAATCAAATTGCATTCAAAAGTGCACACTCATAATTTTTAGCAAATAACAGAGCCATCGTTGAACCAAATATTATGAAAACGTCGGTCATTAAAGAAGAATACAACTCGTACAGTAACAGTAAGAAAACGTTTTAATTATCTTCCTTATGCCAATACCAAGCTTCAGCACCTCCCAACATTGATATTCTAGAGGTAGTGGATTTCTACCAAACGATTTTGTTTGAGTCGTTATGCCTTGTATTTTATTCAAAGGAAATTTTAATGTAAGAAACGCATTCTTCCTAGGCATACCTATATAATATGGGACACGGATCTGTTGATTGTTAGAATTTAATTTTAGGTAAGCTGTATATGACTTCAAAACAAGTTTTTACGATATTTAGTTGGTACAAATCTAACCGTCAGTGTCGTTTAAATCGGCTAGTTTAGTTCATCGTCGATATGTTGCGGATATTTTTTGGGTTTATGGTCTAATTAATAGTACTATTGACTATGCTGCAATAATAAATATTGTTCCTTTTATATGCCCTCTTTCAAACAGAACTATATAAAGTTATTATTCTTTGGTAAACCGAAAGGCTAATGGCTTCAAATAAGGCAATACATAATTGAACAGCTGAGTGGAAAATGGATAAAACTCCATTAAAACTTCATTTATGAATTATATATAGAAAATAAACAGATTTCTTTCATTTTTCCGAAAGTTGAGCGTTGAAAAATATTATACCTTTTCCACTCAGCTTTTCAATTATTATGATTTGGATTATAATATCTTTGGTCAGGTTAAAAGTTGTTTTAAATAACGATTTTTTGACTTATTTAAACCAAATTTTTCAAATTTAAATATATTTAATTAATCATTTTTTAAAAATCATTATTCTGTACTCTACCGCCATTTGGGCGTCAATTATTTTAAATAAATTTCTATTGTTTTCATTATGTATTCACCTCCGAGACATGCCGTTTGTATCACACCGTTGTTCATGTAGAAATCAACGGTTCCTATGGGATCTACATAGCCAAAGAAATTGATATTGGTGTGCACCACGTCTACGAATTTAGCTATGCGAGCACTCACTCTTGACGATCGTTCGAAAAAGGGACCTGCTGGGTCCAACGCTAAATAAAAAAAAAATGTTAACGATCGAATCACTTATTTCAGGAATACATACATATATTTTAAGGGAATCGTCTCATTCTAACTTTAACCGCACTCTCAAAAACGCGTTGGCCAACAATAGTTTTGAAAACGGATTGTATAGGCAGTGTGTAAAAGAATACATTAGCCATTATTCTCCAATATTTGTGGAAATATTTGAAATTTCACGCTTATTTAATTAACAATAGCAAAAAAATTGGATTTTATTTTTAACTTAGTAGGCTTCTTTTTTAAATTTTGTTGTGAAAACACCTTAAGTTCACAATTACGTTACTTAATGACTAATTATAATATCTAACTTTCACTGAACAATTTAAATTTAAGTGTTCTTTTTCATGATATACTTGAACAATTTTTTTTTTTTTAAGTACTTAAAAATTGAAAAACAAATTGTAAATGTTATGAATTTCATTCAATTTTCTACTAACTCAAGGTCAAAATTACAAAACTTTTTTTATTTAACCTCATATATTTACGACATGAACCAAAAATGCTGAAATTTTTTTAAAAAAAAATTTTCTTCACTTTTCTGATTTTATGGTATTATCTGCATAGCATATTGCAAGTTTGAGGCATTTCAAAAATCCACTGGCACCAACATCGGGTGATTTGGCATGGAATGATCCTACTATGTGTTTTATATGCTCACCAGTCACCCTGTCCACCAAATTTCCGGTCAGTTGCACATAGTGTTTGCCTACTTGGCCGGCTATTTGAGCGCCAAGGCTGTGGCCGATCAGGTGTACGTAATTCATATAGGACCTCGTGGTTAGCGTTACAACGACCAGGTCGGCAATCTGCTTGGCTATGTCCGGTACGTCGCAGAGTACCCATTTCACGTACAATGTTCCCAAATCGAATATGGAAACGTTGGCGGCAATGCTGGAGTAATCTACCAGGACGACGTTACGGTTTGCCGCCCCGTTTAAATAGCCTATAATATATTATAGAGAGCAACAACAAAGTAAGTACATTAAAATGTTTTAGATTCCCCCCTCGACCCCGTTCGTTTGTTTAAAATCCAATGTCGACACTAAACATAATATTATTGTTATTGTGTAGGAGCGTTATTGAATAGTTTAATTATGGAATACTGCAAACGTCAACAAAGGAAAGTGAAAATTGGCTTGTTCTCGTTATCGACAAGGTTGTTTAATAATTATTGT